GGTCTTGCTGTCGACGGAGAGACGAGTCGCGCCGACTTCCTCTTTCCAGTAGACGTTGTGAGACTTGCCACCGAGCAGAACGAGGAGACCGCCGTCCGCCAGAGCGCGGACACCGACCTGGCACCTCGAGCCGTTGATGAACAAGGTGTAAGCATCGGTGCTGGACCTGGTAGCAGTGAACTTGTAGCGGTAGCCCTCGTAGATGAAGTCAATCGGGAAGACAGTCTTGAGGACGTCCTTCGACGGGACCTGACCCTTCTCCAGACCTCTCTTGTACTCGGTGATGCACGTCTCACTAGCCACATGAGCCTTCTGGACAGCACCGCAGATGACTGCGACCATAGCGTCAGGCCTCTCAGCGGTAAGCTTCTTCGAGATCAGCTCATCAAGCCACCCGGTGGTGATGGTGTTGTCCTCGAAGGCCGGTGTCTCCAGGAGCTTGATCAGGTACTCGACAGTCGTCCTGAAGTCACCACGAATGCTCAACTCCTTCAGGGCAACGACCATGTGCTTCCGAGAAGCAGTGCGGTTCTCGCCGTAAGCGAAGATGTGACCGAACTGGCTGTCAGAGAAGCTGTGAATGCCACCGGCAGTACCGACGGAGAAGTAACCCCAAACGTTGGAGCTACTCCTGAAGTTCAACTCGTGCATGGTACCGCTGGAAGGCTTGAAACCCTCGCCCGGGTCCTCGGAGGTGATACGGCAGGCAGTCGTGTGACCCTTGGGCTTGGGCCTGCGCTGGTTGATGTGAGACTCCTCGGTGGAGAAATCGAAGTCGATCTCGGTGGCCGAGTGGGGGTCGACACCGTACAGAAGACGGATGTCGCGAATCTGGTGCAGGGGAATACCCATGGCAATCTGCAGCTGGGCAGCGGGCAGGTTGACGCCAGAAACCATCTCGGTGGTGGGGTGCTCGACCTGCAGACGCGGGTTCAGTTCCAGGAAGTAGAAGGCATCGTCCTCGTGCGAGTACAGGTATTCCACCGTACCCGCCGACACGTAGCCGACCAATTTACCCAGCGCCACTGCTGATTTCTCCATCCGTTGGAACGACTCCGGGTTTGCGACCGTCACAGGCGCCTCCTCGATGATTTTCTGGTGTCTCCGCTGAACGGAGCAGTCACGGCCGAAGAGCGAGATGTTGTTGCCGTACTGGTCGGCCAGAAGCTGAACCTCCAAGTGCCGGGCGTTGCCAGCCAGCTTCATAATGAAGATGGGCGAGCCGGGAATCTCGCTCGCGGCAGCGCGGTACATCTGGATGAAGTTCTCCTCCGACTCGACCTTGCGGATACCCTTGCCACCACCGCCCTCCGAGGCCTTGACCATGACGGGGAAGCCGATTTTCTTGGCCACCTCGAGACCCTCTTCAGGCGAGTGTGTGCAGCCCTGGTCGTAGACGTCATCAGGCACCGTGACGATTCCGCCGTCGTCAACGATGACTTGATCCACACCGGTACCCGACCACGGGATGCAGGGAACATTCGCGTGCTGAGCAACAATTGTAGACGAAATCTTGTCTCCGAGCGAGCGCATGGCCGAACCGGGAGGGCCAATGAAGACAATCTTGTTCGGCGACGCGGCGAGCGACTCGGGGAGCTTGGGGTTCTCGGAGGCGTGGCCCCAGCCGGCCCAGACGGCGTGGACGCCCATGCGCTCCGCAACATCGACGATGAGCTCGACGTTGGCGTAGTTGTTGTTGTTAGTGCCGCCGGGGACCTGTACGTTCCATGTCAGCTCACCTCCGCGACAGCCAAGCTAGCGACGCACCTCAACATATTGGTCGGCCATGCGGATGTAATCTGCGTTCGCCTGCAGATCCTCCGGCGTGGCCATGACCGTAAACTGGATTGCCCGCTCATCGCCGAATGTCTCGTATGCCCACTTCCGCACCGATCTGATCTCCTTGACCGCCGCGATACCGTTGTTGGCAATGAGGACCTGCAATCGTTAGGCTACTTCGTGCGACGGCTGCCCAAAGGCGATGCTTACATTCGTGATAACGGTGTGACCTGTCGCGTGTTAGCGGGGTTGTGAATCAGCGCCAGGAGCGACATTTCTTACCATCATGGCTGGCCACGAAGTCCTTCACCTTGGAGGGTGGTGCGTTTCCTAGGTGGTTGAGCCCAATGAAGTGCTCACCTTGGATTCGTTAGCAATGGGCGCAGATGGAAACGGCGGGCGCGCAGGAGCTTATCGGGGGCCGATTCGCAGCTCAGTCTCACCAATGTTCTTCTTGGCCGCCCAGCTCGACGGAGTGCCGTTCGGCTGAGCGGTGGAGTCTGCTGACAAGCCCATGTTTGCGTGAAGTATGCGTAGACTGGTTGTGTGTGTGGGGAGAGGCGGCGGCGGCGGCTCGGCGTCTCTGGTCTATTTCTTCTATAGCGCGAATGACGGAATGGGTATCGAGTGAGAAGAGAAAAGTAGCAAAGCAACGAGGCTTGTGCCAGTCTATGCGGAAGGCTCGCGCGGGCCGGAGGAGGGAGCAGAAGCAAGAGTACACGGTAGAGGGGCCGGTTGCGATGCGAGGTTTATAGCTAGCTGGACCTGTTGAGAAGGCGCACGGACCTGGGAAGAGTGCTGGGGGCGGCGGCGCAAAAAGCGGAAAGCGGCTGAGCGTCAGCAGTGGGGAATTGGGCCGCCGACACGGAGTATGATGTTTTGACCGCCTTGGACAGTTTTAGTTGGATTCTGTCGCGCGCGTAGACTCGGCATCTAGACAAAAACTGTTGGGGGTTGAGTGCACCAATTTCCTCAGGTTCCGCCTGCCCGCCCCTACAAAAAAAAAAATACCTATGGTGATCGCTTCGTCTCCCTATCCCCGACTCTTGGCCGAGCAATGCACCATCATCATCATAAGCAACATCAGCAGCATCACCATCTTCAGCTCCAGCACTAGGTGTGCCTGGCTCTCGCTTCCCCACGGCTAAAAATGGAAAGTCGCCGGTTCCCCCACTCGGACTCCGATGAAGGCTTACGGGACGGATCGCACTACGGAGTTGCATACCAAAAATCTCGTCCGCCTCGGCACGAGATCTGGCTGAGGTCGGCGGACGGGACTTATGGCACGCGCCGTCTGGTCTCTTTGTTTTCGGCGTCGATCGCGGCGGCGCATTACCACTGCCGTGAACCCCGGATCGGACGTCCGGGCCACCGACACCCTGGGCGCCAGCGACGTGCTGTTAGACGTCCAAATCGGCGCTTAGACCCTTGCGCACTGATGACAATCACCAACGATGACGCCACGTAGTTCATCGCTTTGCATGGTTTGTGAAAGAAAGTCGTACAATCTCTCGTTAGTAACCTACCTAACCTCTTTGTTTTGCGAGGCTATGAATATTCTTCTGCGCTTATATACGCCCCCATTGAAATTCCACGGAACGAGTCAAAATCCGATGTAGCAGTTGGAAAATACCCCGTCTGCCATGCTTTTCCATAATGCCAACAGCATACTTGCCTGCATGCTTTGGCATCACGATTGCTACAAACTTGGTTGGTAGTGATATTACTTCCACTCCGCGCATTCACTAACCGGGATCCTTGCACACTCCCTAGCAGCTAATAGTCGCTATCTACAGTCCCCTCTTGCAGCCGACAGCTAGCGTGAATTTGTTTTTTGCTCATGTCATGGGTAGTTGAAGCTATCGTCCGGACGTGTATGTAGAATTAAAAATTCGACATCCTCGTCCGGACGATAGCTTCAACTACCCACATATGTTATATTTCTGAGAGGGGGGCTGTACGAAGTCTAGAGATCTGTTCCTCTTGACGCTCGGGATTCAAGTAGAACATCTTTGCCGCCTCCCTCCGCCCGTCAGCCACCCTTTTAACTAGTACTCGGCCATGACATGATCCTTGTCAGCCACCCGATCACCGTCGGCTCCCCCCTGTGAGACGCCCTGCCGCCGGCTTTACGCAGGGCCGTACCTCCGCGCAATCGCGGAGCTATTCCAACCTCGGCATAGCTAGTTATGTAAGCTTATGCGGCTGTTCGCACCTCTGGTCAGCGCTTCACTCCATCTTAGAGCTCCTCTTACTTCACGTCATTTTGCGCCTTGCTCCCTTAGATAAGCTTCTCCATTAATCCCTGTATCTATCTAAAATAAGTTATAGGAAAGAACAACTGTAAGTTAACCCTTCTGTTTCCATATTCAAAGGTTGGAAATATCTCACCAACAAGTAGTCATGTGAAGGCAAACTAAGTAGTTTTATTAAAAAAAAAAAAAAAGAATTTACCCCGCCCGCTAACTCTCTAATTCGAGGAATCGGCACACTCTCCCTAAACCCTTTGACTTCCAGAGATCGACAGAACTGGGGCGAGACCTTTTGGCACCCGCAAGCGGCCAAGAACCGTACCATCGTTTTGGGCAAAGCACAGCAAGCCACGAGCACATCATTTCCTTATCTGGCGCTCTAGACATGCGCATGAAGTGACGCTAGACAGTACCAAATGCAGGGACACCGGCTTGGCACGAAGACACGTTCATTTTTCCGGCCATATTTGATCAAGACCCATACCCAAATACCTCATATCCGAGATCTACCACCAGCTGATAACTCTTAACACTTCTGGGATCACCGCAACGCTTTTCCGGCTTAAACTTAGCAGGCAACAACCAACCACAAGGCCAATCGAGCACAGCCCTTTCAGTAAGGCTCTATCAAACTCTGGCGTACCACTAGCGTCGACGGCTTCTACCGCCTTCGCCGTAAGGTCCAACAGAGAGTCGTAAACCGCTTTGCATAAAAACACCGACAGTATCCGGTAGCCTCACCCAGGTCTGATCTGACGATTCGTATTGCTGCCTCTTTTTTCTTGCTTACGAGTATCACCTGGAGAGGGCAATCGTTCGCATTAAGGAGGCCAAAACAGTATGAGAGGAAGTTTGTGTCTTAACGCAGAGCTCTCCACAAGTGCATTATACTACTGCCGAATACCGTCTTTCGCGGATATATCAAGAAACTCGAGGGCCACCATCCCCGTTTACCAAACATGCCGGATTTCACTCTGGCTTCTGACCATACGTAACGAAGCTGCATTGCCATCAGTATCACTATACTAAGGAACAGAACAGGCTTACTTACAACGTGTAGTAAGGGTGAATGGACTTGCTCTTCAGCTCTTCCCGCACCTTCGCGTTGATGACCTTTACCTCTTCGAGCTGCCACCCGAGGACGTTGGTGAACATGCGGAAAGAAAATGCCTCCAATCCATCGAGGTACTGCATCAGGTTCACAAGGCCAATCTCTTTCTATCCTTGCCATCAGCAAATTATTTCGACATTTGTGCTCTCAATCCATACCATCTTTGGATCTTTGGGCCAAGGGCCTAACGGTATTTTGTACATTCGTGAATGTACATTGACGAAGCCTGCATCTTTCAGCCATCCCTCTGCCAGCGGTCCTGGATAAAGCTCTTTGCCGAGCTTCTTGCAGCCCTCCTCCAAAGTGGCGAGGAACTGGTTGATGTGGGCATTGGGCTTCAGCGAACCGTCATCGGATCTGTAATGTGTGTCGAAGAGATGAAGTCTGGGCAGACAATCAGCCGGTGCAATCCCATACAGGCCACCTCCCCAAGCCAGCCACTCACTCGGTCCAGCCTCCCGGCCTAGTGCACTTAAACATGTTCCCGATGAGCGCCGGCCAATCAGAAATGGAGCCGTCCAGCTGCCGAGCGAATATAAGATCGAAGGGCGTAGCGTGAGTCCAGGGCGCTTCGGCATCGTCGACTTCAAACTTTACGTTCGGTGGCTTTGAGGTTGCATCTGTCAGGTCCAAAATCCTGCGCCCGAACGTCTTGTGTGCAAGGTACAACATACCACCCAGTTCGGCTGCACGGGAGAAAGATCATTCCCGAGCACCTGCGCATCCGGATACTTGTCCGCAACCTCGATAGCCCAGATGCCTGTTCCCGTGCCGACGTCCAAAACGCGCTTCAATTCTTGTTCTTTGATAGGCGCGAAGAAGTGTTGCTTGCCCGTGACCAGCATTACCATGTGGTGGAGGAGGTCGAGTCGGTCTTGCTCGTTCTCGTCATTCGGCATGAAGTAGGCGCCATCCTTGTAGGCGTGGTACCGGCGACCGTTTTCGATTGGGTAGGCCGTGACACTGGATGTGAGCGATTGCGAATAGGCGGAGAGCTGGTCCTCGATGCTTCCGACGGCAGAATCCGTTTCGAACTACAACAAATCCCTTAGTCAGATTGAGCTTGCACCAATGACTAGGTAGTAGGAATGGAACAGAAGAAAGTCGAAGAGGTTAACGGTTTAGCGCAAAAGTGAGCGATTTGATCGTGTCATGCGAGTTACAAGGGTTCTGCCCAACAAGATCAAGATGACACCTACCCCAGCATCAACCTCGATGTGCTGCTCGGAGGAGGACATGGTGATCTTCAAAATAATTGCGGCTGCAGGGGCCGTGGCGTCAGAATCTGCAGGATGGAGGATCAAAGGAGTCGGCTCCGGCGGCCATGTGGCTGCGGAGCGGGCCGCATAAGAGTAGGAAAGAAAACACGGTGTCAGTGCGGCGTAGCAATGGCAATACAGCAATGATTGACAGAACAGCCGACAAGTCCCCACAGACCCCGCTTCTCAGGAGAGGCGAACGGCTCTCGGCATCTGCTTTTGTAAAGCCGGGCAAGGATATAATCATGCGTTGTACCAAACAAGGTCTTGTTGCAGGCGAAGTTGGATGAATAATCGTGGAGGAATATCAAGGACGGACATGGTTCCGAGGGCTAACAAATTTGCTCGGGCTATTTACTATTAGACTCTCTGAGCGAATTGGTTTGGTATTGAGCAAGGGAAAGGGCCTTCAAACCTAACTGAGATATGTTATATTATTTCCAGTGCTTAAAGCGACACTATAGCTGGATCCACCACTTGCTAGGCTTTCTTTCAATTGTTCAATAGTCCGAGGGTGAAATTTCAAGGCACTATTATCTACACAGCAACGCGAGCCGGCCAATAGGGTTCCTAGCACTTAAAAATCGACATAAGTCCACCCCCACATAAAATTGTAGGTAAATAGGAGGCGATTTGGAGCGCTAATACTTCTTACCATTTCGAATCGGGTTGATGCTACTCGAAGGGAGCCGGGGATGAGAATTTCACACTTCAGAGAAAGGCTTCGAGGACGGGGCCGTCTCTGGATCGGCACTGGTCACTTCAAACATTGGTTTCTTTGGTTTCGACATACATAGCAAATCTTGAGAGAATACATCCGGCAAGTCATATGAACGACTTTTTTTATTGTATTCCAACGCTCTGTGCTCATGGCTTTGTTCTTTGCAGCAACTGCGATTGAGAATCAGATTATGAGATGGGTGATAGAAGCTGGGCCATATGGATTCCATGGCCACATCCGAATTTGGACTATCTGATCGAGAATTCTCCGTGTCCCAGGCTTGAGCAGATATTATTGGTTATCGATGTTGCCAGAAAATTAAACGTGGTTTCAGCCTTGTGTTAATTTCGCAATTAAATAGCTATTTTTGTTTTCACTTGTGTGACAGCTGGGGGGCCGGTTTTAAGTTCAAATACAAAGGCAACATATTCCAAGCAGTTTACACTAAGACACATCACCATCTAAAATATAGTAGATACGTATCTCGAATTGGAAATTGATGATAGTCGGTTTTCTTTTCTTTTTTTTTTTTAAAAAAAAAAAGCGTGTTATGCATGCAAAACACGCAGTGATGCGTCAGTCAAAACCGTGTAACCTTTAGGCATTGGCCAACAGGATCTACGTAAAATCCTTGGAAGTTTATCTACAATCCCCTCTCGCAGAGGATGGCGTGGATTGCTTTTTCGGTGCATCAGAGGTCTGTCAAGTCCTCAAACCAGAAGCCACTAGCGAGTTTGACCTATCACATCGTTCACATGGACACGATCGTCCCCTATTCTGAGCCCTTACTTCCTTTGCGCTGGTCATTGTCTGCCAGAGAAAGGGTGAGGAGGGAAGATAGCAGTGGAGCATAGCGCGAAAGGGATTGTGTAGAAGATGTAGGCGGTAGAGTCCCAGCTGTAGACTGGTTCGTAAAGGAGAACGAGAGTAAGTGTTACAGAGGGGTGCTGCAGTCGATGGCTAGCACGAAGAAGAGCAGGGCTCTAGAATATGGAGTAACTATGGCCCAGCTCTGCCTTAGAAATAAACACATGTGAGTAGTTGAAGCTATCGTCCGGACGTGTATGTAGAATTTTTAATTCTACATACACGTCCGGACGATAGCTTCAACTACCCATGACATGAGTAATAAAAACAAATCCACACCAGCCAGGGGAGATTGAGCTGTTGTCCGGACACAAATGTACGATATAAATATGAACAAATGCGTCCGGACAAGAGCTCCAACTACCCAGCTTTGTTGGGATAGTAACGGAGTTAATCCTATATATCCACGTCTTATCAGCATCTGAAGAAGATATCGGGACAAAAGTATGTTTAAACACCTCTTAGGGTGTTCGAGAACGCTTTCTTGGCCGACGCGACCATTGTCCGTGCCGATCGTTCAAAGATCCTGACGCACAGCTTTCAACTTTGCTATAGCGATTGATTCAAGAGGGCTTTCAGGTTCGGATTACTGGTAGGCAACATCCTGTGGACAAGAAGTCGTTAGCTGGTGACTGTGGCGCTGATGGTGTTGACAGCACAGTAATAGAAGACAAAGTGTTCTAACTTCGGCGGATCTACACCTCAACTGCAGCCACGAGATGATGCATCGCGTGTTGGAGTACATGTACTGCGGTATCCATTCTTTCTGTATGTGTGTGTGTGGCCAGATGTGGTCAGGGGTGTAATGAAAGCATAGCTTGAACGTCGCAGAGACGAAAGGTTGGACGATGATACGAGGGCGTCGAGAGCTATCGGGGACGCCAAAAGACCATGCGCTGGCTTCCTGAGGCCATGGCGAGAGGAAAAAGAGGGAGGTGACGTCCGTCATATTTCCAGCTGCGAACAGAAGTAGCATAGTCAGCCCCATTTCCGGCAAAACTCTCACCAAACCAAAAGAAAATGGAGTCAAGCAGCGTTGAGATGTCCATGAGACGACTCGGGTTCGCGTTCATTCATGGCGCGTGGAGACTGAGTTTAGTCGGTGAGAAGCTTCTCCAGGTCAGCGTTGACGTGTTCGTTGGTTGCGGCGATGTTGGCATGATTCCCTGATCTCGAGATCAAATCCGGTGTGGGGCTTTGCAGATCAGGACGGCAGATACAGCAGGATGTTTCGCGACCGAAACTCCGGGTAGTTGATCAACTGCTGTTGCGAGCGTCCGCACATCGTTTGTGGATGATCCGAGCCACGCCACGAGACCCACAGACACGGTTGAAAGATGTGGGGTTTAGCGACGTTCTGGCACCACCAACTTGGCCAGCGAGGGCAACGCTGAATGCTGCAGGCTGAGTAACGCAGGAACTGCAAGTCTTGCTGCCTCTGGAATTCTCTCCACCGGGCGCCGTTCCGGTAGGCTTACGAGACGATGGGCTGATAGACGTATCGGACTTTGGTGGTAGGTGCCGGCGCTGATGATTGGTCAGTCGTTGATATTCCCAGGTAATGCGTGAAGATACGATCCTTCATCGCGTGGCAATTCATTGTTGTGCGACCAATTGCCGTTTGGGGCAGCACGCACGAAGGAAAAGATTGAAGGACAGGTTACACGACATGAACGCATGGAGGAACGAAAGAAGGTGTTTAAGCCGTGTCGCAAAGTAAGCTTCAAGCACGAGGCTGCCAGCGCTTCGGGCAGCAATGTGCAGCATCACCGTTAGCTAGCAGTCAGAAAAGGACAATCCGCACCAGAATGCGGTACGATTGTCCGCCAGGTGATCTATCCGTATGCTGCACGCACATGCATTCCTTCAAGTCACCGTCTGCCGAGTCGCGCCCCATTCGGGGCGAGATTCTTGTTCGCCCTCGGAGCGGTGTCGTGGCTCAGCTATTCTTCTTTAGGAAGGGCGAGTCATGGCCAGCAGCACAGCCTTACGTCAACAGCTCGAAGATATGCTGATAATTGCAGATCCCGCGGCGATGAAGCATGAAGCGATTTCAACGGCCCGCAATAAGGGTCCATGATACCGACAGGCCTCGAGCGTGCAGCGGAAACGGCCCTCGCGGGGCAACAGAATTCCGTCAGGTGTGCCAGGTCCCGCATTAGTTGAAGCTGTAGATGTGGCCCGATTGGCAGGAGGTGGTCCTTGGGACTGCGCAGCGATGTCCGTAGGCATGGGGTGGGTACAGTTTGCGGCGCCGGGCAGCTCATTGCAGAGGAATTGGCGGATGACCAGAGCATGCATAGGAGGTGGGACGCCACCTTGGGGCGAGCTGCGTCTCCATCTGATGCGTGTACTCGCAGGAAGCTGCTATTGTTTTAGTCTCCACATATGATCTGAAGATTAGAGAAACGCCGTTCTGCCGAGCAATTGCAAGAGCGGAGGGGCAGCCAATGGAGATAGATGCAGAATCTGGAGGATGCCGTTTGCGGCAAGATTGTCACCAACGGTCTCTGTGGAGGATGCTGGCTCACAGTGGAGATGGGAAACGCACCCCGCGGCGGCGACGGGCAGGGTTAATAAGAGCACCGACTGTTGAAACGTCGAGCCGAAACAGCATCGAGGCGATGTGGAGTTTTGCTGACTAGGCCGATTCGTCGGTCTGTGAGGCATTATTTCCTTAGGCCCGGATGTGTAGGGCTGGCCGGAATGTACTTCGACACGAAGCCGTGCACTCGCTGATCCAGACCAGCGCTAGAAGAACACGTGGGAGCGGAGTGCCGGCGACGCCCATTCCGGCAGTCTCCAGGCTTCATCATTGACGGCAATTGGGGCGCTTGGTGCAGGCGATGAGCTGGAAAGCTCGGGACGATTCGCTGATCGCGACTTGGCTGGATGTGTGCGGCACTCGGCAGGCGAAGCCTCACTCCTCCCCGGCGCAAGCAGGGGACAGGCAGCGACCAATTAGCCGATGCGCCGAGCGGAAGGAGGAGGCTGCGTTTCGCGGTAAGAAGAGCAGTGCTGGCGCTGGGGGCGGCGTGAGTGTCGTCAACCGTGTCTGTCGTGGGAGGTACTGTGTGGCGTCATACCGATTGGCGGCGCAGCCTGCCTAGATTGCGAGAGAGCAAGCCGACCACAACTTGCCTTCCTCTGCTGCGTCTGCAAAACTTCTAACCCCCCCGGCGATCCCACGCACGAGCTTCCATTTCTCGCGTCCGCTCTCTCCTCCGCTAGCACTTGTTGGCCCGCGTCCGCGCTTCATCCTTGCCTGCCCGCCTTGCGCACTAGGGCATCGGGTCGCGATCGCTCGCGCACGACGCACTGCAGCTCCACCCCAGACCCTACGAATATACCGCCTGCCTAGCGCCCTGAATAAGATGTGAGCTCTTCCCACCCTTCCAGAAGCGCCCGGTGCGCCCGAGTCTGTAGCTGATATGGCGGTCCCAAGCAGCTGCCGCCCAGCGGCGCCCGACTGCAAAGCGCCTTTCAATCGACGTCTTTCCCTCCCCATCACCCAGCCCTTTCCGCTCGCTCACGGTCACGGGAAGCCTCCCTCCCTTCCTCGCTGCACTACGCTCCCGTATACCCCGCCACAGCCCTCGAACCTCAACCCCGCCTCACCGCGACACCAAACCATGGAGCCGCGCTACTCGGGCTACCACAGGTCCTCCTCGCCTGGAAGCCGCCGCATACACAACCCAGGTCGCGCGACTACCGGATCCTTCAGCTCTTACGACACCTACTACGACCCCTACAGCAGGTCGCCACGGTCCAGCGGCGACCGCCTTGTGTCCTCGTCCAGCACCTCCAACTACTCGACCGCCCCGAGCGCCGCCACTCGAGCCAGTGCGGGGTATGATGCATACACGGGCAGGCCGCGCAGTTCCACGCTCGAAGGCTCACGCCGCCCGGCAAGCACGCTGACCTCCGGCGTGCCCATCCGCACCACCACCCACAGCACCGTCGTGCACTCTCACGACCGACCGTCGAGCCCGCTGGCTCGAAGCTACGACGGCCGCGGCAGCGCGTATACCGTTGCCACTGCTGCCGCCCCCGTTGCCACACCATCCTCCAGACAAGGTCACAGCCACGGGCACAAAAAGTTCTACAGCATCGACGACGGCAAGGCTGTCAGGGTGGATCCGCGTGAAGCAGAGCTCCGTCGCCACAACGGCCACAGCCGGTCAAACTCCAAAACTTACCACACCACCACCCAGCGTTATCCAGTGCAGGACACGGTTGACGAGGGCTACTCGTACACGGATGCCGCCGGTATGTACCGAGACACGGAGCCCAGCTGGCGCGCTCGCTCAGGGAGCGTCGAAAGCCGCACGAGGCGACCGGTGAGCATGGTCGAGAGCTACGGCCCTCGTTCATCGGCTCGCGATCTTTCTGGGCCTCCTGTGACAACACGAGGCTTTGATAAGATCAATGGAGGTGTTGCAGCTGCTTCTGCTGTTGCCCGCAGCGGGAGTCTGAGAGACTATGGCCATGCGCGAGCCTCGTCACGCGAGCGATCACACGAGAGAAGCAGCACCGCAGATTCGTACTATCGTGACGAGGCCATGTATGCGCCGCCTCCGCGCTCTTCATCTGTGCGTGCCGCCCCGGCCCTTCACCAAGACTTCAACGATAGGCGAGAGGATCGACGCGACGATCGCCGAGATGACCGGCGCGATGACCGCTATGGCTACCGAGATGAGGTCGAAGACCGTGACCGCCTTCGCACGTCCAAACGCTATGAGGATCCCGATGTTGAAGCGAGGGGATTCGGCATCAGAGCCCCCAGTGTTGGTCGGCCAAGCAGTGTCGGTCCTGGTAACGATCCTTACCACTCAACTCGGGATGAGATTCTCGACCGGCGGTATGCCCCTCCTCCTCTCCCCCCTGCATCAGTTCCGGCCTATCCTCCTCCCGATGCCGGAATTCCTGTACCAAATGCTCGTGATTATATCCCGGACCCTCCGCGCTCAGCGCGTGGGGAGCCCGAACGCCACGCCAGGGACTACAGGGACTATGAGCGGGATCGCACCAACGACCGGAACGGCGATCGCGATTGGGATCGATCCAAAGGCTATGACCGAGAGCGCGACCGCGAAAGAGACCGCGAAGACCGCCGTGATGATCGTCGTGAGGACCGTCGCGACAGAGACAGCCATATTCCGAGTGTTGTACCAGCTGCTGCTGCGGCTGTTGGAGCCGCGTATGGTGCTCAACATATGGCTGAAAGTGCTGCGGTACGCCACCAGCGAGAACGCGAGCGAGAACACCGAAGCGATTCCGATGAAGAAAAGAAGCGACGCGCTCGTAAGGCTTCGTCATCTGACGACGGCGAGACGCCTCGTGAGCGACACTACGTTGACAAGGATGACGTGAGAGACCGAGAGGATCGCAGACAAGCTTCTTCGAATATTGATCCGGACGAGGAGTACCGACGCCGTCTCCAGCAGGAGATGGAGCGCTCCACTGGCTCGATTCGCGACAGGGATAGCGAGTCCGATCGTGAAAAAGAGCGCCGTAGACGCGATCGAGACAGAGGCGAAGCTCCCAAGGACCGCGTACCGGAGGCTGCTACTCGTGATGCCCCTCGACCGGAACGTAACGGAGACCTTGGACCGGACCAGAAGCCAGATCGGAACAGCGAACGGAGCAACAGCGTCTTCGGTGAATCTATAGTGGATGAGCCTGCTCCACTGTCCGCAGCAGAGGAAAAAGACCGCGACAACCGAGTCCGCATTGTGTCACCCCCGAAGTCTGATAAAGAATCCCCACCCCCTCCAAAAGGTATCTTGCGCAAACCCACCGAGAAGTTTCCTGAGGACCCGAATCCTATTAGGGAGGGAGTTGCGCCAATGAAGGACGCAAAGAAGGGCAAAGACATCCCTCCTGACGCTCGCTGGACCAAGATCGACCGTCGGCTCGTCAATCCCGAAGCATTGGAGGAAGCCAAGGAAAGGTTCGAAGAGAGAAAGGACTGCGTGATTGTGCTCCGGGTCCTCACGCGCGAGGATATTCAGAAGCTTGCGGATCGCACAAGAGAGATCCGTGAAGCCAGAGGTAATTACCCACCTGATTCTGCTGCGCTTTATTCGTCTTTTCTTGCGGATTCGAAGAAATCTCTCGCACATTCCTCGTCTGGGTCATCATCGGATAGCAATGCCCGAGACCAGGACCGAGATGACCCATCTTCCTCTGAGCACAAGCATCATCGCAAACGTCGCTCTCGAAGTCATCACCGGCATGACGATGAGGACGAAGACAAACATCACCATCACCACCATCAAGATGTGGACCCCATTTCTTCTGTTTTGTCCGAGAGTTCAGAGAAGCTTTCAAAGTCGAAGACTTTGACCGGCATTCTTGACACTGTTATCGATGTGCTAACGCGCCCCAAAGAAGAAGAGTACCACCGCGGCGGCGGTGAAGATCGCAGCCGTGATCGCGACCGTGGCGAGCACCGCAGCAGCCACCGCTCGTCCCGCCGCAAGCACAGAGACAGGGACGACGACTCCTCGTATGAGAGCGACGAGGATGAGGAGGATGCCAGGGAAAGACACCGGGCGCCTCGCATGATCGAACCGTCGAAAGAGCCGCATGAGGATTTCCGCGAGAGGGAACGGGATCGTCAGCGCGAAAAGGAAAGAGAGAGGGAATTCTGGGTCGATCCGTCAAGGCAGTGATTTTGTGATTGTGTGGTAGGAAGGCATGGCGGAAACATCTGCGTGAAGCGCTATCAGGGCGCTTGGAGCCGGATGGATGTGTGTACCGATAGGGGTGTGGATTGGATCGAATTTTCTTTACTGGACAGGGAGACATGATATCGTTGGGATCGGAGTTAGTGTCACAGGCCAGACGGGAGGGGACATGGAGACTTTTCTGGATTCTTTGGATGGGTTCGAGGTGTGTGGGGAGCGTGACTGGATTTTTTATTTCTGATGAAAGCGTGGCATTGGAGATAGGGAAACTCATGGCTGCATATATTTCTTGCATTAGAAGAGAAGGGTGTTATTTCCTATCGTCGTGGTTTCGCGAGGTTTTTGATCATCTTCTTGCGTTGGGATCACTCGCTGGTGAGCTGGCAGGCTTGCGCTGTGCGTTCGCCCTCTTTTTGTTCTATGGATACTTTCGAGAAGTGGAGAGTGACGGTGGGAAGGACAAACGGGAGTACAGTCAGGCCACGAGGCCATATCTTCTTCTGTTCTCTATCTGTCTATATTTCTTCCTGCCTTTTTCTTCTTGAAGAGGAGACTGAAGCAAAGCGATGGGATCTTTCTCTATTTCTTTTGCTCTCTTGGCCCTTTCTTGCACTTCTTAGCGTATTCCCTTTTTGCCTCTCCTGTCCTCAAGCAAAGACAATTGAAAGTACAGCGGCACAAGCGGCAACAAATCAACGAACGCACAAACAGCCCGCTCGTGCATTGCCAAAAGAAAGCGATGTGATTGGCACAGCACGGCTACTAGCATACCGCGCATGTACGTGCTCCTCACCCTCCGCTTCCCTCACTCCTGACACTCCCATCGCCCTCGGCAGGCGACGACGGCAAGCGGCAGCACCGTTATTGTCCATCTCCATGACATCATAGCGTACACACAAGATTTTGGGGGCTATGCAGTGCATATGCAGGATACCCCATCACTGGTCTTTTTCTGACAGTCTTCGAGTTCGTTCCACGTCCTTCACCACGTAGCCGGTAGAACACGTGGAGAGCTCTTCTCGCGCCCTCGGGCACACACATTTTCTGCGCTCTCTCCATTCTCGCGATGTGAGGGCTGAGGGAGGGTTGCGTCAAGATGCAGGAGCTGGTGGTGCGCGCCCGATCAGTCGTGCCCTCTGCTGGCGGGAGTGTGTGGCGCAGGGTGGCCAGCGTGCACAGGTCGTGGGAAGCCAGTTCGACGGGTTTCGGAGCGTTGGGTCGGCGGCGTGCGGTTCACCTTTTTTTGCGTCACAGATAGCACTGTGGATCACGTTTGGTAGGTGTACAGACCGCGGATCTGCGACTGCATGGGGGCCGAGGGAGATGGGTAAGCGAGACGTGTTTGTGGACGCCATGTGGTCGCGCGGTGGTGATTGGTTGGTGATGACGACGGTCTCGTGGCCGGTGGTGGCGGATTACTGTTTGTTTTTTTTTGTTGTGCGTATATCCAGGGAAAAGGAATGCAAGGGATTGGATGATGGAGGGGAAAGGTGGCGGGCTGAGGGCATGGTGTCACTCTTGATTTGAGGGGTTTCTGGTGTTACGTCTCCATAGGAAGGGAATTTGTTGGTGTCGAAACCGCGATTGGGCCTCGCTGCGCGCATGCGTCTCACTGTCGAAATCATCGGGCCTGGTTGGGCGCTAATCAGGCGATATGTATCATCTTACTAAAGAATGAACAAGTCCATCAGCTTCATTGTTGTCCAGGATGCACAAGTCATGTCTCGTCTCAGAAAATGTACACATGCCCCGCACAACTTATAGGATGAGCGCTTACCTTTCGAGGAAAGAGCCACGTTCTACCCACTAAAACGTACCTGCCACCTCAGCATTGACCGAGGCTCAAAGCTTAAAACCAGAATGTCCCCAACGAGGACCAAATTCCCAAGCAGCATCAAAATCGTGGTCAAGTCTTAAGCGAGGGCAATAATGCTGAATTGATCTTGTTACTGGATTTTACTTTTCGTGAAGATAAATCTTGATAGCAGAGCGGAGCAGTTCAATGAAAGGCTGGTGTTTAAGGCATTTTAGCAAGATGATAACTATATTACTAGCTGGCAGAAGGATTTCATTGGTAGAGGATACCAAAAAAGAAGAAAAGCATGCGATATCTCGACTATTTGCCAATCATTATAGCTAACAGTAAGGCAGTCAAGTGCCATCATGTGTATAAATATTGTCGTTCACGAAAACCAATTTTATTGCACGTCTGCAGCATGCAAAATAGAGCATCCACCGGCGTTTCCCATCACAACTGAAATTGACAAAAGCTTTTCCGATCTCATCTCCAACGAGAGACCTCAAAGAAACACCTCCATTGTTCGGTAAGCTTTTCCGCCAAAGCTTGAATGATACAAGGGTTTGGCAAGTGTCCGAGAAGCGGGGCTCGAGCTTAGACGTTCGCTATCCTATCACATCGAGGAGGCGTGCCCCACGTACCCCACATACAGACGAATATGTGTAGATCAGTAGTTTTCCCCGTGGGGAGAGATTCGGAAAAGTGTAATCCGGCTATCTTCAGGCCTTAGTAGTGGGGTGTTATGGAGATAGAACAAATCTCACCCACGACGGGTATAACGCCTCCCTTCTCGCATCCCTTCCAAGCCCCCCATGACAACGACTTCCTTCGAGTTGATTGAGAACGAACTCGTATCAAACAGTACCGTCTGCGAATACTGCTGACATATGAGCATGAGCGCGCACCATACGATGACCACCACCGCCGCCCCTAGCGATAGTGGAAACGACAGAATCAAACTGTCTACCCTTCATATCGAAAATGCCGATGCCGATGATCTCAGGCACCGGAAGTTCAAGAGCGCTCGAGGCGGTGCAGACACCGCGCTTGCTCTCTTCAGTGATGTCGACGAGATCAGTCAACCGCACGACCCGGCCGAAGAGAAGGAACTCATTAGGAAGATTGACTGGATGATCCTCCCGTATCTATCCGTTTGTTATGTCTTCTTCTATGTAAGCCCTTCCCTCTATTCAAAGAGTGGTTTAGAAGGTGACCGTGAAACTTCTCTTCACTGCCAATGCTTCCCAGTATGCGAAAATAATGGCTGACCAAAAAGTAGCTCGACAAGACTACGCTCTCTTACGCAGCAATTTTTGGCATCTCGGAAGATCTTCACCTCGTCGGCAATGAATACAGCTGGTTGTCCTCAATCTTCTACTTCGGGTTCATGATCTGGGCGTTACCGACCAACCTTCTGATGCAACGATATCCAATTGGCAAATACCTTAGCATCAACATCATTGCATGGGGTATCCTCCTCATGCTCCAGGCGGCCGCGACCAACTTCGCCTCGCTGGCCGCTCTCCGAGCGCTCAGTGGTGCCGCAGAAGCCTGTGCGGATCCCGCATTCATGATCATCACCGTCATGTGGTACACACGGCGAGAACAACCGATCCGGATCGGCCTCTGGTACACGTCACTCGGTCTTGGAATTGCGGGCGGTGGCCTCCTGGGTTACGGAATCGGGCAGATCCGTCACGTACTCCCAAGCTGGAAGTATGAGTTCCTGATTGTCGGAGCACTATGCTCCGCTTGGGGTGTTGTCATGTTCTTCCTCCTGCCCGACTCCCCAGTAACTGCTCCGGTCTTGTCTTTGAAACAAAGAAAGATGGCTGTGGAGCGCCTCCGCGAAAATCAGACTGGAGTGGAGAACAAGCAGTTCAAGCTCTATCAGATGGTGGAAGCCGTGACAGACGTTAAGGTGTTCCTGTTTTTCATGATTGCTTTGCTACAAGCCATGGTCAACGGCGGAATAACAAACTTTGGGACGTTAATTGTGAAAGGATTCGGCTACTCCACACGTAAGTTTACAGTGTCTGTCCAAAATGAAGTCTGGGCGCTCACGATCATAGTTGGAACGAACCTCCTTCAGATTCCCTACGGCGCTTTTATATCGTTTGTAATCCTTGCGTGCGTCTTTATCAACAACAAGGTACCTGGAAACAAAAGATGTCTCATGCTTTTGGTTTTCCTGGCCCCCAATGTTGCCGCAACATTCGGCATGCGATTCGTCTCAACGGAGCAGAAAGTTGGGCGATTAATCTGCTATTACGTGAGTTTCCATTCCAAGCATTTCTTATACTCCCATTGTGCTGATGGGGGTTCCAGTTGACCGGCTCGTACAATGCATCTTTTGTCATGCTCCTTGCTCTGACAACTGGCAATATCGCAGGCCACACCAAAAAGGTTGTGACCAACGCGTGTTTGTTTGTCGGGTATTGCGTTGGGAATATTGCAGGCCCTTTCTTTTACAAAGAGGACCAAGCGCCTGTATACAGCCTCGGCATCTGGAGTATGATTGTGTCTCATTTGCTTGAGGTTGTAGTTGTGAGCTTGCTATGGTTTCTTTTACGGAGAGAGAATCGTAAGCGAGATCAACTGCAAAACGTCGAAGGCATGGTCGACCCTGGGCGCCAAGAGGCAGAAATGGACAGCACGGCTTTCAGCGACTTGACGGATAAGGAGAACTTGAACTTCCGATATATATATTAGCTGTGTGTAGATTGAGACCAATCGACTCGAGAGACAGATGATGGAATACTGCAAAATGCATGTCGTATAGTTTTTTCTCCGCTTTCTCATTCTCATTCTCTTTCTCTTAGCCACCGTTTACGGAACCGAGCAGCAGCCACCCTGACTCAACCATGCTTGCGGCAATCTCCGACGATGCAAAGTGGGGTATCATAGTTAAAGGTTAGCGCGAGGAACAGCAGGGCCCTATACAAAGGACAACTATGCCTCCATATTTTTCTTGCGAGAAGCAACATATGGTGGGGGTGGAAGTTATCCTCCGGATGTGGATGCAGAATTGCTAATTTTACATGCTCCGTCCGGATTGCTTCCCATGGCACGAGCGAAAAGCAAATCCACGTTAGGCTTCGGCTGCAGTATCTATCTTTGCCGTGTAAACGAAGTCCACCCCTGCGTCGTATACTGTCTTGGCGGTGGAAACCAACGAATTTCTTCCCGCCCAATTATCTCAGCTTACCTCTTCCTTGGCACCCAGACAGCTGCCAAGATCTCCGCCCTCACGCCTTCCAAGAAAGTCTATCATGTTACATGGTGAGTAGCGCAGACAGCACACCCTCGTCTTACAAGAAACATTTTCCCGTTGTCTTACTGTGTCGTCGCATGACGGCTCATCCAAGAATCTGATCCATGTTGATAGTTTAGCGCTGAGTGTATCTTGAGAGGGATGATTGCTCTTCACTTCGAGGTGGAGAATAAGTCACACGTGTGAGTTGAAAATTGGGGTACTGAAGTGTATATTTACAATTTGAAGAATGGAAAACAAACCAATATTCACAGAAGAAGATGAAAACGAAGACGTGGAAAGTCGAACAGAAACCACAAAAGCCGCCACCCCCCTTCAAGCCAAGCCCACTTTGCGCCTCGGACCAGTCTACCAAAGTGCCTCCGTCATACCGTCATCACCGCGTCAAGCTATTCGCCTACACATTGACACCGTGCAGCCACTCCTGCTGGATTTGGCGGGCAGAGAAGGTGCTGACGCGCAGGATCTCGCGCATCTGAGGCACACTGGTCAGCATCTTGTCCCTGGCGACGAACCAGCGGAGACCCTCGTGACAGGGCGGGCTGGTCAAGCTGCCCTTGTAGGTCCAGAAGTCGTCGAAGCCGTTGACCTCGTCGAGGGCGAGGTCGAAGCGCATCTCCATGGCGAGCTGGCGGTTGGTCTCGTTGAAGTGCAGCATGGGCGAGGGAAGCTGGTCGATGAAGCTCGAGTTGTAGGTCGTGTCGTCGAGGCCACCGGTGGGGTCCATCATGAAGCCCAGCACGGCCTTCTCGTGGCCCTCGGCGTCGACGTGCACCAGGTGCAGCTCGGCCCTGGTCGTTTTGCCGTCGATGCGGTGGTCGCCAGGGGCGTGGATGTGCCAGCCGACCATGTAGACGGTCTGGTTGTCGAACTCCATCGACGGCAGCTGCGAGTAATCGCCCTCCGGGCGGTCGAGGCTGAAGGCGGAGCCGTAGCCCCAGTTGAAGTACTGACCGGCCCACGTGCCCTTGTAGCCGGTGAAGTACGGGGTGTGGACCTTGTTGCCCAAGGCGGCGGTATTCAGATTGATGGGAGATTGTTGGGTGCCGGTCTGGCAGAGCTCATAGTCTGTTGTTCGTAAGCATATTGTATGCTTGCGCAGGTCACACGCGGACTTACCGGGACTGATGCGGCCCCAGTCATAGGAAGCCTCGTATGCCCAGTCCCTGGAGCTGGAGTTCCGAGTAGTCCACTGGCCATTTCCGGTATCAGGAACGTCCTGACGCTTGTAGATGGCGTTGGAAGCAGAGCTGGAGTGATCAGGGCAGGCAAGGATGGTGGGCAGGAAAGCTGCCAATGGAACAAAGTAGGCAAGCATTTTAGCCGAAGTAGGAAGTATGTCTGCTTGGTGAAGATGTTTGGAGGCCTAAGCTTCAAGGCAGGGTTGCTGGAGAATGCTGAGTGTTGATGATGATGAAGTGCTTGAGAGGGGCGGAGGCTTTATAAGACTGTAGAAGTATAGGCAGCAGAAGGCCCAAACTCGTCCAAGATACGGTAAGCTTGGATCAGACCTCAATTCTAGCCGTGGGCTGTGGCAAGCGGGGATTTCCAGTCAACAACCAGACCCAGAGCTTGGCATATGGCTCCGAATGAGGGAGACTTGGCAAACTGTTTGAGGGAACAGAATGGCGAATGCAGGACCAACGAGGCTGAGGCCATGGCGCTGACTACACCACGCCACCGTTTGATGGGGTGGGCACGCGGCACTTGAAGCCTCTTGCATTTCCACCAACCGGCCGGGGAAAAGATAGAAATAATCAAAGTACGGGGGTGTTATTGCAAGCTGGAACAGGCTGACTCGACAGCCGAACGTGCGAGTCGGTACCGAACGGCGGAGAGCAATGCCACGCGGCCAGCGTTTCGGCCTTGGCGACGGGGTGCGTCATGGAGGAGAGGGAGATGAGGGCGGAGAGCGGAGTGCTTGAGACGGTGGACGCGACGTCCTTAGGCGAGAAAAGAAGGCGCGCCTCCTTCCTCCTTCCTCCCTTCCTTCCTTCCTGCGTTCGCCAAGGCCAGGACCTTCCTCCTTTCACCCTCTCTCCAACTCCTCCCTCGACATCTTTGCGACAACACACAACATATCCACGATAGACGGCTGTGTCTGCGCTGGCTGTGCTGCTGCGCAATCGTATTCCACGCATCTTGGCAGCTGACACGCCGCCGTCTCGCAGCGGCGCGGCGCTAAGCATTGGGCGATCGCGAAGCCTAATCTTTGAGTTTAATTCCAGCATCCCCTATACTTTACCCTGCTGTCAGAAAGTGTCTGTGGGCTGATAATACTCACAAGACCTGCCTCAAACGCGCACCCCGTCGTCGTCAACACTCTCGGCAGTCTCTCGCGATGCTTGGCCTCTACCACTGTCAGCGGAACCAGCCTTAGCCTTGGCACTATATGGAAACCCCCATCGAGCCAGATTGACTCGAAAACACGAGCCGAGCTCGACATGACTCTCCTCTCTGCCAAGTGCTACACCACCTCTGCTCTACTCGCAACCGCCATCTGAGCGAATATCCATCATGGCTCTTAGCCAGTGACGGTTTGCAGGCCCTGTCCCTGAAGAAGGGGCCTCACGAGTCATGGATGATGCCCTGTGCCATGTCGTACTGCCTCATACTCCACCTTCCCGGCAATGCGGACTGCGCCCTCGTCTGCCCCGCAGATCGTCCTGTCGAGCAGATCGCCGTACTTCAGACTGCGCTATTCGCTGCAACAAACGGCGGGACTAACACTTCACAGCGATACGTTCGCGAAACGGAACATGCCTATCTCCATGGACTTGGCAACGCTGCGCCAGGCCTTTTGGCGAACACCGCCGACCTAGCACTGCCGTCGTGACGCTGATCGCCGTTATAGCCATGCATTGGCATTGACGCAACACTTGGTATCCTGAAAACGCCAAGCCCGCCTTGTTTCGTCAGCACCGTCGTTCCAGCCTGCGTTACTTCAACAGTAACTTAGGTCAGCCCGCCCCGTGCGCGGCATACCACAGCCGACGCTCCCGCCGGAGCACTGCCTCCGTATCTAGCACAGCCCTACCCGAAAGAGACACGGGCCGATTCTTGACATATTCCAGAAGCTTGCCAATTTCTCCAAGAATAGCCCCATTTAGAGTTTGTACCAATCGCCCTGGTTGTTTGATCCTCTTAACCGTACATGTTGTGTACCTACTGCCTTCGAGCTTAACGTTCTTTGTGGTTATCTTGAGGGGGCTGTGACTTGTTTCAGGCCTTCTCTACATCATGTTGTCCACCAATTCAGCTTGGAGCTCAACTGTCGTAACTGATAAACTCGCTCCTTCAAAACTGAGTCGTCAGCCAGTTCTACTCCGCGCTATCGTTTGATTGCACGGCTCCCTTCGCAACGTGTCACCGCTCAGCGCCTCGCATTAGATCGCTTACAGGCGCCCTGCTCTCCTTGAATCCGAATCCTTCGGATGGTAAAGAGGAGGTCCGTGATGCCGTACATGACGAGGGGGCTCCGGTAAGCAAGTAATAGTCAATGAAGCTGGAGATGAAGCTGAAAACATTGGTCAATCTCAGCACATCAAAGACTACCAGTTCCGTAGACTCGCTTCAGGGCCGACAGCGAGCTACAAAGTCATCAGCAGACAGGAATACCGCTGCCTCTATGAAAAGAAGGAAGGGAATCAGGTGGCAACTGGAAGCCACACTATCTGCTGGCTGTCGATCGTTGGTGGGGAGTAAACGATTTGAGCAGGCAAATGGCAAACATTTCCGCTCGTGTCACGGGTATCGACGTACATGTAAAATTAACAATTAGACATCCACGCCCGGACGATGGCCTTGCAAGGAAGAGCAAGCACTTCACCCAGGTCTGGAACACTTTCAGTGTATCTTGTGGGTTTCTGAAGGCAACACATACCAAATAGCGAAAGTATCGTCACCTGGAATAACACATAGAGCCACATAAGAGTTGGGCTCAACAAGAGTGGGTTTACCGATTTCCAGGTAATGACAACTGCGGGCGGCCTTGGGAGAGTCGGTTGCGCTGCAAAGGCTACCTGAAGAGCCCTAATTAAGACTGGACCGGGATTTGTTCGTACTCAAATCTGCATATTCTGGCAGATTCCAGTAATATTCTAGTATCACATTCACTTGCAGTCTATCTACGAGATTTGCTGAAGAGTGAAACAAACGGGAGAAAGACAATATTTATGGACAAGAGAAAAGAAAAATCAAGACAATGTTCTAAAATCAATCACTTACAAAATAGGCAGGCACGCCTTCTGCGCCACCGACCTCTTGCCCGTCTCGTTGGGCAACGGAACATGGGCCTCGGTATGCGTCGAATTGGGGCAGCCGTTCGTCTCCAGCTCGGCCGTCACCTTCTCGGTGCCGGTGGCGAGGTCGTAGTGGAAGAGGGTGCGGTTGAACATCTGCAAGCTGGCCTCGGGCTGGAAGTAGGGCACCGTGTGGCCAGCCTCGTAGATGCGCATGAAGGAGAAGTTGCCGTACTGGCGCACCACGCCGTACTCGGTGCCGCCGACGACAAAGGGGGCGTAGCCGGCGCCGCGGAACTCGGCGGCGTGGGCGTACTCGACGGCCAGCGACACGGCCTCGCCGCCGAACCAGTTGCAGATGTAGTCGGCGTCGCCGTAGTAGAGGGCCACGCGCACGCCCGCCGCGAGCAGCTCCTCGATGTCGGCGAGGAAGTGGTCGTAGACCAGGTCGCCGGTTTGCTGGAAGGCGGGGAAGATTTCGTTGTTGGATTTGGTGTAGTTGAGATTGACTGGTCAAGACGATTTGGAGGTGTTAGCCTTATGCCGTCCATTTCTCTCCTGCCTTTCTTCCTTTTCCTCCCTCGGATCTCGCGAGGGGATGCGTTTCGAGATTATGCCATTAAGCGTACCTCCGATGGCGTTCTGTACCCAGTCTTGATTCAGGTAACGTTCAAAGTACATGGGCGGCGCGAGGTTCGCTGCCGACTGGCGGATGTCGTAGGCGCCACGGTCTGAACAACGCGTCAGCATTCGATTCTTCGCCCTGTGCCTGAGAGAACGGCTGAATTTGCATTACCTCCATAGGTCATGTACAAACGCTCAACGTTGTCGGTGCACATGACTTGGGCGCTCGAGCACATGGCTTTGCCGGCGATCGTGGATTTGTCCAATGTACGGCAGGCGCTGAGCTTTATCAAGCGTTAGACAGCAGTTAATATCGCACCGGCGGTTTGAATACTAACCTGGTCAAGGCAGCCGCCCGGCATGTGGAGGGCCATTTGCGCGTAGTCGTAGACGGTGTCATCGTAGACTTTGATGCCGTATGTGTTGTTGACAGCAAATTTGGGAAAGTGCGGAACCTGGATGGCCTCATCGATGATACCGTTCCCAATCTGTTTCCTTTTTAGATTCGTTCCCTTCTTACCAGCTTGAAAACCTACGCCGAGAGAGTTGAAATTCAGCTGAACGCCCGCTGCTGACCCGTTGGCGATGGCTTCATTTTGTTCATAGAAGTATTTGAAGAAAGCAGGCCCGTAGTGGCCGCTAGCATGCCGTCAGCATCTACTCGAGGGATCAAGACGTCTACTCACCCGTAGCTCTCCGTCCACAAGTTGAATTCCCTGCTCTTGACTTTGCTGTCAAGCATTGGGAGAGCACCCAAGAAGCCTTGCAGGACGTGATATGCCGCAACCGCCGCCAAGTCCGTCGTATCGACCTCGGTTGCGTTGATAACAGGATACCGGCCGGCTGCGGTGCTTTCGTTGCTCGGGTGGATGATGCCGGTATCGGGGTCCAGGCTTCCAACACCCTCCTCAGCGTATGAAAAGCCGGTGCCAAGCGGCTGGCTAAGAAAGAGCAGATTAGATACCTCAGTCCACGAGTACGGGTTCAGGTTTGAGGTTAGATTCTCGGTGAGATTGCAAGGGCCGAGCTCTGGACGGAAATGGTCAGCCATGAACGCGCCGAGCTCTGGACGAGTCAATATCCACCTGCAAACAGCCCGATCAAGGAGTCGGAGCCAGGGCCACCGTTCAACCACAAAGTAATGGGGTCGCTGGCGGGGTCTCTTCTTGATTCTGCAACATTTAGCACTCGATTATACCGACTCTGATCTGGAGCCTACCGAAAAACCAGAAGAAGGTATGCACATTTGGAGCAATATCGATGTACCCAGAGTAGCTGGACAGTCAGCGGCGAAGCTTTCCAGGAGTGCTAAACCTACGAATTGACACCAGGAGTCGTCTCGCAGATGCCCGCCTTGCCCGGCTCTTTATAGCGAATAGTGACATTGGTTGGCGAGACGATGGTCTTGACATCGGTAGCATCGGCCGGAACGCCTCTTGCCTTGAGCGGCAACTTCATGAATGCCGCCACGCCAGACGCCGAGAGGAGCGCCGCGGCGGCGCTGGTGCGGAGCACATTACTGAACATAAGTGTGAGTGAATGATGGAAAATAAAGCACAATCGTCAAAGGTGGCTGAGGAAACGCGACAGCGAGTCCATATTTGAATTCGACAGCACAGCCTACGGCCGAGGCGGTCCGTTACCGGTGCCATCATCATGGTTCGAGTTCCAGGCGGCAGCTGAGATTCGCTATGGCTGGCTTAACCGTTAATGGAAGGTTTCTGGGAACCCACGTGCTGCGGCCAGGGAAGAGGCTTGCATACGACTTTGCAACGGCTTTTCCTCCAAAGCGCAAGCTTCATCAAAGTCGACTGTGCGCGACAGAATCTTGAACCGTGGTTAGAGATTGCGGGTTGTACCGCCGTAAGGCTGAACGTCAATTACTGACTGCGTCAATCCAATCACGTCCATGCGCAAGCAGGGACTGATTCTTTTCCAAGACTGTCTCGTCATACCAAAGAGCCTGTTCGCATGAAGCACAGCCCGATTCGCTGGGTAGCTAAATATCGCCTTCTGAGTTCTTGGCTGTAGAGCGTTCGAAAATGTAGAGGATACTAAACCGTTGCGCCCCTGGCAAGGCGGCCTTGCCGTGAGAAATCCCCGTGGGTAGAAACGTGGGGACATCTCGACCCGGAAAAATAAGAACGGGGTTCTAGACTAAGTACACGAAAAGTGGCAGTGCCTACACACCGCGACCATGGTAAACGTATTCCTAAGCCACTATGCTATACCGTGGTTACAGTCGTACGCGTAGACAACTCGTGACACTCTTGCCCATTGTGGAGACTCCAAAGGAAACGGTACACCACTGTAGCTACTATGCAATCCGGACAAAATGATGTACCATATGCCACGGGCCCCAAACATACAAGTCCCAATATTCTAAGCACGCCTAAGCTCGACTGTTTTCCCGTTAAGGCCGTAGGTCGAGAATAGTAATGGTACTCAATTACAGCTGACAGCTGTAAGTCGTCCATCTGCATCCGTTGTGTTAACAGCATTGTCTCTTGGTTCGCTTATTGTTGCCGCCCCATGTGAAGGTCAAATCAGGCCCTTTAAACACCACGTTTACAACACCACGCGTCGGCACTTTGCACTGCAACTTCAAAACGACCACAGATGGAGCTCCACCGCCAGATAAAAAGAAATGGCAAAAGAACTACGCTTATTCCGTTACCGGGAATCGAACCCGGGCCGCTCCGGATCATCAAGTCAACAAGGACATTGAAAGCGGAGAATCCTAACCCCTAGACCATAACGGAGATTGTTGTTCTTGAGACCTGCTCCAGATTGTTGCATATATATACTCAAATTTTTTGCCCTCCACACCAGGTAGGAAGAGCGGGCAGAAGCCTCTGTCCCTTGTCGGTGTTAGTGCATCGTCTTTTGGCTGGGATTCATCAGCCTACATGCAGCCACAGCGACTAAGGAATTTGAAATCACAAAAATGGGCTGTTTCATACCTCGTCGATGACGTTATGCGGCAGGGCCCTGGCTTGCACATCCACTCTGACACCAGACTATTTGGCAGCGCTGCATGTACTCATCAACTTCGCTTATTGACCTTGGGAGAGAAAAAAATGCGATCAAGACAGTTTCGATGATTTATGAGCAGCAGCTTTCTGTAAGCGAGGTTTCAATCCTGGATTGGTTCACCGGGATTTTCTGCTCGCTTTCAGGATGACTACCCTCTTATTTAGGCTTCCAAAAATTCATTTACTTTCCCAAAATCCCCTTTTCGGACACAGCCGCTCCATTCCTAAGTTCAGCCCTTGTGTTTCCGTTGGTAGCGCATCCTGCCTTCTCACCTCGCAACGCAACTCGAGCTTGTGCAACGCTGGAGGGGAAGCAATCCTATCTGGGCTTTGCAGAGGAAGCTTGGCGAATGAGATGCATTGGTCTGTACGCTTCGATGTGAAATCGCCCAGGTGACCACAATAATGGCGTAGAGGCGGCGCTATTCGGCGCATCTTGAGGCGCACCAAATCACATGGTACCTTGCACCGACATTTTGCAAAGACTAATGCCTGTAGGAACGATTCCATCAGCAGCGGCGCCACAAGTTCAAAGGGATGATGACCCTTATCGGAGCTAGTCCACTCGACAGATGTGGCCCGACGCACTTGTCTCGGCATGCAAGGAGTTGTTATTCCCGCTCAACTCCCGCCGGACCGACGATGGCACCTCTGATTGCCGGCCTTAGGTCTCCAAAAGCGTTCTTGCAACATGCTGCTGGTTCTGAAGCCAGTATTCGGACCTGACGGAACGGCTCAGGGCCCCAACGGCTATTTTCAGGGTAAGGCTTCAACTTGTTCCAGCACTCTTCATGATGATATGCACCATCTTGCAACATTCCATCAAGCTGGCATTAACGTCGAACGTCTAGCCAAGGCCTTGGCTGATCTGGAGCCAAACGGGTGTGCCTCGTTCCTGCTGGTTCGTAGCACTGCATGTCAAGCTTCGTCCCTGGCTTTGAACCTCGCGATCTGGACCGTTCGAAGCTCACTAACCTGCTGTAGCGGCCGAGGACATCACCTTCGGACGTCTGGCCAAGACCTTGGCTGAATTTAAACTACTTTGAGCATCCTCAAGGATCGACTGGTGGGTATCACGGCATTCGATATCTCGCGCCTTGCGTGGGGCCATTATGCAGCGGTACCTATGGTGATGTTCTAGCAACGTTCCACTTACCTCCCGCTTGCTGGCACATTCTTCATGAAATCCCCACTTGTGGGGCATCTCCGCACACCTGCGTATTCATTCGGATGGAATGTGGAATTTGCTGATATGCGTCATGATCTGACCTGCAGTTACGGCCCCGCAAATGCCGGTAGCGCCCGTTATCAAAAAGTTTCAAGCAGATGACCTGTATGCAGTTTGATCACTAGTAATCTCTGCGACCAAGCTCAACGTCGGGGACTTTCTTTGTGTATTCCACAGCTACGCGTACAACGAGCGTTCGAAAGCATCAGAGCGTCCCTTCACGTATGAGCGCCCATTTTCATCAATAAGAATAATTGATAGCAGAGATTCCCACCGCACTTCATCCGTAACTCTATCATCGCCGCTTATGCACTGAACCGCCCATCCTTTGAGCACTCAGCCGAAGGGACTTTTGTGCCTTACAGAATCCCACCAACACTTCATGCTCAGTAAAACAGCTAAACTTAATGCTAAGGTGTGTTTCATAGATAGCCGCTGCTCTCGGCGTTGCGCGAAGGACCGACTCCACAAAGACTATTTTCAAGCCATTCATATACCGTTCAACGAACATCGTGTCGCTTCACATATTTGATTTATCTCAGAACACGGCCGGTAAACAATCACGTGCTGGAGGGTTGGAACTGATGAGCTGGTTTCCAAGCCTCGACAAAGCCGCACTTTATTACGAGGAGAGAGGAAAATACCAAGAAGATATCATGAAACCAGCAATATATCATGGCTTTCTTGAACCATACACATGGTCAAGTCTGTTCCTGGAACACACTACTAATGTGGGGTAACTACTTGTACATGCCGCTGGGTACGTCGACAGCGTGTGATGGAGCCTCTATTGCTGACGATGATCCATACTGCGAGTCTTCGCACTATTCTCACCCAAAGCTCTCAGAACATATCTCGTCCTCGGCCCTGCAATAAAGCTACAGTCAAACAAACTACACGTCATCCTTCAAATCGCCACAGTGTTTGGGTCAGCAATCAGAAAATCCTTCCAGATGCACTTTATTGAACCAAGAGCGTTGTATTCGCTTTTTCTTAGCCCATGTTGAAAGCCTCAAGTAAGTTTCGACTGTGGGAGTTTCCCTGGCCAATTGCTTTTGCAGAACATATGGGTGATCTCTTGCAAAGAGCTGAACGTACAGTAAAGATCCATAGAAACCCCGCAAGTCGCAGCTTTTGCTTGAAATCCTAAAAATCTGTTAAAGCCCTCATTTAGCGACTCTGCCGGGAATAAAAAAGTTAACAAAGGAGTTACAGTGGAGACAGCCTTAATATTCAATTAACAAAGAGATCACGTATACCATCTTTCACAGAGGCCTGCCGCATGATTCTTTGTCTTCACCTCTCCATTCGTAACCCCAACTGTCCATCATCATCTCCGCATCTCAATCCAAAAGAGCAGTATATCTTCAGCCACACATCCACCAACCCACAGCACCGGCGATTTATCTTATCAAGCACGACACTAAAATGCTCTTCTTTCTCCCACCCTCCCTCAGGATTGCTTTCAGCGCCATCACCTTCACCATCGCCTTCTTCACGACCCGCAACAATCACTGGAACACCGGATTCGTCTCCCAAGACAGCGGCACCACGACGTCCAGCCTCGCCGCCACCGTGCACGTCAGCACCAACCTGCTCTACTCGGCCGCCGTCGCGCTGTTCATAACGCTCCTGGTCCTCTGGCCGCTGTACAGCTGCTTCGCGCTCGCTTTCCGCGCCACCGACCGCCTCGTCGCGTTCCTTACCAACGTCGTCTTTATCGTCCTCGTGGTAGTGCTGGTTATGCAGGTCTGGGAAGGCCCGGCGGGAGCAGGGGTCGATGTGGAGAAGTTCAGGGTTGGGGTGCTGCGGCTTTACAATGAGTCGGCCAGCAAGATCGTGTCGGATGTGGCGAGAAAGGCCAATGAGAGCCAAGGGATGCGGGAATTGTGCAATAATGTGGACCGTCATGGCGTTATCGGTGCTTTGAGCCTAATAAGGTCATATTATGCCAATCGCTTTTGAGAGAGTATTACTCGGGTCTGGGAACCAGATAAGAATTTTTGGTATTTGCTTTCTTTTTTTTTCTTGGTTTCCACTTGAACAATTCCGCTAAAGATCCAGTACAACTAAAACTCTCCTGATCGTGGTGATCATAACTTCAGCTTGATTCTTCGACTCAACAAGCTAATGAAGAGGGGTTTCCCCGCTAAGAAGCAAAGGATATGAATTCCCCACTCTGAGATTTTCTTATTGAAGACCACTGTTTCCACATCAAACCACTTGGCTATCTCCATTGCCCCGGTCAGCTCTCCAACAAACCCTTGAAGGCGAGGCGTAAAAAAAGAAGAGAAACACATCACATAACCCAGCAAGCAAACGACGATGTTTCACATCCTACAGCGGGGGAAGATCGGAATTCGACAGAAGGTGGCTGGGTGAAGATGTACAGAGAGGTGTTGCAGCCGATGGCTAGTGCGAAGAATAGCAGGGCTCTAGAACATAGTGTAACTAGGTATGCTCCAGCTCTGCCTTAGAAAAATTAACATATGTGGGTAGTTGAAGCTATCGTCCGGACGAGAGTGTGGAATTTAGAATTCTACATACACGTCTAGACGATAGCTCCAGCTACCCATGACATGAGCAAAAAAAAAAAATCCACGTTAGCCATCGGCTGCGAGGGGGGACTGTATGAGATGCATCACAGAGCACACTGCGCTGGTTACCCCTGCATGTCGACGCTTATGTTCTACAACTATCTTGGTCTGTGCAAGATGAGATCTGCGGAACATTTCTTTGCTTTTTTTTTTTTTTGGCTATGCGCATATGGCCAATTCGCAGTCAGTTATCTACTGATTGATTGCAGTGCTACCTCGAGGCGAACGGTAAGGTTCCCGCAGTCATACTTTTAATTAAAAGAGAGATCTCCTAGTCGAGCGCTGACACCCGAAAGAAGAACAACACCGAGCAGCTTGAGCACGGTGATATCCCACGAAGAGGATCCAGAGGTGAGATGATGTTGAAGCCATTTCGTAGTCATGAGGCGTACAAGATGAACACCAACCCAGATCTGCTCAGATGGAATACCTCGGAGTAGGCGGTTATCCTGGCAAGCAGCATTGAGAAAGGACTCGAGGCCGGCTGCTTCATAATCACCCCAAACAAACGTTGAATATCTCCACGTGAGATACTTTTGAAGCAGCCCGAGGGTACTTTGAATAGTTGTCAAGCAGGGAACGGTACCACCAGTACGAGATTTTGTATTGGTGATAAGGGTGTTGGCGAATTTGATAATATCATCACGCCCGGGAGGCTTATCATCATCAAAGCTGTATTGACATTAGTAAAGCATATCGCTGAAAGATTAAGAAGACTTACGACAAGTTCATGACTTCTGTAAACGCATCCCAAATATTTTTTAGTCCTTGAGAACTCCTGTTGTCCGCGGAGGCTACGGGCGCAAAATTCCAGCGTAATGGCTTCTGGAGTCATGCGGCGTATGGACTCTGCTAAAGCCCGGCCATGGTTCGAGGAAATTGAGAGGTAATTAGAGAAGTCCTTTGAGTGCTTGATCCTTGAACTTGCTGCCATTGTTCATCTGCCATAGCAGCCATGGCCATTTTGAATTGCTGGCCGGCGTTTTGGAAGAGTGAAGTTGAGGACAACGTAGGTTCCTCATCATCCTTATCGGAGTCAAACCCGTTAAAGTAGTCCATGGTATGCGTCGACAGATGCAAAGTAGGCCGAAGCCGTGGAATGAAAGTCGGCAGAGCGCCGGTCGAATGGCACCTTGCACGATGCTCACACAGAAGCCGGCTCACGGCGCAGGGCTCACACAGCGGCTGGCGTAAGTAGGCGCAAGAGGATGGTGCAGATTGACGAGGGCAATTTGGCGGCGGATAGGCGAGCGCGGGAGGAGCGGGCAGGCGCGACTTCCCAGAAGGTACGTCGTAGGCAGCGTATGGACGCGCGAACGCCACGAGGTTTGCCGCACCAAGGCTGGCCAGCGTGGGGCGACGTGAAAGGAGAGGTAGCGCGCGTGAATCATGCAAAGGCAATGCCGCTCAAGAGCAGTAATCCCTCTACGAGCAGTGGCTGTCTCAGGACTATCTTTGCAGAACGTCAAGTCGCAACCGCGGGCACAACTCAATGTCAAACCCACGCTGGAACGTATTCGCAGACGCCTTGCATTGCGAGGCTTGCTGGCTGGCCGTATATATATTTCTTCTTCAAGTGGAGTCCTCTTCAGTTTTTGATTTTGTAAGCATGAACAGTTGAGATATTCCATGAGTACGCTAAAATGACACCTCAAGCGCGATGACTCTGTTTCCTTCACTCTCATGTTGACTCTCTTCGTCTACTAAAATTTCTGTTCTTGATTCCCCACAGATGACTTCGTCCCCGTCTCCATCATTCTCCTTGACCACCACCTTCAGACTGTCCTCCAACTTCAACCCATTAAGCCTCGCTGTCTTCTGGAGAGTTCCTAAGCTTCTCGCCACCGCATGTACCACCGCGGGGGCATCCGGCCTCAGCACATCAAACGCCCTCTGCGCCTCCGGCCCGCCAGCCGCACTCGCCGATCCGCACGGCACCACAAGCAAGAACGTCGCGCTCCTCCCGTCCGCGCCCGCAAAGCCGTCCCCGAAGACGCCCGGCAAGAAGTGCTTCGCAATTGCCTGCATGAGCGGCGCCTCCTCCGCGACGTACGGGCCCCACGACGTGTAGCTCTCGAGCGCGCAGTTCCGCACCAGGCTCAGCTGCAGGTGCCTCAGACGGCCGCTCCGCGCCGCCAGAGCGACCAGCGCGCCCGTCACGGCGGCGTAGCTCTCGAAGCCGTCGGCCGCGGCGCTCCACGGCGCGCGGTACCAGCGCTCGATGAACTTGTCGGGCACGTCGACGTTGAGGCGGCGCACGAGCGCGAAGCAGCGTGGCCACAGCGCGAACCGCGGCGGCGCGCCGCGCGACCGCAGCAGGTTCGGGATGTGGAAGACGGAGAAGCGGTTGCGGCCGCCGTATAGTAGCGGTAGCGCCTCCAGCGCCGCGCGCCGGCAGGTCGTCAGGATGCCGGGCTCCAGCCCGTAGCGCGGCGTGGGCAGGCCGCCGTCCGTCACGCAGAGAATGACGCCCGAGTATGTGAGGAGGTGGGAGTAGATCTGCTCGCGGATTTCGGGCGGGAGCTTGGAGAAGAGCGGCGAGCCGGGTTGCGGGTTGACGGGGCGCGAAGTGAGGGACTGGAAGAGGGAGTCGGGCGTGGAAAGGTGGTGAGAGAGCGGTTTGCGGTAGTTGGAGAGGGGGGGAGGACGAGGGACGAGACTGGATAGTTGTCCGGCGTGCAGGTCCGGGCAGCAGGTGAGCTCTGTCGACCAGGCCCGTTGAATCTCGTGGGAGAGGTCGAACGAGTACTTGGAATCGAGCGGTACACTTCGCAGAACGCTTCGCCTCTGTGCGCTTGGTCTTGTGTCGCTGACTTTCGAGCGAGGATACTCGTTGTGGATGTTCGTGAGAGAGTCGGCTCTTCCTTTGAAGTCTGTTTTGTTCATTTTGCACTCCAGAAGCTGAATAGGAGTTGAAATGCCACAATTGGAGAATTTGATTGTAGAACAGCCGTGGTGGGTGAAATGTACAATCTGACGTTGGGGCGAAGCACCTTGTAGTCCTCAGTCTACGTAAATCGAGTACCTTGATGGTGGGAAGCGGAGACCAGATACGCAAGCTTTTAACGTGCTGTAAACGTTCCATTCTCGTACACGCTTAATCCTTGTAAGCTAGCTTGAAGTTGACAAAATGCTTTAAAACTGTCAAACACGACGGATGGAATTGTCTGAGGGGGCCGATTTGGAAGCACGAGGTTGCACCAAAAGTCGTTGCCAAAGGATCAGACCATACCGTGCCGCTCAGGTCATAACTTTTGCCTAGCCTGCACTATGCGGACCTTTTGTCATACACAGGAGCTGGCTGAAAGTTTTACGAGTCTTGGAGTCGGGTGGGCCATAGCAAAGGGCTGCTAGAATGTTGATTAGATAAGTTTTTGGCCGAGCTTTCCATTACCCAGAACATTCGAACGGTGTAGATAAACACCTCAAATTCGATTGAGGGACCTTGGCACACTTGCTCTGTCTTTGTACCTGCACTGCGCGCGAAGAGGCAAGAGATGGATCCTGCGGTGCGTTTGTGCGACTCTTTGGCCAATTACAAAGAGCCCCCAGAATGCGAAGAGCACAGAACCAGTCATCCTCCCTGGGCGCTATGTTGGTCCAGCTTTGGGGCTCATCGTGGCTAACGCTAAATCTCTCATCAAATTCCCTTCCAGCGCTGGGATTTTGCGGAGGTTGCATACCACCTATCACGCGCCACTCCTCCAATGCGACTACGGCAAAGTTTAGTCATGACATTACCAAGTTCGACAAGCTCCACATGGTTGAACCGGATCAACGTCGCATGCGTTTGCCTGATGAATTCTGGTGCCTTCCGGCGGGAGAGATTGGGCAATTTGTTGGTTCAGAAAACATCTGTAACGTAGCGGTGGCACCCCTGTGGATCTTCCCTATTCATCTGCTTCAGTCGTTTTGGAGTTGAATCTCAATCTTCCATTGTCAGTTCAATTGCGCCGCCCATATGCCTAGCCAGAAAAATAGTACAACCTGCTCCAGCCAGCGTTGCTCAGCCCTTGCGCTCCACTCTGTTCAACTTCCGCGCGGTATTGATCTGTGTCCTTGTCCTTTGTCCTCTCACTGGCAGGCCCATGGCGTGTCTCCTCCCCCTGTAGGTACCCATGTCTCTTAGGCGCTTGATATTGTCAACCAGGGAGCGGCGCAAGTCGTTTTCGATCTTCAAGGTGGAGAGGTGAGCGTTCAGGTCGAGGACCTGTTGGCTATCGAGCTCGCCGATGGTGGCACGTTTGTGGATGTAGAAGCGGCTCATGACCTGCTTCGTGATGTTGGGGCCGATGCCATAGAAAGACTGCAGGGCTTTCTGCACAGCGGTGCACGTTAGTTGGACGCGGCGGAGGTGGGTATTGCGTTGCATACTGCGACCATATGCCCTTCGGCGAAATTCAGTCCCAAGATGAAAACCTGCGGCAATTGATTAGCTCTCTGCAGCCTGTGTTACGGGACGTCGAGAGGTACCATTGTGACGGCAAATGGCTTTCGCAACGGGCGTGGTGGTGGACGCCTGGGCGCGACTGCTCGGAGACAATTTCTCGGACCTCCGCGTCACGTGCGGGATTTAAAGTAGTTGCCGGTTTCTGTGACAGGACCCTGGATTAGCTGTGTAGCACCGCAGGGAAATCCAGGGCGAAGAATTCCTGTCGAAACAAGCGTCCAGTGGCCGTCAAGACGCAGTCGCGATAAGCCTGTCGGACGGGGCAGAGGCAGCGCAGGCCCAGAAGCAGGCGGTCCCTTGCGTTTCAGAAGCGCGCGCGGGACGCTGGGGCACCCGCGGAACTACAAAAGCTCCCCGCCACCATCTTCAACCCCTTCCAGAGTCCATTGCAATCCCATTCACAATGGCCGGATTTCAGAAGCTGCTCGTTTCTTTGCTTGTCTTCCTAGGCGTTACCTTCGTCTACTTCGCCCAGACGGCGGAGGCCGCCAAGGGCCCCAAGATCACCCACAAGGTGCGCATATGTGGCTTCAAGCTCAGGACACGCGCAGAGCTGGCATTGACGCTTTCTACAGGTCTACTTCGACATCAAGCAGGGCGATGAGGACCTAGGCCGCATTGTTATGGGCCTTTACGGCAAGACCACCCCCAAGGTATGTCCCCACTCGTGCCTGCTCCATGACACGTTGCTGATACAGACCTGCTGCAGACTGCGGAGAACTTCCGGTACGGCACGACCTCTACGTAACGCCCACGATACAATTGCTGACAGGACCCCAGTGCTCTTGCCACTGGCGAGAAGGGCTTCGGTTATGAGGGCTCTACCTTCCACCGTGTCATCAAGGACTTCATGATTCAGGGTGGCGACTTCACCAACGGCGATGGCACCGGCGGCAAGTCCATCTATGGCCAGAAGTTCCCCGATGAGAACTTCAAGATCAAGCACACCAAGAAGGGTGTTCTGAGTGAGTGCGCTGCGACTCTTCTCGTACAGGATGCTGACGGGAGACAGGCATGGCCAACTCTGGCAAGGACACCAACGGCAGCCAGTTCTTCATCACCACTGCCGTCACGTCGTGGCTCGATGGCCGCCACGTCGTGTTCGGCGAGGTCCTCGAGGGCTACGATGTCGTCGACAAGATCCAGAATGTGGCCAAGAAGCCGGGCGACAAGCCCGTGGTGAACGTGGTCATCGCCAAGAGCGGCGAGCTGGAAGTCCCTGAAGAAGGTATCCACGTTGAGCTCTAGATGGCGCATTTGCAGCACCCGGTCCACCGTCGGCTGATACACGAAACCTCAAGATACTACTTTCGGCACAGCCGAGTTCGTGGCAGGAGCAGGGGAGGAGGCGGAGGCAGAGAAGGTCGAGGAGCATAGCAGCCCCTCTGCCGGGTTGAGCCTTGGGCAGAAGCTGTTCGGCTTGGGCGTCATTGGAGGGCTCGTCTTCCTCTTTGTGCGGTACCACTCGAAGGCTGAAAAGTGGGACAAGACCATGGCTTAAGGGCGGTTCGGGCTGCGGCTAGCGTAGGTAGTAGAATAAACTGGGCGGTGACTGGATGCCTTGCACGGGTGACACGCATGTGACGGCAGCTATGACGATGACGGAGCACCGCGCCACATCAGAGGCTGCCGACAGTCAGCAGCGGCGGCGACCGAGCAAAGGCCGCGCCGCACACAATGCCGGGGCGCGCAGAGTCATCCGGCGGGACGCGGTGCTGGGGAAGCGTTGGGGGCGCCGTGAGATTCTCGTCTCTGACCGCTCCCCTCAGATAAGCGCGGCGGGTGACTGGCTGGGCGCGGCGTCGGGTGGCAGTGGCAGCGTCGCGGCTGCTGGTCGCGCTCAAGCGTTTGCCGCGCTAAACCGCTTCCAGCTGGCTTTCGCCTCCTGCTGCGGCCCTTACAAAATTTCACAGCACTGGGCCCAGGCTCTTCTCACCACCTCTCCCTCGCCCACACATCCTCCTCCCCACAACACCGACCGCTTTTCTTTGCATCTTGCGCTTTTTCTAATATCCTGTCGTTTGAGAAGATAGAGGCCTTTCCATCCTCTCTTTTCTCGTCAGGAACCGTTTCAGGCGCGTTTCTGCCTCACAGCTTAAGCTTGTCCTTTCCAACTTCGCGTGGCCCGTCCGCGTCCGCCGACCGTAATCGTCCTTAATCGGCTTCCCGGTCGCCCTCCTGCACACCCGACACGCTTGAAGCGCCAACACGTCCAAAACAACAATATCAGCTCAGCGACATCTACCCAGCATGGCTGACCAGCTGAAGATGGGAAACCTTTCCCTGAACGAGTCGCAGCACGCCCCCCAGAACGGCGGCTTCACCGAGCGCGCTGCCTACATCCCCCCTCACCTGCGCAACAGGCCACCGCCCGCCGCTATGGACGGCGGACACGTGGCTATGAACGGCGGCCCCCCGCCCATGAACGGCGGCGGCGGCGGCGGCTGGGGTGGTAACAGAGGGTAAGTCGCCACACGACACCACATCTCACTTCGGAACAGCAGCTGACACGGAAACCACAGCTACGGCGGTCCCCGCGGTGGCATGGGCGGTCGCGGCAACTGGAGCAACGGCGGCGAGCGCGCTGCATTCAACGACAGAGGTAGCAACAACAACACTCCTGCTGGAGGGTCCTGGAGCAACCAGCCCTCGGCTTCCTTCGATCCAACTGCTTACGGCAAACCCACAGGTGGCAACAACGCTGGTGCCGCACGGGGTTCTGGTGATGGACAGTGGAAGGATGGCAAGCACATCCCCGGTCCTAGCAACCCTCGTGTTGAGCGCGAGCTTTTCGGCGTCCCCAACGACCCCTCGAAGCAACACACCGGCATCAACTTCGAGAAGTACGACGATATCCCCGTCGAGGCCTCCGGCCAGGGCGTTCCCGAGCCCGTTTCGACCTTCGAGAACCCGCCTCTCGACGACCACCTCATCAGCAACATCAGCCTCGCCAGCTACAAGGTTCCCACGCCCGTTCAGAAGTACTCGATTCCCATCGTGATGGGTGGCCGTGACCTGATGGCCTGCGCCCAGACCGGTTCCGGAAAGACTGGTGGTTTCCTCTTCCCCATCCTTTCTCAAGCGTTCAAGACTGGTCCGAGCCCCATCCCGGCGCAGGCTGGCAACTTTGGCTACGGCCGCAGCCGCAAGGCTTACCCCACCTCGCTCATCCTCGCTCCCACCCGTGAGCTTGTCTCCCAGATCTTCGACGAGGCCAGGAAGTTCGCCTACCGTTCGTGGGTCAGGCCGTGCGTCGTTTACGGTGGTGCGGATATCGGTTCCCAGCTGCGTCAGATCGAGCGTGGCTGTGATCTCCTCGTCGCCACCCCCGGTCGTCTCGTCGACTTGATGGAGCGTGGCCGCATCTCGCTCCAGAACATCAAGTACCTCGTCCTCGACGAGGCCGATCGCATGTTGGACATGGGTTTCGAGCCTCAGATCCGCAGGATCGTTGAGGGTGAGGACATGCCTCCGGTCGACGGTCGCCAGACCCTCATGTTCTCTGCCACCTTCCCCCGCGATATCCAAATGCTCGCCCGCGACTTCTTGAAGGACTACATCTTCCTGTCCGTCGGCCGTGTCGGTTCCACTTCCGAGAACATCACCCAGAAGGTTGAGTACGTCGAAGACGTTGACAAGCGCTCCGTCCTGCTCGACATTCTCCACACCGTCGGCACCGGTCTGACCCTGATTTTCGTCGAGACCAAGCGCATGGCCGACTCGCTCTCCGACTTCCTCATCAACCAGGGCTTCCCCGCAACTTCCATCCACGGTGACCGTACCCAGCGCGAGCGTGAAAAGGCTCTGGAGATGTTCCGCAGCGGCCGCTGCCCGATCCTCGTTGCTACTGCCGTCGCTGCTCGTGGTCTCGATATCCCCAACGTCACCCACGTCGTCAACTACGATCTCCCCACCGACATCGATGACTACGTCCACCGTATCGGTCGTACTGGCCGTGCCGGTAACACCGGTATCTCTACTGCCTTCTTCAACCGTGGCAACCGTGGCGTCGTGCGCGACCTGATCGAGCTCCTTAAGGAGGCTAACCAGGAGGTGCCCTCGTTCCTCGAGAGCATTGCCAGGGAGGGCTCTGGCTACGGTGGCGGCCGTGGTGGCCGTGGCGGCCGCGGTCGTGGTGCTACTGCTACTCGCGATGTCCGTCGCTTTGGTGGTGGTAACGCTGGGGGCTGGGGCGGCCCGCCTGCTGCTGCTGGCGGCTTTGGCGGTGGCTACAGTGGTGGCCACGGTGGCTACAGCGGCGGTGGCGGCGGCGGTGGCTACAGCGGTGGTTACAGCGGTGGCTACGGCGGTGGCTACGGCAACCCCTCTGGCCCTGGCGGCCAGTCTTCTTGGTGGTAAACGCACCACCCTCGGACTGGTTGTGGTGCATGACATTCCTCACATGCGCCGCCTGGCCAACTTTTGATTGAGGTTTTCTTTTTTTCCTTTCCGGTTTTGCTTTCTTTCTGGTTTTCACTGGACTCGTCAGATCCATTCGAAGGTCCGGCATTTGCTTTCTCATACCCCGATCAGCATATAGACAGCGTTGACTTCCAACTGCGACACACCTTCCACGATGAACTTTTTCGACTCGAGACGGGAGGAATGACGCGGGTTCGACAGCCGACGCTTCACGACTTTGTACGCCTTTTGCTCCATCGACGGTGCTGCCCGGGGAGCACAGCAAATAGACACGTCTTCACTGGGCCCTTCGGATGCCGACTTGTTTTCTTTTTTTCCTTTTTCTAATACGGTCCTCTCCAAAAGCGATCCTGCAGCCCTTGCATATGCCGGTCACGTTTTTATCGTTTCACATGGACGACGGGATGGTGGGAAAGACTTTCTCGACAGGTCGTTTTCTCTGGTTTCCGTCGTGCAGGGCACGTTCACAGATGGCGTTCATATCGAGTGGGAAGGCATACCAAAAAGAGTAATGCATGGATTTGTTGCGCTGCCTCAACCAGTTTTTATAGACGGGGCACGGCGCGATGGGTCCTAATGGCATATGAGGCCTTCTCTTTCTTCTCAGGCTGGATGGAGCGCCATAGAAAAAACGGGTTTTGCCGGTTCTTTTTCCCTTTTTGGCTTTTAACGAGGTTACGACGAACGAAAGAAAGCGCGGGTCTGTTCTCTTTTCTTCTTTTATTCAATCTTCGGGTTAGGGTCAAAAGAAGAGGAGAGGTCCGTACTCTCACCTGGGTCCGGGTTTTCTGCACAATGTTCGTTTAGAGAGGGGGAAAAGCCAACGAACTTGACTTGCTTCTTTATTTCTCCTCAGAGCGCGGAAATTATATAACAGCAAGCGAGGGGGCTGCAATGGGATCGGATCCTAAAAAAAGTGTTTTTCCAAGTATCTTCTCTTTTCTCATTTCCGTTTTTCTTGCATCACCTGGATCGCTGCTTTTACACTCTTCATTGCGTGCGAGTGCGTACTTGCAAGACTGCGCGTTTTCGACTTTGTTTCGCAATTGGGTGGAAGTAAGAGTTTTGACTCCTGATAAGCTGCGATAGATCATCATCAATCCAAACAGTCACATTCAAGAAATTATTTGTGCTTCTGATAATATGTGTGACCGCTTGGACTTGGTTAGAGCGATGGGTGTTTAGCCATGCTCTAATCCTTGGTTCTTTACTCTTCGGCTGCTTCGACTTGGCTGACACGTACTTTTACACTCTGATTGTCGCCGGCTCAGTTTGACGTCTATTCAGCTTAAAGGAGTCACGTCCATGGTGCAATGCAGAGTGGGTAAAGGTAGAGTCTTGCTGGGGGGCTAGTGAGGTTTGGCATGATAATCGTAGGCACATTGTATTCTCCCTATCTAGTATGCTGACTTGGGGCAACCCAATAAAAGAGACGGAATAAAAGTGATGAGTTCTGGTCCGCTAATGAGCTAAAATGATTACACAAGAAATGCAGCCCTCCATCACGCAATAATATGCTATTAAACTGTTCTATTTCTTGTAGCTATCAAGCAGAAAAGGCTTCAAAATTACTATTAATCCATCCGCTCCTCAACCCTGCAGTTAATACATTATCATTCCCCCACTGCCATCCGACTACCACAGGTGCAACAACCGCAGCAGATCGTATCTGGCGAAGAAGCTACGGTTCCACTTGCCGAAGACGTACATCAGCACCGTCAGGGCGCACACGGCGACCTGGACGCTGCCGACGGCGACGAAGACGTCGCGCACGCCGCCCTTGACGATCCAGTCGTAGCCCTTGAACGTCAGGCCGAACGAGAAGATGTTCTTGAAGACGAGCAGGCAGGTGAAGGCCTCGACGGCGACGTCGCGGTGGGCGTCGACGATGTACAGGGCGCTGGCGACGGCGCCGAGCACCATGCCGGCGACCTCGAGGGCGAAGAAGAAGTCGGGCCAGAACCAGCCGTAGCGTGGGATGTCGGCGCTGACGATGCCGAAGCCGTAGAGCCCCGCGCAGCCTAGGATGAGTTGCGGGATCACGAGCACCATGCGGAACTCGGGCTCGTAGACGCCGTTGTTGAGGCGCGTGAGGAGCGCCGGCACCGAGTCGGCCAGAAGGCCCGCGATGGCGAAGCCGATCAGGGCGCCCACGAAGGCCCCTGTGTACATGTAGCCCGTTTCTACTTCAGTGAAGAAAAGCGGCGGACCCAGCATGACAGCAGCGAGGACAACACCGATCATGACGGTCCAACCGATGAGGGTGCCTTGGATGAGGCAGGACTGTAAAAGGGTCAGTCGCTGAGCTTACAGACAGGGGTGAAGGGGCTTGATTTGAATTGGGAAGTGCTGCTTGAACATACCCAGAGGATACCGGGTTGCAAGAACAGCGGGAACGGCCGCAGCGCCAACTTCCAGAAGCTCTCATCAGTCTTACGACCGTTGAACGGGAGCAGCGTCTTTGCAAAGCTGTCCTTGGGTGGCAGCGGAGGAAGCGCTGTTGTTGATGTTGTTTCGGCCGCCGCCGTGCGCGTATGGAGCGCCTGTGTCTCCATCTCGCTCTTGCATTCGCCGACGATTGAGCCATCCTGGCTGTTTGCACCACCACCGCCCTCCTCAGCCTTCGCCTCCGCCATCTCTGTGCCTCTGCTGTTCTCGAAGCTATCGCCAGCTCTACTGCTCCTCCTCCTCTTGCCGCCCTGATAATCACCCATATCCAGATTCAGCCGCTCGTCGCGTCGATACGCCGTCTCCGGGCAGAAGAAGAACAGCGGCGGCAGCAGCACGCCCGAAAAGATTGCAACAAAGTAGAAGGTCCACTCCCAGCCCATCGTATCCGTCATCTTGCCCACAATCACGGGGGTGAAGAAGGCGCCGCCGAAAAGCGCCAAGTTGCTCAACGCCATGCGCTTGCCGCGCTCGTGCACAAAGTACAAGTCGCCCACGACGGCGTTGACCAGAGCCTCGAAGGGGGCCAGGCCGACGCCCTGGAAGATGCGCGCCCACAGCAGCGAGGCGTAGTTGTGGCCGGCGGCGCCGCCCCAGGCGCTGCTGAAGATCAGCACGACGGTGCCGAGCAGGAAGGCGTGGCGTTTGCCCCAGATGCGCGCCGACGGAACGAACAGGAAGCCCGCCAGCCCCACGCCCAGCAGGTGGTAGCCCGTCAGCAGCGCCATGTCGGTGAAGGTACGGTGGAACTCGAAGGCCAGCGTCAGCGTGTTGGCGGCGAGCAGCGGCGACAGCGTCGACGCGATGACCGAGAGGAGCGACAGCACGAGCAGGATCACGTCGCGTCGCCAGAGGGGCCAATTCTATACATCGCACGCCCGGAAGAGAGGCACAAGTCAGCCTATCTCAGTCCCGATAGATCCTTTCCTCCCTTCTCTTTTTCCTTTCTGGCAGCATTGTGGTTCAGGGACTCTGTACAGGCACGGTTCGGAGGGAGGATAGGACGTACGAGTGGGTCGTTCGGATCATCGCTGGGCTGCGGGACCAAGAGGATCGGATGCGGCCCGCTGCGGTCGTACTTTAGGTTGGGGTCCAGGGGCAAGCTGTCTCTGCGCTGCGCGTCCTCGTCCATGAGGACGGTGCCTGGAGAGGTCGCATCATTGTCGTCAGCATGGCACGGCCAAGTAGGACGTAAGAGCAGGCAACGGCAGTCAGAAAGAAAGTGGAGTCCTCAGGAACGCACCAGGGACGCGCTCGAGCCAGCGATCTTCCAGCACACCGAGCCCCATCTTTTTTTTGGCGTGCGCAGCTGTGGGGTGAGCGATAGGAAGTCGGGAGCTTGCGAGCTCGCACTGCAGGAGCAAGCAGCAGTGTATGTACAATGGCGGAAAGAGGGTCGCAGGCGAGCACTAGCTTCCCGTGCGTCTCCGCCGCCGTCACCGCAAGTGAACGATTTAGACTTTGGTGCAGGGTGCTTGTTGCTAAAATGGAACGCGCCGTGCTGCCCGCCACGCGCCTCCCCAACGCGGTCTAGTCGTCTGATCATGGAGCCAAAATCGAATGGCGTCGACTCAGTCCGCCTTCTGAAGCGGTATGGATAAGCTTTCGCCGTAAGTTTATTAGCTCATCGAATGTACCACAGCCCTCTCGTCACCTCTTGCTGCGCCGTCGACCCGTGTGCTTCGCCTCGTCGGATGATGAGGGAATGCCCATGCTTTGCTGAGCGCCGGCTAATCGGCTTTAGTTGCGTCTGCCTCGCTCAAACTTCCGCCCTCGGTCCCAGGAAGATTGTGCGACGAGTCACGGAAGACCTCCGTGAAGAAAGTCAGTTCTTGGTCAATTTCACTGAACACGCGCTCGGTCCACTGCGATTACTCCAGTTTCGTATTCAATCTGCCCAACCTATGCACAAGAGTGTTCCTATCCTGCCCCCGATTCGCCATCCGAGAAGCTGCGCTTCGTTTCCCTATACACACCTATCCTCCCATCCCTAATCCATAAAGAACCCGAAACCCATCCTGACTCTGCCAAAATGCCTCATGGCTACGCTGGGCTGTATTGCATTAGGCGCCAAGTCGGAATGCTGTAGCCAATGAAGTAGAGGAAATTAAGAGAACGAAAAGAGAAATCAACATCTTGTGCAAAACCAGAGGAAATAGGGTGCCCCAGATTTCGCCTACGCCTTTGTGAATCCAACCCTCCATCCATCTGCCGACAACGAAAAGAAAAAGAAATAAAAAAAACTCGTAATGCTTGCGCCGATGACCGTGGTATCATGCTCTGTGCCCCGCCAATTGTGGCCTCGTCTGCCTATGCGCCAGGACCCAACATGCGCCGTGTCAAAAGGACAAATGGTTGGGGTGTGCTGTTTCATGCAGAAAAGAGGCCGGAGAGCGGTCGTGCGTCGCCGCTCCATGTGAGAAAGACACGCCCAAAAACTCCGTACCGTGAAATAATGCTAAAGTGAATCGTGCTGCTTCTCACCTCCCGTATGACTGAACCAAGTTTGTGAAATGCTCCGGAACTCAGCGGGGTGATGCGTTGGCTGCAACAGGCGTCGATGAGGGTGAACCTCTGCCTGGCCCTGTCAGTGAGGCTCGCTTCTGCGACCTCTGGATTTCGATCTTCTTGCGCAGCGCTTTGAGTCTGGCCCTCATGCTCTCAATCACTATCCTACGATTAGCGACAACCACCTAAATGAGTAATGTAAACGACTTACACTTCAGAACAGACGCTCTATCTTCCTCCTCCAGTCCTTGAATGACATCATCGTCTTGCTTCTTGTTGCCTGATTTGCGGCCCAGCATTTCCTCCTCGCTTTCGAATATGGCTTCGAGCATGCGGATCGCCGTCGTGTAGTTCAGCTCGCAACCTGGCAGGTCTTCACCGACGAGCTCGTTCACAGCCGCGGCTCGGCTCATTTCGATAGCTCGGTCGTACATGAGCTTCTCAGCTGTGATTCCCGTGGGAAGATGAATGTTTTCCACAGAAGTACCTGCGCTTGTGGTTGAGGTCGAGTTGGAGGGTAGGTTGTTGGGATGAGCCGGATGATCGAGTGGCAGCTGTTTCTGGGCGTCAAGGAGCTTACGTCCGACGAATTCGGACTTCTCCACGCACTCATTGAAACGTGTGCGCACCCATTGCACGATCTGATTCATTTTTGTGCCGACGGCTGCAACGTTGGAGTTTCCGGAAGGGCGCGACGTATGACTATCGCCGATAACTTCTCCACGGTTGCGCTGTCCCCACCAACTACCCGCGAGGTCGATTGACTTGGCCAAGAGAGCCAGAGCCTTGACATACAAGACTAGCGCCTCTTCTGAGATAGTCAAAATTGCATCCACGGTCAGATCCTCGTCTAGGGCATCCTCCTCATCGTCTGTGCGAGGATGAGTGCCCTGAACAATGCCCAGCCCTTGGTCACTGGGAGGTGGAGGCAGCAATTGTCTGTACTTAACCTCGGCGAAACCATAGATCACATGGCTGCGTTGAGCGAGTTCTTCCACGACCTCGAGAACCCTCACATCTTTGTCCCTAGACTTGTCGGTAGTTGTTTTGCCTCCATCACCGATGACCAGCATGCTACTTTGGGCCGTAGGATACATGGGGAACTGTGTGTAACCCTTCGGCGGAGAAGGGCCGCGACCGGGAGGAGAAGCACCGGTTCCAAAAATCCTATAGCTGGCCATGTTGAGGGCTTTGGAGATAGCAGACGTGGCAGAACCCGGGCTAGCCCCGTAGCGTCTTTCATAGGAGCTGTTCCTGTGATGAAGTGATTCGGGACGCCTGCCTGTTGCGATCTGGATCGCACGGGAGGTGTTGCTTTGGGCGCCAGTCGTGGACGTCGGTGTGCCCTGCGTCGTTGCTCGCCGGACCATTGCTCCTTGCTGCGGCGGGTGATCTCTGCTGAATTGAGGACTGGCCGCCAATTCATCGGCAAAAGCATTCACCTCGACCGTGCGCTTTTCCACAAGGACGTAGTCACGCTCGAAGGCAACATCCTGAGCGGCACGCTCCTTTGCCTCTCGAGATGCCCTTTCATCAGACCTCTGAGGGTTACGTTGCGTGTCGAGGTGATCTCGGAGGGCCGAGGAACTTGGTGAAGGCGAATGGCGGCTGCTTCGTCTGTTCATGGTGACAGCCGCCGCAGTAGGCCGTTCTTGGACCAAGGGTGCTTTGGCAGGAGCGGTGGCGTGGTGCGTTACCGTGGGACGGCGCTCTGCCTGAGCAGAGGGCGGGCGGTCCTGAGTCGGAGCTGTAGCATTGCTGACGCGTCTGACTGGTTGGTTGGATGACGATGGTCCTGCGATGGTGGGGCGGGGCGAGGAACGTTGAGGCGGGGTTGTTCCTGAAGCAACTCTGTGCCTAGGAGTCATTTCCATCTCTGTAGGCTGGGGCGTAGCAACTTGCTCGTTCATCGGAGCACGTCTCTCGTCAGCCGATCGTCCCAAGGACTCATGAATAGAGCCCTGAGCTGCATCCTCGGGGTGCAAGCCAGGAATTTCGCCGGCGATGACCACGTCAGAGAAGAACTTCTCGTGAGAGATTCTTTCTGTTGGGGTCTTTTTCAGGAGGGCTCGTACGATGTTCTTCATGTCTCTGCTGATCGGAATTTCACCAAAGCTGATCCTGTCGTCCTGCTTTTCGATACGACGGAGCAGCTCAACGTGGTTGGATGCACGGAACGGCGGCTTTCCAACGAGCATCTCGTGCAGAACAGTTCCGGTGGACCACAGGTCAGCCTTTGCATCGTATTTCTCGTAGCGAAGAATCTCCGGGGCCATGTAAAGGGGAGAACCGCAGAGAGTCTCCGCAAGCGATGATTTAGGGAGCCAGCGGGCGAATCCGAAGTCGGCGACCTTGAGCATGGGCAGGGAGGCGATACCAACGGCTGGAACCATCGAGTCCGCCGCAGCAGCATAGGGGACCTCATTCGGACGATAGGTCTGATAGTACAGAGGCGAGGGGTTGAGAAGAAGGTTCTGGGGTTTCAGGTCGCGGTGAACGTAGTTCTTGGCGTGGATGAACTCGAGCGCACTTGCGATCTGCTTCAAGAAGTGACGGCAGAGAACCTCATTCAGACCACCGACCGGAGGGTTGGGATACTTCTTCATCATGTGTGCAGTGGCGGGGTGATCTGCAAGGGTTGCTCGCTTCTTGATGAAGCTCGACAGGTCACCAAGCTCACAGAACTCGGTCACGATGTGTATGTACTTGGGTACCTCCTTGCAGTCGATGAGCGCGACGATGTGCGGATGGGTCAAATTGCGGAGAATCTGGATTTCAGTTGAGAGATTATCCTTGAGCTTCTTGTTGAGCTTGGTCGTGTCGACCGATTTGATGGCTACGACGAGCTCCCGTTTCTTCTGCAGTGACGAGCTACGTTAGATCAGAGTGGCCGAGCATTGTCTAGCGGCGCTGCGCGAGGCAGAGCGGGGGTGGGGGAGGCACGTACTATGTGGACGCCCTTGTAGACGGTCGCGAAGCTTCCCTTGCCAATCTGGTTCATCCTTCTGAACGAGCCCACCATGGTGTCCGAGTTGTCGGCGGCGGACTGCATGGTCGAAGACCTCCGCGGGCTCGCGGCGTGCGATGGGTGTGTCGGAGTTGCCATCGTGAACGACGGCCGGCGGACTGGACGTTACCTCAGCCGACAGCGACGGGGCTAGTAGGTCGCTGCGATCACCGGAGGTGAGGGTACGTGGTCGAGGCAATGACGTGGGACATGGGCCGCGGCGACTAGTCGGAGGCGATAACGCGGAGCTTCGAGCGAGCGAGCGTAAGGCTTGACGGACGACGGCTCCGAGGTGGGACGGCAGGAAACACAAGCGAGCGCGGCTTGTCTGGTTGGCCTGGTCGAGGAGGTGGACGCGGCGGCGGCGTTGTACGGGGATAGGCGGTCGAGTCAGCGAGCGGTTGGAGCTGCACGGGCAGCTATCTGGAGGCGCAGCTGCGGCTCGGGTGGGCGCAGGAACAAAGGAAAAAGAAGCGCGGGGAGGGCGAGGGAGACCGGGGGGCGATCAGAGGGCGGCGTATATAGGGGAGGCGTGCTGTGGTTGGGAGAGGAGGGCGAGCAGTCGGTCTGCGCGAGAGGTCGCGGCCGGGGAGCTCGCGGCGGCAGGACGAGTCACGGGTCACTTGTCGATAGGGCGCTAAGATACGGCAAGATAAGTAACATGCGGAGGGCACCTTTTAAAAGAACAGGCATTGCGAGCAGCCCAAAGCGAATGCCGTCATCGCGACCACCGCGCTTCAGCCTCCGCGACGACGCTGAGAGCACTCGCCGGTGGCGCATGCCCGACTTGCCAGTCGTGATCACGCCTTCGCCATCATTTCTTACACTAGTGTGGGCAGCAGACGCGCTGAAGATGCCGCAATACTGCCGCCCGCGCTCGTACGCTGCTGCTGCTCTGCTGCTTAGCCGCCTGCCGTGATAGCGCACTCTAATCTCTCAGCCTGCAGGCCCATGCGGTTGCCTGCGCTGCAGCTCGCCCGCGACGCAAGGATGCGCTGCGCCGGCGAATCACTGCGCGCCGACGAGACCCTGGCCGATGGGTGTCGCGGGGAAGCAGGCGTGTCGAGCCGGCTTTCTCTGCGACCACGGCGGGGACCAGATGTGATGCGCGTTGATGGTGTGGCTCGCCCAGCGGTGCAGCTGACCGAGGCCGCCCGGCCAGTGCGCTCGATGCGGCCAGCTGCGCCCGATCTTCTTGACTGCTTGTGTCTCGCAGGCCCGACCATGAGAAAGTGACAAATGACTTCGGCCAGCGCCATCACATACAGCGTGTTCAGAGGTCGGGCCTTGTGGTGGCCGGTCATTTAGAGCCACGCACGCACTGCATAGGGGGGTCGGAGCCCTGACTGCGCACTGTTACCTGCAATTGCGGGGACCGGTCAAGCGATACTGGAGCCTTGTTGCCTGCCCTTGTCTTACCTCGCCTTGCCTTCAGCCTCATCACGTGAGACGGCGTGGTTTCGCGGATCGACGGACGCGCAACGGCCGCCGTTCAAGCTTTTCGAGGCAAGGAGACGCGACCTCAGTCCCACCCAAACGCGCCATTTGTTCAACAACGACGTGGCATTCCAGCTTCGGTCGACCGTGCATCATGGCAGGCCCAAGCCGCAAGCGCGCAATTGATCTGGACGATGATGTCCAAATCACCGGCTCGCAGACGCGCAAGAATCCCCGACTAACCGACGTGCCGATCGGCCGCGGCCCGGACGATGACGAATGGGATGAGAGCGCCCTGGAGGAAGTCGTCGACCCTTCGCAGGAATACAACGACCGTGCCTTCATTCAATACATGCTCTATGGTATTTGCGACGCCTTGAACAGGAAAGACGCACGCTAAAGTTCCCGCGTACAGGCACTCTCAGCACCAAAATCGTTGGCGTGAGGTACTACAACGGCTATGCTACCATTGGCGAAATGGTTATGCTGCGGAGGGAGCCGCACAATCCAGTAGGCCTAATCTCTTTCCCTCAGCTGTTCTCTGCTCCCTCGTCCGCCCTCTCTTGCCGTCCGCCTCTCGCAGGAAGGCTTAGTGCATTCCCAATCGCGGGACCGCGCAACGGCCGGAATACCCTCCGGGCGAATCCTGCCAGGCACCATGGGCCTCAAGGGCCACTAGCAGATGGTCAAAAGCAGATCCTTGACTGCACGGACGATGACTAGCAGGCATGCATCTTACTGCGGCTGCTGACTCCCTGATGTCTCTACCTAAACTTCCCAGCCGCTGAAATGACCGTAAGAACATGTGCTTACACCACGCTAACACACTGCAGTATGACGGAAATGCCATTCAAGTCCTCAACGTCCAGGCGCAGCAAATTGGCCATATCCCGCGCCAGATTGCTGCAAAGCTTGCCCGCTACATGGACAACAGATCCTTGATCGTAGAGGGGGTGATCACTGGACACAAGGGCACGTTCGACATGCCTCTTGCAGTCAAATTATACGGGACTAGTGATCCCGTCGAGCGCTTGAGCCTGACCAGTGAGATGAAAGCTGACAGACTTCCGCTGGACGAGTTCAGACGAATTGAGAAGGCCGAGCGAGACAGGCTCAAAGCAGCGCAACAGGCCGCCAAAAAGCAGAAGAGTGCCGCACGCCAAGGCAAGTCTGACCAGCAGTGGGCAGCTGGTGTGGCACCAGGTTCTTCGCAAGCGGACGAACAAAGCCTCGACGACATTGTGGGCGAGAGTGAGCGCTTCAACCCACGAAACGTCGACCAGATGGTTGAGAAGTTCGGCGCCCAAGAGGCCGACCTTCAGAATCTTCCAATGGCCAAGCAGCCCAAGGAGATTTCCGCTGAGCTGCTGCCGTACCAGCTGCAAGGCCTGCAATGGTTGCTGGATCACGAAAATCCTCAGCTCCCTGCTGCAGGATCCGCAGATGTTGTGCAACTGTGGAGACGTGCACCGCATCAGGCAAACGTGTTCACCAACATCTGCACGAACTACTCGATCAAGGACAAGCTCCCTGAACTAGCGTCCGGCGGCATTCTCGCTGACGACATGGGTTTGGGCAAGACGGTCCAAATCATCTCCCTGATCGTGGCGGACCGTGCTCTGAGGGGACAGGATCAGACCAGCAATGCCACGTTGATTCTTGCGCCTCTGAGCGTCATGAGCAACTGGAGTTCTCAGATCAAGCGTCATGTTAAACCGGAACACGAGCTCCGAGTTCTAACATATCACGGCACTCGAAAGAGGCCTATTGATCCCAAGACGATCAAGGACTATGACGTGGTCATTACTACCTATGAGACGGTCATGACAGAGTTTTGGGCTAAGCAAGGCAAGAGCTCGCAAAACGTTCCAAGGAAAGATGGCCTGTTCTCTGTTCATTGGCGCAGGATTGTGCTTGACGAAGGACACAACATCCGCAATCCTGCATCGAAGAAGGCTGTTGCTGCTACCAACCTGCTCGCGCGCTCAAGATGGGTGCTCACGGGTACGCCGATCATCAATACTCTAAAGGACTTGTACTCTTTGGCCAAGTTCATTCGCCTCTCTGGTGGTTTGGATCGGTTCGAGCTGTTCAATGGCGCTCTAATCCGGCCTGTCAACCAAGGAGATGAACATGGCAGCTTCCTGCTGCAGATGCTGATGAGTAGCATTTGCCTCAGGAGGAGAAAAGACATGCCTTTCATCGACCTGCGTCTGCCAGAGCTATCGGAATACGTCCATCGTATCAAATTCTTGCCCCACGAGCAAGAGAAATATGATGCCTTGGAAGCTCAAGCAAAGGGTACGCTCGACCAATATCGTCAAAAGCTGTCTGGCAATGACGCTGCAAAGACATATCGTCACCTCCTCGAGATCCTCCTGCGCCTTCGCCAAGTATGCAACCACTGGAAGCTCTGCGGTGAAGAACGCATCACTGGGCTCATGGAATTGCTCTCGGAACAAAAGAGCGTAGATCTCACGCCTGAGAACTGCATTGCGCTTCAAGCCATGCTCCAGCTAAGTATCGACTCGCAAGAGGACTGCCCCATCTGCCTGGAGCCCCTTCACGACGCCGTCATCACCTGCTGCGCGCACGCATTCGGCTACAGTTGTATCGAGCGCGTCATCGAAGGCCAGCGCAAATGCCCCATGTGCCGCGCGGAGCTCCCCAGCACCGGCTCCCTCGTTCACCCGCCCAAAGAAGCCCCGGCCCCTCCTCCCATCGACGCGGACACGAACAGCTCCAAGATCGAAGCCCTGCTCAAGATCCTCAAGGCCACGGCATCCAAGGATAAGGGCATCAAGACGATTGTCTTCAGCCAGTGGACCAGCTTCCTTGACGTGCTTGAGCCGCAGCTCCAAGCGGCCGGCATCCGCTTCGCCCGCATCGACGGCACCATGTCCGCGCTCGCGCGCGACGCTTCTCTCGAGGCTCTTGACACGGACCCTGACTGCACCGTTCTGCTGGCATCTCTGGCCGTCTGCAGTGTTGGCCTGAACCTTGTCGCGGCGAGCCAGGTCATCTTGGCCGACAGCTGGTGGGCGCCGGCCATCGAGGACCAGGCGGTCGATCGTGTCCACAGGCTCGGTCAGAAGCGTGAGACGACGGTGTTCAGGCTGGTAGTGGAAGGGACGGTCGAAGAGAACGTGCTTAGGATTCAGGAGGATAAGAGGAAGCTCATGCGTCTGGCGTTCTCGGAGAAGAGTAAGGAGAAGAAGAAGGATAGGGGGGCGAGAGTGGCGGATCTGGAGAGACTGCTAGGTGCAGGCTCTGGATGAAGGAAGAGCCAGCTTCAGAACACGGCTAAAAAAAAGAACCGGGAGATAGGATCAAGGTGTGGCTGGTGTTCTGTGTTTATTCAAGTGCGGCAGACTAATATTTGCTGGGAAAGGAGTTCCGGTTGTTTTTTAGAATAGCGTGAGTCGAATTTTGGCTTCGCGCTATAAAAAAAAAAAGACAGGCTGGGAATCGGTCAAACACTGCGTTATTGTTAGCTGGTGATAGAAAAGGGTGTTTTTGCTGGATCCAATCATGTAAACGTGATTTCTGCTTCCGGTATGCTTCGTGTCAATATTTTTAAAAGCACGAGTGGACTGAATCACGAAAACGTGCGCATTTTTCGAAAAACAGGAGCCACAGTATCAGATCATGCATTCATTCCCATGTCTTTTTCCGCATGACTCCCGAGTTTGCCGATGCCGCTTTGTTTGCAAGCAATGAAGAAAAAAACACCGGCCCGAATTTTGAAGGTTCCCAATCAAGAAGTGCCCTGATCTTTTTTGAGGTGTCCGTACAGAAAATGCAAAAGCACCGACTTTCCTCCCCTAATCACCACCAATCCAGCCGCAGAGCGCCATGGCGACCAGCCATTTCCGGAATATAGTGGAGTGCAAGGACGGTGATGGCGATACCGGCAGCGACGGGCAGCATTTACCTGAGCCTCCTGGCCTCACGCTCGGACTCGAGAAGGCAGAGGATGTCGTTCTCACGGACTGCATAGGTACCAACGTTAGCGATCCATGCCTTCTTTCTAGCTTCGCCCGTGTGGGATGGTGTGTTCTCGTAGCGGGCAAGGTGCGGGGAGAGCGGCATACCAGGGCCCTTGACGTTACGGATGATGCTGCGGGTGGTGTCGTCCATGAACTCGACGCGGACCTGGGTCACACCGCCACGGGAGCCTGTTCACCACAGGAAGTCTCAATTAGCCAAGCAGTCCTCCATATTGTGATCGATTGGATGGCGTTCAGCGCATCGGAAGGGCGAGGGGAAGCGAGGCGACAGGGCGAGAGGCAGGATGGGCGTACCGGTGCGGCCGAGGACGCGGGTGACCTTGACGAGCTTGACGGGAACCTTGGCGCTCTCCATTTTGTGCGAAGTTGGTCGATGCGACGAAGTAGTATCGGAATCGAGAAAGGGCGGTGATCGGGAGGGGTCTGGTGTCGCGGTTGGGTGTTCGTCGGTGCTGGCGTTGCTTCGAGATGTGGAGCGGGAATTTCGAAAGTGCGGCCGCGCAATTCTTGGCGCGCTTTAATCCGCCGCCCGCACTGCCGCTCGCCGTCGGCCAAACCCTACGTAGACGCGATAGGGCAGCGGACCAGTCTACCCAAGGCTGCGCTGCCCGACGGTAGAACTCAGCGAATGAGCCTCGCGAATGAGCCTCGGCCGGATGCAATTTAGGTTCTCAATTCAAGGCTCTCGAGCAGCGAATAAAATTTGAATTTTGCACCGCGTGTTGCGCACCCGGCGAGTAGAGCAGCGTCATTGCCGCGGCGGGAGACCCCACCAGTGCCGCGCTTGACTCACTCAGAAATTATCGTGGCTCCGCAACACCACCCGTCACGCCGAACATACCCACGCCCGCCGAACCCGCTGTGCCGTTCGCTCGCATCAATTGGCCGTAACGATCTTTGTGCAACTACTTTATACCTGGCCGTCGTATCTCCAACCTGAGACAAACTCTGCGCAAACTTCGTCCCGCCATTAACCACCATGGATCTCGTCAACCAGTGAGTATACGCCTTTCGAGGGCGCACGTCTACCGGCTCTCGCGCGTCGTTAACCTTAGAGCAGCCTCAATGACCGCCTTCTTTTCGCCGTGCCCAAGAGTCCGTATACCGCTCGCGCATTGCTCCCCGTCCGACCCATACACCGAGTAAACAAGCTGCTGACGCCGGTGTGACCGACACAACAGAGGGCCGACTCCACCAAGCCTGTCTAGACCTGCTGAAGGGCTCCGACATCCAGTTCCACCGCCACTCGAGGCTAGACATTGCGCTGGTCAAGAACCTGCCCATTGCGCTCGTTTTCCTGCCAGCGGCCGACATCCCTACCTTCGTCGGCGAGGGCCGCGTTGACCTGGGCATCACCGGCCGCGACCAGGTCGCCGAGCACGAAGCCATCGCCCCGCCCACCGACACCACCGGCGTCGAGCAGGTGCTCGACCTCGACTTTGGCGGCTGCAAGCTGCAGGTCCAGGTGCCCGAGAAGGGCGACATTTCCGACCCGAAGCAGCTGATTGGCCGCAACGTTGTCACCAGCTTCACCAACCTCACCGAGCAATACTTCAGGAATCTGGAGGCAGAGCAGGAGGGCAAGGAATTGAACGCAGGAGAGAAGCTCAAGACCAACATCAAATACGTCGGTGGTAGTGTGGAGGCAGCATGCGCTCTAGGCGTTGCGGACGGCATTGTTGATCTCGTTGGTGAGTGAGAAGAAAGCCAAGGATCATTTCGAAGGGTGGGATGCTGACCATTTTGCCTTGAATAGAGTCTGGCGAGACTATGCGCGCTGCTGGTCTTAAGGCCATCTCTACCGTCGTTGAGACCACCGCCATTCTCGTCAAGTCCAAGAAGCCCTCCAACCCGAAACTTGTCGACTTAATAGCTGCGCGTATCCAGGGTGTCATCAGTAAGAGGTCTCTTGCAACTAGCGTTACGTCAGAGTCACTAACACGTGCTGGTAGCCGCTCAAAAATACGTTCTCTGCACCTACAACATCGAGCGCGGCCAACTTGTCGCTGCTCGCTCGGTCACTCCTGGCAAGCGCGCCCCCACCATTACCTCGCTCGAAGACGACGGATGGGTTGCCGTCCAGGCCATGGTCGAACGCAAGAAGATCGCGACCGTCATGGACGAACTCACCAGCATCGGCGCTTCCGATATCCTCGTTACCAAGATTGAGAACTCGAGAACGTACTAAGAAGATTAAGAGGAAATTAAGAGTTATGTTTCGAGCATTCTATTAGACATTGAGAACTGGGCGTTTATCTGTAAGCCCCGTTCCGCCAGTCCTCGGACGGCAGGGTTGTGGAGAGTTACCGGACTTTTGACCATGAAGTTTTAGAAAAACAGGAAGGCCAAGGCAAAAGTTAATAGATGGTTCTGGGACTTCAGTCCATGGAACGTAGATGGCACAGTTTAGCCAAAGTCGAGACATGTGAACTGCGAGCCTCCTTGGATTTTGGATTTTAGAGATGCAAACAAAGCACATGCACTGCAGACGTTGGCATTTTAAACATTTCACCTCTTTCTCAGATCTACGCTTGCCACGATGCCCAAAGAGAGCCGTCAAGTGCATATACCGTAAAAGATAGTGATGGAAATTCTTCTAAGCTTTGCTAATGCCCATGTTATACAGTCTACCCTCGCGTACTCCAAGGCGCCCTTACTATACAGCAATCCGCGCGCCATGCTATTCGGCCGTAAAAGTTCGCCAATCAATCGCGACCATACATCATAACTATCATCAATCATATCATAATCTATTCTTTCCCAAATCCGCCGCCAGCCTTCTCTTCGCTTCTCTTGACACTCACTTTTCCTTCTGTATCACAAGCGTCCAAACCACGGCTAGCGTCACGACTATGACGAAGACGATGATGCACAGGGTTATCGCTATGCTGAAGCACCGGCGCGACGGGCGGGGCGCCCATGTCGACGTCGCCGCCGCCTCGCCTTCCTCGGCAGCGCCACCGCGGCAGGACCAGACGGCTGGAGGGTGAGAGTCGAAGCAGCACTGCGACTTCTCAAGCGCGGATGAGTGCTTGGGGCAGTGCGCGACTATCTTGAAAGTATTGCCGTCCTTCTCGGTAGGGATGGCGGTGGCGGGGGTGGGTTTGGTCGTTGGCGCGAGGATCCGGACGAGTCTGGAGGGCCGGATGAATTGCGATGGATCGAGCAGGACGGCGGGTTGTGCTGCAGACGGCGGCTGCGGAGCTCTGTGGGAGGAGCCGGGCCGGTGTTGGTATTGTATTTTGTGATTGCTGCCGTCGCTGGAGGAAGGGGGAGGTGTCGTGGGGTGTTGGTGGGCAAGGTGCGTGGCCGTTTTTGGGGTCACGCTGCACAAAGATGAGGACGTGGGTGGCGGAGATGGCGCTGGAGATGAGGACGAGGCTGTGCAGTTGCATCCAAGACAGGTCATTGGCGCGAAGGAGTTGTAGATGTGACGCTCGTACGTCCCCAGGGGAGCGGTTATACAGGCATAGGGGCGGTCGAGGGGCGAGGTATTGTTGTGAGTGCGGGACAATGCGTGCAGCTGTGTGGGGACGGCTATGGATCGTCCAGGAGAGGTGCGGATGAGTGGTGATTTGGGGAGCACCGGCTGCGGCAAAGGAAGAGCGATGGCGATGTCAGCCTCCTCGTCCAAGATTCCATGCATAGCAAAGTGATTTCGGAGGTGCATTGCAGTGACAGAGGTAGAGAGCATTCGCGCATGCTGTGTGGAACCAAAGCAACAAGAGATTATAGCGATATACGACGATTTATTCTAGACTCAGAAGTGGGGTTGATGTGGAAGGAAGGGAGTGATAGTGTTAAGGAGGGAGTGAGGTTAGTAGAGCACCTACAACACAAGCAAGGGTCGCGTGCCGCAGCAGCATCATTAATTCGCTCACTTCAATTACGCTTGGCGAAGGGGCTTGTCGCCGGTCTGGTAGACATGCTTTCCCCGGAACGTGGCGTCGCCATTTCCTATTCGGGCAGGAAGCCGTGGGACGATGCGTCGTTGGCTACGCCAGTAAAAAGTTTGTCCGGAGGTGCTCGGCATGGGAAATCTGCCTTGCTGCAACTCTTTTCGAGCATCTTGGAGCGATGAGCATGACGGAGAGTGGCTGTTGCGTGGTTTGATTTCGATGCGACATATTTAAATCGCGCTTTCAGCCAAGGCCGATTCGCTCACAGCCTCTGCGAGGCGGTGAATCGTGTCGATCAAGCGTCAGGCTTACCAGGACTTCCATCCGCATGATCTGTGTTGACTTCGCCTGAGTGAGGCTGAGCAGCAGACCCTCGTGGCCGGCGGACCGGACGACAACTGTCAACGGTAGGTATGCCCAAATCAGTGACAGCAACGGGAAGTGATTGGTTAACTGTATAGCTATGCTCTGCAGGGGACTAATGCGAGTTTGCGACGGGCATTTCGGTGCCCGCTTCACGATACTCGGGTTAAAATTACGAGCAAAAGAATTAATGTGCAGCTCTCAAGGAGGGGTAGGGATACCCAATTGAATTCCAAGATCGAGATGCCACTCACCCAGTGCCGGGCCGGACCGGGCCCGGTGACGTACCAGCAAACGCGATGGTGGTTCGTTGATAAATAGCCCTGATCCTGGCAAACCGCATCTTGCGCGTCTCAGCAGGCAATGGTCCATACTGCTGCAGCTGAAATACCGAATCGATGTTTTTTTTTTTGCCCTCACATTCAAGCATCGGGACCATGCTGATGGTGCAACTCAAGAAGCGGCTTAGGTGGTACAACGTGGAGATGATCTCATCACTTCGAACTAAACTCGATGCGCATCTCAACCCACAACATGACCTCCCTTCAGACATTGCGGCATCGTTACTGTCGCTATCTCATTCACGCATCCTACAATGGACACCAACTATTTCGTCTGTACGCTTGGCCAAGCTGCCAGCTTGAGCGAGGGAGATTCTAGCTTCAACAACATCAACGAATTCCTTGATCTTCAAGCACGGGCTGTGGGAAATAAGCCTGCCGTCGGCTTATTCGAGTTACTCAATGGCGAGGACGTGTCCAGCGGAGAGGTGCCACAACCTGGCAGTCCATCATTGAAGCATCGGACCATCACTTTCTCAGAACTCCGGAATGGATCTCTTATCGTCGCCGACATGATCAATCGCAAACACGGGGAAAGCCTCAGCGGAAGGCAGACTGTGGGTTTCCTGTCCCCAAGTTCGCCGACCTTCATTTTCGTGTGGTTAGCCTTGATGCGCCTAGGCCATTCTGTTCTGCTGGTCGCGCCGCAATGCCAACCACCTGCCATCGCACACCTTTTACATCTCTGCGAAGCTTCGACGCTCTTCCACGACCCATCTCTCCAAACCGCGGCCGCCAAAACTGCCGAACACGTAGCATCAGCTACTGATAGCGGTACCGGAAAATCAGGCGTCCTGTCCACCATCTCCCTCTCCTCCGTGATCCCCACAGGCCTTCTTTCCTCTATCAAAACCGCCAGCAGCAGCAGCAGCATCGACTCCCTTCGAAATACGTTCCCCGCGCACCACATCCGACGAACCGACGTCGCCTTCCTCTTCCACACGTCGGGCACCTCGTCCGGCCAGCCCAAGCCCATCCCGCAGACGCACGGCGGCGCCGCCTGCGCGCTGCCGCAGCACCTGCCGGGTTCGGCGGCCAAGGCGACCTTCACGACCACGCCGCTCTACCACGGCGGCATCGCCGACTGCTTCCGCGCCTGGACGAGCGACGCGCCGGTCTGCCTGTTCCCCGGGCACGCGCTGCCTATCACGGCCGCGAATGTGGGCGCTTGTCTCGACGTCGCTGCTGCTGCTGCGGTGAAGGAGGCGGAGGAGGCGGAGGAGGGGGCGGAGGAGAAGGAGGATGGAGCGTTGCCGCCGGTGAGGTACTTCTCGTCGGTGCCGTACGTGCTGCAGATGCTGGAGGCCGATGCGTCAGGCGCGGGCGTGCGGCGCCTGCGCGGCATGGAGCTCGTCGGCGTGGGCGGCGCGGCGCTGCCGGCTGAGGTCGGCGACCGGCTGGTCGAGAAGGGCGTGCGGCTGGTGTCGCGGTACGGCAGTGCCGAGTGCGGGTTCTTGATGTCATCGCATCGCGAGTACGAGACGGATCGGGAGTGGCAGTATTTGCGGTGTGATGAGGCTGGGGGGAAGTACCTGCGCTTTGAGTCGGGCGAGGGGAATGGTGGGAAGGGGCTGGCGGAGTTGGTTGTATCACCAGGCTGGCCGCATATGGTGAGTGGCTTTGACCTCTCTTGACTTGATTTGGGACGTGGCAGGGCTGACGAGAATGATCCACTGACGTTTGGGTGGAGACAGGCGAAGACTAACAGAGAAGACGGATCGTTCGCCACAGCAGACCTGATGATGCCGCATCCGACGATACCAAACGCCTGGAAATATCATTCCCGTGCTGACTCGCAGCTCACGCTCGTCACAGGGAAGAAGTTTGACCCGGCACCCCTGGAGTCCGCAATCGCGGCGAGCCCATTCCTCGACGATGTGCTGATCTTCGGGAACGGGAGGCCGTTTCCCGGCGCTCTACTATTTCCAAGTGAAGGCTTTGCGGCAACGTCTGATGGAGACTTGATCGATGCCGTAAAACCGCTGGTTGAGAAGCTTAACGAGGAGAGTCAACAGCACGCGCGGATACCGCGGAATATGCTGGTGCCGATGCCCCGTGATCACGAAGCTCTGGAGAAGAGTAGCAAGGGGACGGTTATGAGGGGGAAGGCCGAGGAGAAGTATGCGGATGTCATCGAGGAGAGTTATACGAAGCTCGGTGCCGGAGCCGGCTCCAAGGTACCGGATTCGGAGGTAACGAACTTCATCATCGATTTGATCGAGAGTGTGATACCGAAATCGAGAACGCTGGAAGAGGATGATGATCTTTTCTCCTACGGCGTCGACTCTGTTGCATGTATGCAAATACGATACGGATTAAATCAGGTATGCCTTTTCCATGATAACTACTGAGCATAGAGTTGACCCTCCGGCAGATCCTTCCAAAGACTTCGCCAGAACTACCGCTAAGCGTTGTAGAAGACTGCGGTACTGTGAAGAGGTAAGTCGCCGTAGTTGATATATCCAAGGAAGCACTTGACTGAACCTTTGCAGATTAAGCAATTTCATGCTAAAGCTGCGCCACGGAGAATCATACGAAGAGAGCGAAGACGATCTCGAGCTTATGCTGAACCTTGTCGAGAAGTACGGTAACTTTAACGAGAAACAGAAAAATACATTCCAAGCCAATGGCTCTGTAAACGGTGAAGATGCAAAGGATGTCGTCGTAAGCAAAAGTGCTGGGAACTACTGTAAGCCTTCGCTCACGAACACAGCTACTCACCGGAGCCACCGGCGCGCTGGGAGCCCACATACTACACCTATACAGGGTCTCGGACCAAACTTCGAAGATCTACTGCCTTGTCCGGGGCACCAGTTCGCACACCGCCCGCGAACGCGTCGACAAAGCCCTTATTCAAAAGGGCCTCCCGGGCTTGACGGCATCAGGGCACCCCGATAACTCAAAGATCATCGTCCTCCAGGCTCAGCTGGGCGATTCAAACCTCGGCTTGTCCGAAGAGACATACGCCAATATCGCCGCCGAGGCCACCATCATCATGCACATCGCCTGGTCAGTGAATTTCCGGATGCGGCTGCGCAGCTTCGAGAAGGACAATATCGCCGGTAAGCAAGCGCGCCTTCCTCGCCGCACCGTATACATCCGTAAAAAGGAGAAACGAAGCTAACCCACCATCCCATCCAAAAAGGCCTCCACAACCTCCTCACCCTCTCCCTGCGCTCCCCGCGCCCCTCTCCTCCCTTCTTCGCCTACTGCTCCTCCGTCGCCAGCGCGACCAACTACCCACACTCCCCCACCATCCCGGAGCGGCTCCTCGACTCCCCGGCCGCCGCCTCGCCCCTGGGCTACTCGCGCTCGAAGTGGGTGGCCGAGCACGTGTGCCAGCGCGCGCACGACCACTACCAGCAACAGCAGCAGCAGCAGCAGCAGCACACGAGTAGTAGTGACGCGCGCAACCGCCATCCCGGCCGCCGCCGCATCGCCGTCTTCCGCGTCGGCCAGCTGAGCGGCGACACGCGCAACGGCGTCTGGAACGCGCGGGAGGCGTGGCCGCTGATGCTGAGCACGGGGCGGCTGACGGGCTGCTTGCCCGCGCTGCCCGCCGAGCCGCTGGGCTGGTTGCCTGTGGACGTGGCGGCGCGGGCCTTCGTCGAGGCGGTGGGGGCGATGGGCGATGGGGATCGTCATGCTGTCGCTGGGCGAAAGGACGACGGGGAGGGTGAGGGGAGGGGAGGGCAAGATGTGAAGGTTTATCACGTCCTGAACGAGCATTGCGACCCCGATTGGATGCGATTGCTGTCATGGCTGAAGAAGTTGGAGGATTTTGAGGTCGTGGAGCCCGGTGTGTGGCTGGAGCGGCTGGAGGAGGCGAGGAGTGGGAACGGGGAGACGGATCATCCAGCACTGAAGCTTCTCGGGCTCTGGAAGGATGCGTACGGGAATGTGGACCATCTTTCAGCAGCAGATGAAGAAAGAGTGAGATCCGGAAGCGATAGGCGGACATTTGCCATGGAGGAGACAAAGAAGGTTGCACCGGCGCTTCGCAACGTCAGACCGGTGGACGAGAAGTACTTCGGCAAGATTTGGAAGTGGTTATGCGACGTCAAGATGGAGTAGGCGTGCGGTCTGAACGGCATCGAGCCGAGTTTACTTGGAACAGGGTGCCAATGTGGCAGGGATGTGAGTAACGGGACATGCCAGGATTCAAGATTGCCGATGAAGAGCCAAGCAAGCGTAGCATACACGACGCATGGCGATGAGTTACTGGGAGCAGCCGTCTGCAGTAGATAGGTGGGTATACGGGTGCTCAACGGATGTCGACGGCGCGACGAGGCTTCACAAGATACAAGCCGCTCGGCATGTCGGCGAGGTGTCTATCGAAGGCGAAGAGGATAACGGTGAACGCACTAGAAAATCAAGCTGGGCATAAGCAGCCAAACTTCCAGAAGGTACCAAGCAAACAACGATCAGGTCTATAGAAGACTGGTAGATAGCAAGAATACAATTACTACGCAATCTTTCAACTAACGCCGCTTAGCTTGAAGGGTGTGATGCAGTTGGCATACAAGAAGTCGCGAAAGAAAAAAAAATAACTTTCCCAAGTCTCCTACAACAAGACTTTCTATGAATTGAATCCATGTCTGTGTGTATACAGGTCGGTATTGCTCCTGAAACATAGCGCAGAGAATATCAAGTGGGAAAGGTAAGGGGAGAAGGAAAGGCCGCAATTTCATCAATGGGGAAACAAAACTTAAACAGAGAGTCGAAGCCATCGTCCAGAGGTACACGTATCTATGCCCAGACATTCGCTTCATCTGCCTACGCAGTGAGGATATTCCGCCGTCACTTGATAAACGCGCTATTATTTAACATTCTTTCGCGACTGCTCTTTGGCTTCGATTTGATGACAGAGAGCTTTGAGGAAGTGGTGTTGCTCTTTTCCTGGCTTTCGCCAGATACGGTAGTGGGGCCAGAAAGGGAGCCGTCGGATTTGTCCTTCTGCGATGTGGGATGTGAAGGATCCACGTGGGAATCCTTGCTTACGACGCGGGAACTCAGAATGACAACGTCATCATCGATCCTATCTTCGCTGAAAGGGGGCAGCATAGGGTCGAGAGAGCGTTTATTCGTGGGAAATGTTGATGCGGGCTGGGCTTGAACATCAACAGATTTCTGTTCATGCTCAACTCCGTCGTTAGCCCGAAAACTGATTGGTGCTAAAACCTTCAACCTCTTCCTCGGAGTCGAATTGATGGAGGACGAAGCGGCGGCACCCATGTTGTACTCCGTGCGCGAACCTGTCTGTTGCCCCACGTCAATTACATCTAACGCAGATTTTTTCGCTGGTCGTCCACGTTTTCTCCCAGAACCAGGTTGTGCACTACCCTCAGTCTCTGCTGTCTGACCGTCAAGCACTTTCCGAGGGCGTCCACTGGCTTTCTTTTTGGGAGAAGTAAGTCTCTCAGGAGGTGGTGAGGGGTCCCGTTCAGGTCTGGGCTTCTTGTTCTGGCCATTCTTCACTGCGAGAGATTCCGTCCATGAGGCGTACTGAATAGGCGCCCCACTCTCAATCAGAAATGCTGGGAACCAGTCGCAGAATGAATCGCTTGGGTCATAGCGATTTTTCTCGTCAAATTGAGTGTTGTACCCGATCATTATAGGCTCTGCTTGCCAATTGATATGGACAATGTCCTCAGGTATGAACTCGAGACGAAGCTCGTCGGGTGACTCATTACTCACTGCTTCCCTTCTTTTCTTGATGCCTGTGAAGAGCCCCGTTGCGTCTTCCCCAATCTCACTGTGATGAAGCAAAGCGCGCGCCAGAAGAGGTGAGCACAGGGCGTTGATGAACTTCTTGGCAAAGTTGCGGCCCTTCCAATCGAAATGCAACTTGGTGAAATCCTGCAGCTTCTGGATGTCGATCTGGCGGTGCCAGCAAATTGTCTGTTTGAGCTGCTGAAGCTCTTCTTCTGAAGATACTTTCGGACGGATGTAAAGATTCAGTATCTTCATCTCTGGGAACTCAGTCGGGATATGATCCGCTACATGGCGGTGCCTGTTACCAAACCTGCCGTTCTGGACTTCTGTTCTCAGTTTGTTTCTCCAAGCCACGAGCTTCGAAGGGACATAAGCTCCCGAGTTTGCCAAGTTGATCAAGTCCTTCCCATATCCTGCCTCTGCGGCAGCCATGGCGAGGTCTGGTCCACATTGAGGGATTCCATGGTCATAGTCGCCCCCAGCCATGAGGGCAAGCAGAACCAGATCGTCTTTGGGTAATACTTCGGTGCCGCTTGAGGGAGATTTCGCTTCGAAAGTCTGTACAGGCAAGATCGTTCGGCCTTTTCGGACGTCTTTGTTGCAAGGCAGGAGCACGTGTACCCCACCGAAGGCCAAAGCATCACCATCCTTCGTGCAGATTGCATCGACTATTCCGGCCTTCTCCAAGGCGGCACACTCCGCCTCGGCCTCTCCAGGTGCTTCCAGCCAAGGTACTCCCAATACGTCTAGGACCTGGCGGTATAGACGAACAAGGTGTCCATAGGTGAATTCCTTCTCGATGTCTCCCGCATTGCGAAGTGAAGATGCGACTGCTACAGGCACGGGGATGTTTGATGGGGGTTGCCGAGGAACATATCGATCTCGCTTCATCGGGGGCTTCTCGGGGCCGTCGAAGATAAAGATAGGTTGTACACCAACCATCATGTAATGGAGGACATGAAAGAAAAAAGTGCGGGTCGGGTGGTTCATGCCACCTGTAAGGGTGTCAGTCGGCTTTTGCGCCAGCTGGAGCTGTAATAAGAGACTTACCCGCGGTCCTGGCAGCTTGAGTTCCATTCGAATATTTGTATACATCATTGGAGACGTCAACAGCCAAGCGTAGCGGTCGGCCGTTTTCTTTGATGCATTCAGCACTGAGAACAGCCAAATCAACCTGTCGTGCTGACGCCCTTTTCCGAACTACATCCCAAAGGCTTACACGATTAGCTCTGGAGTTTCCGATTGAGGTCAGCAGAAGCTTACCCGGTGATGCCCATGGCGTGTAGGGATGCAGCGAGTCGAGACGTGGATTTCGTTGCAGGCAAAGAGTCACGGTGAGGATTGTGTAGACTCGGAAGGTGGTTCTAGCAAAGCAAGGTGCAGGACAGCCGTCCAAGCAGCGCTGACGAATGTGGCAGTGGATTTGGGGTTCATTAAGGAAAGAGCGGGGAGCGAGAGGCGCGACTCCCGTCGCGTTGGCGACGCGTACGCACGTGATAGTATCCCAACTTACTGGCGAGCGGTTCGTTGAGAAAGCTTCGTTCGGATTCTATACCTGGTTCTATGTCCTCGTCTCTAGATCTTGCTCTGGTTCTGCGTCCTCCGTTTCGCCGTGTTCCTCTCTGCGCTCAAGGTGAACACGACGTGGTGACTCAGCGCGACAACATCCCCGCTCTCGTCTTGGACAACCACCTCCAGATCCTGCCGTCCGTTCTTGATCTTCTTCGCTCGCACCCGCACGAACAGCCACTCCACGCCTTCTGCCGGCAGTGACTTCTTCACATCCAAGTTTAGCAGCAGCGTGGGGTACCAGAACGGAGCGTCTTTCTTCTCCGCCTGCCGATACGTCTCGATAATTTGCGGCCAGAAGTCCGACACCAACCCGATGCTTTCGTTCGTAAACCTCTCGCCCGACTCGAGCCGGAGCCACTCATCCGCAAGACTATTCAGCGCCTGGCCCTTCCGCGGTACATACATGCGCACGCGATTCAACACCTTGCGGAAGTGGGGGTACGGCTTGTCCGTCACCTCGGCCCAGCTGGCGTCTGTATCCGTCGCCAGCCTTGGCAAATCGACCGGAGGCGGCGCAGGCTGGAGGGACCAGCCGGTTTCGAAGGACACGCCCTCCTCAGCGTCGAGGTTCGAGTTCGTGATGTAGCCGACGACTTCCTCCCGCCCATCCTGCTCCAGCGATACGTGGATCGTCGACGTCTGCCGGCCGAGCTTCGCGTCCTTGACCTTGAAGGTTGCAGGACCCTCCTGTGTGCGCCGCAGGAATTCGAGATGCAGGGTGATGGTGTGCGGCTGTTTCTGGGCGACGAGCGTGGTGCCGAAGTGCAGCGACGCAACTCGTAAAAAGGCCGACGTGACAACGCCGCCATGAGGCACTACGGAGAGTTCGGTCAGTGTTCTGAGGGTTGCAGAGCTCACACAGGGGCATGACGTACCTGAGCCAACGCACCAATCGGAATAGAACCTGGCCGAGTAGGTGTGGGAGTCCACGGCTTTCACCGCTGTGGCCTCTGCGAATGTCGGTGCCATGACTGGAGGCGTGAGAGGGCGGGCCGTATGGAACGCACGAGGAGCTACTCTCGACTACATGGCAGCGACGCGATGGCAAACGGGGTCGGAGGTGCGATGAACGGCGGCGGGCCTCGGCCTATGGCGGCCTCGGCTCTCTACTTACCCCGGATCTTGGCTGTCCCCGCCGCTCCATCTCCACCAACTGCGTCATTCGTTGGCACGCCGTAGCCACCACTTCGGCGCCGGCTGCGGCCAGCGTCGGCTACTACTCCTATCTGCGCGCGTTGTTGGAGGCGGCCGCGTGCCGCCTTTTCCTCTCCCGTTTCTCCCCCTCTCCGCTGTTTCTCCCTTTCACCTACATTCCTCAGTCACTGCTGCAATGCCCACCTCGTCGCCTTATCCTTCTATAGATGTGCCCAATTTGGATATCTGGGCCTTTCTCTTTGAAAGAAAGGATAAGCCTTATCCCGACGACAAAGGTAAACCGAAAGTTATTTTCATCTCCCAAGGGAATTGGGCATGATACACCGGTCCCTAGGAGACACACCGCTCAATTCGCACTGACATCCTTCCAGTAATCTACCTGGACGCCAATACCAACCGCTCCTACACGTATGCCCAAGTGAAAAGCACCGCCATCGACTTCGGCAAAGGCCTCAAGGGCCTCTGGGATTGGCAAAAAGGCGATGTCCTCGCCGTCTTCTCACCCAACTGCATCGACACGCCTGCAATTACCTGGGGTTGCCACTGGGCGGGCGGAATAATCTCCCCCGCCAACCCCACTTACAGCGCCGAGGAGCTCGCCTTCCAGCTAAAGAATGCCGACGCCAAGGCCGTCGTCACGCAGCTGCCGCTGCTGCCCGTCGTGCAGAAAGCTGCCGCCGCGGCGGGTGTGCCGGAGGATCGGATCATCGTCATGGGCGACGGCCGGGATCCGCAGGGCGGGGTGAAGCACTTCACCAGCATACGCAACATCTCGGGCACGGCGCGCTTCCGCCGCACGAGGCTGAACCCCGAAGAAGACCTGGCATTCTTGGTCTACTCGAGCGGGACGACGGGTCTGCCAAAGGGCGTGATGCTCACGCATCGGAACATTGTGGCCAACGTGCTGATGAACAGGGCGCTCGAAGGCGTGAATCTCGAGTGGAGCAAGGATAAGATCATCGCCTTCTTGCCCTTCTTCCATATCTACGGTGAGTTCTCCACGGCCCTCTTGTGCAACATGACTGACATTCCTCCGCAGGCCTCACGTGCCTCGTCCACCATGGCATGTACACGGGCGTGGAGCTCGTCGTCATGGACAAGTTCGACCTCGAGAAATTCTGCAGCAACGTGCAGACGCACAAGGTGACCTTCGCCTATCTGGTGCCGCCGGTGGTGTTGGCTCTGAGCAAGTCGCCCGTGGTCGACAAGTACGACCTCAGCTCGCTACGCATGTCCAACTCGGGCGCGGCGCCGCTAACGCACGAGATTGTCGAGGAGCTATGGAAGAAGCGCAAACTGAAGGTCAAGCAAGGCTATGGGCTCAGCGAGACGAGCCCGACGACGCATACGCAGGAGTGGCACGACTGGGACAAGAAGATCGGCAGCGTGGGGAAGCTGATGCCGAATCAAGTCGCCAAGTACATGAGTCCCGAGGAGAAGGAGGTGCCGGTGGGTGATACGGGCGAGCTGTGGGTCAAGGGGCCAAACGTGTTCAAGGGCTACTGGAAGAACGAGGAGGCAACGAGGAATGCCTTGACCGACGACGGCTTCTTCAGGACGGGTGATGTGGGCCACCAGGATTCCGAGGGCCACTTCTACATCACGGACCGAGTGAAGGAGCTGATCAAGTACAAAGGTGCGGTTTTGGACGCTTCACCATGGCCTTGCTAATCGTGAAACAGGGTTCCAAGTGCCGCCTGCTGAACTTGAAGGCTTGCTTGTTTCGCATCCCTTGGTCGAGGACGTGGCAGTCGTCGGTATTTACGACAAAGAGCAGGCCACCGAGGTGCCCCGCGCCTACGTTGTGCCGGCCAAGGCCGTCGAGGCCAGCCCGAAGACGGAGAAAGAAATAATAGAGTGGTTGACTGAAAGGGTCGCGCACCACAAGAGGTTAAGAGGCGGCGTACGGTTTGTCGATGAGATCCCGAAGAGCGTGAGTGGCAAGATCTTGAGAAGAGTGCTCAAGGCGAGGGCGGCGGAGGAAGAGAAGGGCGGAAAGGCGAAGCTCTAGAAAGAAGTAAAGAAAGAGGTAGAGAGGTACGTCATTTTGGACACTTCAAGTCGTTACGGATTGCATATTCTTGTCGCGTTTGATGTGTGCGCTTAGCTGCTACTCGTCGAAACAAGCGTCTTCCTCCATGCAAGGACCGAATCCACGCGCTCAGGTCAGTCATATACAAGACGGCTTATTGAACGGTGTTCTTATTCATTCGCCCTGCGCTTGTTGCAGTTTGGAACGGAGGTTGCATCGTTTCAAACTTCTCTGAGTCGGCTGAATCGCCTAATCCCTTGGTCGCCGCCCCAAAGCGTCTGGCAAATGAAAACGAAGGCCAAGGAACATCAAGTTCTTATACCAGGCCTGCAAGCCGCCTAGTCATGGCTTGCTACACCACCGAATTAATGCGGATTGGTCGGATTTATTGTACTCGTACAGCGCCGCAGCAGAGTGGGCGGGGTGCTCGGGGCAGCACGTGGCCCGTTGTTTCGTCGTGGGTCGGGTTTTATTGAACGATGGCACAGCAAGTGTCTGACAGCAAGGGTTGAAACTAGTGCAAAAGGTGAGACTTTACCCGAGAGTCGACGGCAGATCCCCGCTTTTCGGCGGGAGCAGACGTCTGCGTCGGGAGAGTGCCGTGATGACAAGGCGTGCTTGCCAGGACACCCTTGATGTAAAAGCGATACAGTCGTGAGTAGCAGATGATCCACGTGCGGCTAGTCCTCGCGAGTCGGGAAATTGCAACGCCCAAAATACCCCAGGGCCGTGCAGTTAAACTTAGCACTGTACAGAAGAGGAGCAGCTGCGGCTGGATGCAGAAGACATCTCCGACGAGGACTTAGCGGGCATATAGCTGACGGAGGTGAGGTGGTGCTAGCGCGCGCTGCAGGCGTTCCAGACTGCCGTCCGTGTGCCGTTAGAGGTTTCTCCCAGTGAACAAAACGCGCGCTAGCGGCGGGAGAGCCGTGGGCGGCACGGACGATGCATGATCGGCTCAGGCCCTTTGCAACTCGCTCAACTGCCGCGTAGGGGAAGACTCATCGACTCAGCGTTTCGCCATGGGCAGGGTTCGCGCTCCTGCAACACTCGATCGCACCAGCTTTCGATATCGCCCTTGGGAGAAATTGGTCCGGCCCATGTGTGCTTTTTTGGTCTTGTCGCTGCTTCCATCGCTGGGCCCAAGTCCGATCCTCGCCCATTGCGGGCCCAAGTCCGTCATTCCCACTCCTGTCGATTCGTCACTGCATCTATTTACATAGGCCTCGCCTCGGCACACACGCGCGGGATCGCCTTTGCCTCCTCTTCTCCAACCGCCCTCCCGCCCTACTTCCCCGGCCACGTGCCTTCCTGCAGGAGCCCGAAGCCACAGTGACCACCTTCCCCGGTCCTGGCTGTCGCCACACTTTAGATTAACTTGCTTGATCTTCTTCCCTCTCGGCAGAGTCCGGGGTTCATATCATCTCTCCGCTTCGCTACCTCAGACGCCTGTTTTGGCACTGACTCGCCTCACTTGCTTTTTCTCCATCTCTCTCCCATTCTCCTTCCAGAATCCTCTCTCCCCTCTCTCCCTCCCTCGACCTTCCTGTCGTCGGCCATGGCGGCGGCGAACACGACAACACCCGCCATGCAGCCGCCCGCGGGACAGGCGTCAACCTTCGACGGGCCGATGACGAGCGCGCAGTGGGAAGTCGTCCGGACAGGCGCCGGACTGGTTGGAGGTGCGACGGTGGCGCTGGCGCTGCGGATATGGGCGCGGGCGGGCGTTATGAGGCATTTTGGACTGGATGACTGTACGTCATGGAAGAACTCTCGGCATAGCATTGGCTGATTCTAAAATTTCCGACAGATGCGGTTGTGGCAGCTTGGGTAAGAGCAAACGAAAGAAACGGAGAGGAGATGGGGGCTGACGCTGGATAATAGTTGCTCAGTGTTGCCTTTTTCGTTTGCGAACTGCAGTGTGAGTTTTCCTCCTTTCATTTTGTGTCTTTCCCCAATTTTTATGCTGTCCACGCGAAGTGATTCTGACGCCTATCAAAGGGATGCAGTACGGATTTGGTGAGCACCTGTGGAACGTGAGCGTCGCACAGGCGAAAGAGTATGCGCAAGTGAGTCCTCAGCGAATCCGAGCTGGAGTAAATGCTGATAGGAATCAAGTGGAGCATACCTGTGCTCACGATGTACTGGTATGTCGATTCTGCGTGCTGGTGAACTCCTCGCGAATGCTGATTCCATTGTGACAGTTGGGCGCCGATACTATCCAAATTTTCGATACTTCTCTTGTATCATCGCTTGAACCCCAGCAAACCCTTTCGTATCGTGGTGTATGTCATGATAGCCATTATAGTTGGTTATTCATTGGCGTCGACCGTCGTGGTATGTGGCAGGCATGCTCTTTGGCCAGCTCCTAGTATTAACAGTGGACTTTAGGTTGGGGCCATATGCAGACCAACTGACGCTACCAAGAGCCAATGTCTCAACAACCTTACCCTCATTCAGGCGATCGTGAACATCTCCACAGATGGCATTGTAGTCATAATGCCCATCTCCATTATCCACAAGCTCCAGTTCCCATTCGGCCAACTGATGATCGTAGGATTGGTTATGGCTGGTGGGTTTCTGTAAGCATACACCCTTCTAAACTCCTTTAGAAATTTGCACAGCTGACAGAGCTGCAGTGCCGTGGCTGCCGCAATAATACGACTTATCACGATCCAAGGGATCCGCGAGCGCGCGGATTACACTTGGGAGCAGACCCATGTCTCACTGTGGTCGTAAGTGACTTGAACAATTCACACCAAATTCAAAAGGCTGACACTAGAACTCTGTCTAGAACCATCGAGATCAACGTCATAATCATTTGCCAGTGCCTCATTTCGCTCAAGCCCTTGATCAAGCACTACATGCCGAGCATGCTCGACGACGGAGTCTACCCGAAATCGACCAACAACCGCGGTCGCAGCCAGAGCAGACTCAGCCTGCCCTTCACCATGATGGCCAGAGGAACGACGGGCGTGGTGGGCGGTGGCAGATTATCGAAAGGCTGGTGGAGGAGCCCGAAGAAGGATGAAATCATCATCACGAATTCGTACGAAGTGCGAAGCACGTACGAGATGCGAGTGGGCGGCGATACGGAGAGTATGGAAAATATCATCAAGGGGAAGCGCTGAGGAGAAGTAATTCAATTTTTGTATCGAGTGGTTGTTGTCGGCAACGCCGGGGCGGGACCTGAGTGCGTTATCCTTTCATTAATCTTGACTGGGAGAGCGGAATATACCCCGGGGAGGATACTAGTCTGCGGGAAAAGGGCTTTGCAAGTCGGAAAAGAGGTGGATTCTGCATTGCGAACTAATATAAGCCGTTGTTTTCAGATGATTGGAATGTGCTATATTTGTGGAGCCTTGGGCCTATGAAAGCACTCGGATCTGCAATATTTGGACCGCCAATGCAGATCTCGGGCTTTTTCCCCAAGTCCAAGCAGGAGATCCAGCTCTTGCAGCAACTGAAGGACCACCTCCACCCTCTGCCATACCCGCAACCCCCACAAAGCTAAGCCCTCAGTCACTGCCGTCCCATTTTACTCCCTTGCGGCAAGGTCGAGGATTCGCGCCAATGCCGCATCTTCCGCCGGTGGACCCCTGTGGACACTTTCAATTGCCTAATTGGGTCAGCGCTCCGACCCATTCTCACTGCTATCGCACCGCCGCAATAACGAAAATCAAGCCACTCACGTCCCGCCCGTTCCGCAACAGCGCTATCCGCAGCTCTCCCGTCCGTCAACGTCCCACCCAATCTTCGGGCCTTTTTCCGAAACACCCTACACCACAACTATAAAATCCTGCCAACCGGCTTGGCTACCACCGCAGCCGGATGCTGATCTCATAGTTCCACTGCGTATTTCAAAAGCCAGCGCAAAGCTCTTCACGTGCTGCGACTCCGGAAAAATGAATGATCTTTGTCTGGTACAACTTCGCGCTCCAAACGAGCGCAACGAAACCGATGTGCTCTTATTCAAGCGCGTTGAGTAAAAGAGAACTCCCGAAACAAAATCGGGCTGCTTGATCCACGTTGATGCTTCCTGCTACCGTTTACATCTTCAACTCTCCCTGGAAAAAACAGCACACCATAACAATCAGAAGTCCCCTCCACTTCTCATACATCACCATCTAACGCTACTGCAGCTACACGTTATTGAAATGAGCCCATTAATTGGTGCGCCGTCGTTCATGACGATACATCCTCTTCTTCTTCTTTTTCTTTTTCTTCCTCATCTTCTTCCTCCCCTTCTTTGCGGCGCCGACGTGGTGATATGTGTACCTTCATGCTGTTAAGCGACTGTGGTGTTGGTGTGCGGGGAACAGTGAGCTGTTGCTCAGACAGTGTGCTCGGAACGGGGGAGTCGACTTCGGATTGATCGCTCAAGGGATAAGCTGTATCGCTGAAAGGGTTGGCTGGATCATCTGACAGGTCGGCTGGATCACCGGACAGGTCGTCCGGAACACTGAAGGAGCCTGTTGTCGGCGGGGCGCTACTCTGGGGATTGCTGTCTGCGGCAGTGCTTTCAGCACCCTCGCCGCTACCGGTGGCATCCCGAAGGATTTGCTTCAGAACGACAAGTTCATTGATAAATGATCGGAATCGGGCCTCCATTGCGACGATCTCATGGAGTACTTTGTTCATGTACTGCGCTTCCATCACTCCGCCTTCGTTATCGCAGGCCATACCGGACAACTTCTGACCCCTGGACTTGAGATCTGCGACGTAGTACTTGAGGCAGGTGCAATAGCTGCCACGGACCCGGCATTGCGCGCATTCCGGCACGTCGCGGGTACAAATCTGCCCGTGCCCGCGACATCTTGTGCAGCCTCGCAATGCTTGGAGTCGAGGCAGCTGCCCGTGTTCGGTAAGCACCTCCATGCTGGAGCTTGAAGGCCGGTCGATTGTCGTGGATGCGTATGCGGTCTGAGGAACGATTTGGAGTATGGCAAAGATGCCCTCTCTCGGAGGACGATGGGCGTTGTGAGGCCTTCTTCTCAGTAAATGCTCGGATGCGTGAACGTTGCTAGTGATTAGAATAAGACAAGGAACAATGGATAAAGCGTTGATGTAATGGGAGGATGGTGGTCTCGACTCTTGCTTGCGTAAATAGATGACGAGGGGCGCAGGAGGGGGAAGGAGCCCCCTCCCAGCTGTCGCTTCTACAATGAGCGAGCCCGCTCGAGATCTTGCTTTCATCCATCGATCATGTTTTTTTTTCATCTCGTTCCACAAAATGACGGTGATAGGTGAGGTCAATCTCTCACTTCTGGAGGCCCTTTCATTATATTCGAAATGTATAATGATTGATAGGCGAGGCAGGTGGGCGGAGCATGAGCCGATCCAACGCGAAACGGATCTATTTGGGCAGAACGTCAAAGAGCTTTGCGTTGTATCGCTAACCACAAACAGAGTAAGCTTGTTGAGCCAAGTTCAACCGCCCAAGCTCATTCCCTGCAACGAAACCAGCGAATTCAAGGCTGAATTCGATAGGGTTGTGGAGAAGAAGAATATTTTTTGGGTGCCCATGGGAATGCACTTTCGACCTCAAAGGTCACGGATGCCAGGTATCACTGGAGATTAGTGAGGTTAAGCACTGCGTGAACAATGAGCACTGTGGCAAATCCATGACCGGATTGTGTACACCTTCGCGCACTAACCCGAAAGTGCAGTTTGCCTGGGAAGACGATCTACGAAGTCAGGCGAATGTGACCAATCAAATAAGACAACCACGCATACTAACGCAATCCGGTACTACGCGAGCTTATTTTAGGCACTCAAGTTTTAGATTCTGACCATTGGTTCTCACAACTCCAGTACGGCAACGTGGAAGCCATCGCCTTTTCATATCTACTATCTTAGTGCGCTGTCAAAATCTCAGAAAGTCGTTCGCTACACCTCCTCTGTTTTTCTCATCACTCACGCATCCGGCTCACCAGCCGGGCCCTCCATCACCTCGCCGACCGGACTCGGCACACCGAAATCCGGGCTTCCATCCTCGTTCCAGTTCACCCGATCCACCATTGTGTACCTGCTCCCATTGCATGCGCCGGTCGGGACGTTGGTAGCGTGGTACACGTTCCAGATCTCGGTGCCGTCGGGCGAGTAGAAGAAGGCGTTGTGCGCGGTGCCGAGGTTGCCGTTGGCCGAGGAGAAGACGGGGCCGGATTTGGTCCAGGACGCCGGGTCGAGAGGGTCGGCGGAAGTGGAGGAGAGGGTGAGGAGGCCGAGCTGGTAAGACGTCGTCCAGCAGAAGGAGGCCGAGTAGGCGATGTAGTACGTTCCGCTGGAGGGGGATTGCAGGAGGTAGGGGCCTTCGTTGACGGGAGTGTCGACGCGTTCCCTGTGTGGTGGAGGGAGCGGTTAGCCTAAGTTTCACTAGAAGGTAAAAGAAGGACAAACCAGTCTTCAAGCGGCTGCGAGAGGAGGACGGTGTCGCCAAGCGTGGTCGGCGAGGTCATGGGCGCGATGCAGAGGGACTGGATATCTGTGTTCTCGAAGCAGGACCAGATAAAGTAGCGCGAGTCCTCGATAGTGGCGACGGTGCCGTCAATGCCCCAAGTATCGGTGAGAGTAGCTACCCAGGTGTAGTCATCATCCCAGGGGTGAGCGCCGCCTAGAAACTCAGGGGATCAGCCAGGTCCGGTAAGAAAAAGGTTGGTCTATCGTAACGTACCTTCCAAAACCTGGGGACGTTGGCCGTCAAGATTTTCCGCAGTTCCGGCAGAGTAATAGATGTACCAGGTACCATCGAGTTGATGAATCTCTATACGTAGCAGCAGCAGTCAGTGGGAAGGTTCTGGAAAAAAAATATCTCCGAATAGTTGCCAGTCATGATAATACATGAGCCTCTCTTAAGTACTACACATGGTCTTGGGGACAGTCTGCACTCTTCTCGAAGTGCTTGCACGAAGGTCTTTACTTTCAATAGAAAACGAAAGGCAAAAGGGAATGCCTTAGGGACCACGTACCAGGGGCCCAAACACTGCAGCATCTCGACGGGTCGCTGTCAACCCAAATCGTCTTCCTCTCTCCCGTCTTCAATCCCTCAAGCGTGGTGGCCCTCGTGAGTTGAACGTCCGTCCACGTCGTTGTCATGAGGTAGTAGTACCCGTCATGCCACACGATCTGCGGATCGCTCCCATCCGTCTCCCTGAGCGGATTGGAGAAAGTGGCAGCGGAAGAAATCTGCGTCAACGCCGCGAGCGACGCTGCGAACAGGCCAGAGAGGAGCATCGTGCCGGGAGAGAGCAAAGGCTGCAGAAGACGGGGGGAGGGCTTCAGAGGGCAGTAGTGGGGAATTGCACTGGTAGAACATCGAAAGCGAGTGAAGCAAGGTAGCAATTTATATGAAAGATCCGTACACTTGTACGCGACTCACATGGCGCCGGCGGGCAAGTGGCCCAGGAAGGGAAGGCTTCCCAATTGCCCAGAAAGACGCCTCCCAAGCGCAGCGAAAAGCGGAGTACAGTCGACCAAAATAACGTATCACGCGACGCGGCATATAGGACAAGCCCGGTGTACCGGTATGAGGCTATAAAGCAGGTCTTGGCCGGGCCGAAGCAATAATGGAGCTTGTGGGTGCCCCGCGTTTTGTTTGTCTGCTCGGTGGCTTGTTCCGGTGGGTGGAGTGGATCCGGTGTTGGTTACCCCGGCGGGCTGACTGATTGTGGGGGTGGGGTGGTGCAGGAGGCCAAGACTTGGTGGCGTAAGCTGCGCATGATGAACGGTGGAGTTATTGGACGCCGGGGTAGCAAATGCCGAGATTGCGGACGTAGACTTGTGGCATGGTAGATGAGGCTCAAGACTTTTGTTTCTGAGCTGGCGGCGGCAGTGATGTCAGCGGCAGAAGTTTTTGTATTCGAGAAGAACTAATCTGATCCGTGGAGACGAATGGCGGTGTGTTCTGCTCGTATTCGCCGCGTCTTGTTTCAGAGCAAAGTGCGAGATCCAAATCTGGCCAACGAGGCGAATGCCAGCCATCACAGGGCTGGGGTTGTTAGCCTCGTTGGGAAGGTTTTGAATGGGATCCTTGTTTCCGGCTCTGTTTAGCAATTGTTAGGAGCCCAGAAACGCCCAGCAAGTCTCACAGCTCGGTAGTACGTCTCTTTAGTGGCGGTGCACAACAGACCTGTCATCCAACCCTGCTTGGCGCATTCTTTCTCTAGATCCCAGCGGAAAACCTTGTCCACCATTTTGCGCGTGTTGTGGTCCAGAGCGCATAGCCTCCCGAAGGCGTGATAGCCGAAGTCATGACGCAGGCACGCACTGTGGAAGTTTACGCCGAAGGGCTTATCGGGAGACTTAGTGCACCCGTTTGACGCCCAATCCTTCTTAGTTATACACGGCAGGTCGTTGGCTTCGCGGTGCTGAAGGAATTCATCGAGCGTCATTTCAAAGGCAAGCGCATTGACCCAATACCCCGTATCGCAATCATCAGCCGCCCGAGCGGTAACGTTGGGTGTTGCATCGATGGGGATTGCTGCAGACGAGACCAAGCTCGCGAGTAACGAAACCACGACGGCCAGGCGATGTGACGGCATGATTCAGCTACAAATCATAATTAGCTATGGACACGACCATACATGATGCACTCACCTATTACAAGAACGGGCTGCTGAAAGGCTAGCCGATCGATGTTGTATTTGTCAAAATCCAAAAAGCGTTGCTGGAATAATCCTAGTACGCATTATATTGCAACAGTATTTATACTGAGATCTGGCGAACGTGGCCCGTATTCTATCTCGATGGTTCGCTGAGGCCAAGGTTTTACCAAAAATCTTCTCCCACGGTACTGATTCGTTTCGTACTGACTCGGTACTGGGCAAAGTCGGCTTGTTGAGAATTCTCTTCAGCATTTTCCGCGGCCATCTCGCATATCCAGGCTTGTTGTCTCGGGGAAAGGCTCTGGGAACACGGGAAGGCAGCAGCAAGTCAACCATCGCGATCGCGTCGGTGAGCAGAGGGTTTCTGTGGACATGGTCTAAGTAGCCTTCTCATTTTGGGGACGATAACAAGAATAGAAGGACGGCGCGGGGCTATTGTATTTTAATCCGTTGTGTGGACACAGCACGTACCAACACAGATTCAGTTTAGTTGTCGCCAACCATACTCTTCAATTACGGCGGAACCTCTACAAGCGATCCCTGACCGGCTTCCAATAGATGTCGCTTTCCTCCATGACAATCTTGTCCAGTCCTTCGAGGGGTCCCAATATCTGGATGTCCTTCTGGCTGTCTTCCAGGATGTCGCGACAGTGCCATTTCATGGTAAAGTTCTCAGGATTGCCCTTGCCGGTCAGGTCGGCCAGCTGATCGTTGGTGGCGGCATAGACGATCCTCCCAATGTTAGCCCAGTAGATGGTGCTTGTGCACATTGCACACGGTTCCCAGGTGCTGTAAAGCGTGCATTTCCACAAGAATTCTTGTGAGTAGTGCAGGGCAGCTAGGCGCGCAAGACTTGATTCGGCGTGATCGACGTGGCTCAGGGAACAGTGGGTGAGCAGCACTGTCTCATTGTCGGGGCCGATGAGAGCTCCAGCAAACGGACGCTTGCCTTGAGTCATGGCGAGTCGTTGGACTCTGAGACAGGCCTCAATGCCAGCGGCCTGCTGGTCGGCGCTCGGAAGCGGAGCACGCTGAGGGAAAACGGTCGACATGATCCGGAGGGAGAAGCGATGCTGGATGATCGCAAAGTGCGCCGTTGGTGGCTACATATGTACGCGGTCGTCGGCGGGGTCCGTTATCACGCTTCATCCCACTCTTCCTGCAAGCAACGAAGACATTGGGGTTGCGGAGGAAGGCAGGAGTTAAGAGGCCTCGGGCGGGTGGCCCGTGCGCATGCAGCTGCCGTCAGTGTGCTGCCCACCGCCCCAGCGCCCATCACAGCTCCAGCTTTGGCTCCATCTCCACAAACGCCGCGCCCTGCACCACTGCGCGGCAATGCGATAAGTTCTTTCTTCCGAGCATGACAATTCGAGTCGCCCTGTGACCCACGCCGCTCCAATATGGCCTTCGAACCCTCTAGCGGCTATGTCGCATCCAACAGCCTGAATGACCTCAATGACGCCTCGCTGCCCATCTTCAACGTCGAGCTCGTCAACCTCAAGTTCGACCGGCCCTCCGACTTCGTGGCTGCCGAGGTCGCCAACAACGTGCTGATCCTAGCCTTCGAGACCGGCCGCATCCTCCGTTTCGACCTCGACAGCCCCGAGGACATTGACGGTATGCATGCTCGCCCGCTTCCCACTTGCAGCCTTCTGCCTAACACTTGCAGATGTTGACCTCCCCAAGAGACCCTCGGAGATCGGCGTCATCCGCCGCATGTTTCTTGACCCGACCGCCTCCCACTTGATCATCACCACCACCCTCGCCGAGAACTACTACCTCCACACCCAGAGCCGCCAGCCCAAGGCCTTGTCGAGGCTGAAGGGCGTCCCCATCGAGAGCGTTTCATGGAACCCCTCCGAGCCCACGGCCTCTACCCGCGAGATCCTCATCGGTGCCTCCGACGGCACCGTCTACGAAGTCTACATTGAGCCCTCGGCCGAATTCTACCGCCGTGAGGAGAGATACCTGAAGGCAGTCTACAAGGCCGACGCTCCCGTTGTCGGTCTGTGGACTGATGCCATTCCGGGGAGGCCCGACGTGCGAAGGGTTCTGGTTGCCACGCCGTCGGATATGCAGCACTTCGTAGGCAAGGTCGGAAGACACGGCCGTGAGGGCAGCGGGTCCATCTATGCCCGTCTTTTTGAGTCCGAGGTCCCCACTCCGTATGAGCTGAACGGCGGGTCTCGCCCCGGCCCATCTATGCTTGCTGTGTCACCAGATACCCAGGAAGTAGCCTCGTCCACCGCTACCGAGAACGAACGAGCCTTCGCATGGCTAAACTCCCATGGCGTCGTGCATGGCAAGCTTCTCACCAACGCCGACTCTTCGAATCTAGGGAACATGGTTATCCAGGGATCCAAGATGTTTCCCAGGTCTAAAATTCCCCCTTCTCAAACCGCGGGCGGCCGACCAAGGGCGATTCAAGACCCTGCGAGTTCAATGATTCTGAGCCACTGGCACATCATTCAACTGGTAGAAGGTCGCGTTGTTTGCACCAACAGGCTGAATGATACCATTGTTTATGATCAGGCTGTGCTCGAGCCTGGTGAAACCGCGTTGGATCTGGTCGCTGACCAGAAAAAGAGCACCTTCTGGCTGTTTACCAAACAGGAAGTCTTTGAGATCAGTGTGTACGATGAGAGCCGCGACGTGTGGAAGATTCTCTTGAACCAACAACAGTTTGATGCTGCTTCCCAGTTTGCGAAAACTCCGTCCCAGAAGGATGCTGTTGCTACCGCTTCAGGAGACTATCTTGTCAAGAAAGGCCAGTTTCTGGAGGCTGCTAGTGTCTACGGACGAAGTACCAAACCATTTGAGCAGGTCGCTCTGACTTTCATCGACCATGGTGAACAGGATGCATTGCGCAAATATCTTACAACCAAACTTTCTACCATCAAGAAATCTGCCACCATGCAGCGCATCCTACTTGCTACTTGGCTAGTCGAGATTTATATATCCAAACTCAACGCGTTGGATGATACCATTGGCACCAAGGCTGAGCTGTCCGAGAGCATGAATGCCCGGGATACTGAAGACCAACTATCACTCACTCGGAGAGAGTTTCAGGACTTTGTTTCGAAGCACAAGTCCGACCTTGACAGGAAGACTGTGTATGAAATTATCAGCAGCCACGGCAGAGAGGAGGAACTGCTCTACTTCGCCACCGTTGTGAACGACTACAATTACGTCCTGGCTTACTGGGTCCAAAGGGAACGCTGGACTGAGTCTTTGGATGTCCTGAAGAAGCAGACCGACCCTGAAATCTTCTATAAATACAGCTCTGTCCTGATGGCGAACGTGTCGGTCCAGTTTGTTGAGATCCTTATGCGGCAGGTGAACCTGGATGCCAGAAAGCTGATACCTGCTCTTCTCAACTACAACAAGCTTGTGCAGGCGTCTTTGTCTCAGGCAAGTTAGCCAAGTAATCAACAAAACAGCCGTGGCCCGCTAACAACCTTTGCAGAACCAAGCTGTCCGCTATCTCCAGTTCGAGATCAATCAACACCATTCCACGGACGCCGCGGTGCATAACACGTTAATCTCTATTTACGCCTCTCACCCATCGAGGGACGAATCTGCATTGCTTCAATACCTCGAGGCCCAGTCGTATGCGCAGGAACAGAACTACGACGCTGATTTTGCCCTTCGCCTCTGCATTCAGCACAAGCGTGTACAAAGCTGCGTTCACATCTACAGTTCCATGTCACAATACGTCCAGGCAGTGGAGCTCGCGTTGAAGTACGACGAGATCGACCTCGCCAGTTCCGTCGCCGACCGGCCTGAGTCGGATCCGGCACTGCGCAAGAAGCTCTGGCTGGCAGTGGCGAAGAAGGTGATCTCGCAGAGCACAGGCATCAAGCCAGCCATCGAGTTCCTCCGGCGGTCGGACCTGCTGCGGATCGAAGACTTGATCCCCTTCTTCCCGGACTTTGTCGTCATCGACGACTTCAAGGAGGAGATTTGCGCGGCGCTGGAAGAGTATAGCCGGCAGATCGACGCGCTGAAGCGCGAGATGGACGAGAGCACGCAGACGGCCGAACACATCAAGCGCGACATCAAGCAGCTGGAGTCGCGCTACGCCATCGTCGAGCCGGGCGAGAAGTGCTACATTTGCCGGCTTCCGCTGCTGGCAAGGCAGTTCTTCGTTTTCCCTTGCCAACACGCGTTTCATTCCGAGTGTTTGGGCAAGAAGGTCGTGGAGCAGTCGGGCAGGAGCAAGGCGAACAGGATCAGCAAGTTGCAGACGGAGGTGATGAAGGGCGTGAGCACGGGTGCGAGTAGAGAGAGGGCGGCGAGGGAGCTGGATGAGCTGGTTGCAGCAGCTTGGTAAGTGTCTCCGTTGCCATCCTTCTTCCCCTTCATGAGTGCTGCCGTGGCTAACATGTGCGCTTTCTGCAAACAGTATTTTGTGCAGCGAATTGGCTGTCAAGCAGATTGACGAACCGTTTGTGCCGATGAACGAGACTAATGAATGGGCGCTGTAAGGTTGACGATGGAGGGTAGACCTGTATTAAGGCTGCAATACGGCCTTGTATTTATGAAGAACGTGTGGGAAGATACCCTTGTAGAAATCAAACCCGTGCAGTTTTCTGTATTTGATGTGCAATACGGAGACTTGTCCTTGACGGGCAATGAGGCTATTCGGCTGATAAGAGAAGTTATTGGCAATGGGCAGGGCTCTGCAACTTCAGCTGAAACGCTTCCCAGGAACACTTTAAAGTTACATGTCGCTCGCCTATCATTTTGAGATTAATTTTTTGTGTAGAACTCAGGAAGCAGTGATCGCTGCTTTAGCAAACTCGGAATTTTTGCAAACGGTATCTTCTAAGAGTCATAGCAGGTATCCGCCAGGAAAAACAGTGTACAATTCCAAGGTGAACGAAAAACGCGCTGTTCAAGTCATGCTACCATTCTGGAAGGTCTGGCAGCCCCTCGGGTGTTTGTAACCACTGCTTCGGGCCACACTGGCCAAAAAACTCGCACGAGCAGCGATTAGGCGATGGGCATCTACAGCTTGTCAACAGCAAGCAATAGCAAGACGGTTGGGCCTAGCTTACCTCACGGACTCCCCAGTGAAAATGTATGCCCAAATCTTCTCCAACACCCTACCAGTCACGTCATCGGGCAATTCGGAGTCCAAAATCCATCGCCTCATCCTCTCATAGTCCGACTTGGGTCGCCTTCGGATGGCCTGCCTGGTGACGGCGAACTGAGCACAGCAGTGAGATGCTATCGTTTCTGGCAGCGCCTCGTTGGGAAACAGGTCTTTCCACGACAGGGATATCACGTATTCGGTCGCCTCACGATTGACTCCGGCGCCCCAGACGATGACGTCGTGGGAGATGGGTCGAATCTCACGAGGGCAGCTGGGGTACCAGTCGCATCGAAGGGAAATATATCCGTGGTCCTTGAGGACCGGGAGGCGAAGGCTGTCGATAAGCCCGGCCATGTCACCCTCGTGGTGCCAGCTGTGTCGCTCTCCGTGGGTGAAGATGACGTATTCCGGCAGCTTGTCGTAGTTGTCAATGATGAAAGATAGGTAAGGCATCGCTTCATGGCCTTTGTTGGCGGGCATGGCAAGATGTTGTGGTGGCGAAGGATCATCGACGTTGTATGGGAAAAGCTCCCACCTGATCAAGTCAGCCTTGTGCAGGAGATATATCTATAAGAAGACACATGGCTTACCTGTCTTGAAGTTCATGCATCCAGCTCAAATTTGTCCAAGCACGGCCTGCTGCCACAACTGCTCCAAGCTGGGTCTTTGCGGGCCCCAGTTGCTTCGTAGATGAAGGCGGGGCCAGTTCTGGTATTGAGGGCGTCGTGGGAGATTGCGATGCAATCTCGATCGTAACGGCCTTATTATTAGGTTGCTGTGGTGTTTCGTCCACAGCTCCGTCCGCGATTTCCACATGAAAATACGACCTGGCTTCATCGAGAGAAGGATTGTAGCCAATGTAGAGATATTGGTGCAGTGAGATCAGAAGTGCAACGAAAGTGACAGCCAATATGGCACCGAATCGTCCTCTAGACTTTGGGGCAGTCTTATACAGAGTTACCATGGCGAATGGTCTAGTGATTTGTTGTACAGAATTAATGAAAGGAGATGAAGAAGAATGGAGTTGGGCGGCAACTCAGTAGAAAAGGAGCCTCATGGCGGCGAAGTAGGCACTACTCAAGGCTGAATTAGCGCTATGGAATTTACATGGCGCTTGGGAAGTGGGACGGAGCATCTGCTTTCGCATTGCGGCGTAGCAAACCGGGGCCTCTTCATTCGTGGGAGCAGACAGGGGTTCATGAGCCGCTCAAGTTGCATCTCTCGAAGATTGTGCGCTTTGGGTGTTTTACGATCCGTGAAGGACGTGCCATCGCCCTAGAGTCGCTTATACCTCTCAACAGTCAAGTACCTCGCGATGTGCCCTTTCCTGTGTAGGCGTTTTGCTTCCAGGAAGGGAATCTGCAGCCCGGCGCTAAAACCAACTGCTCGGCAACGGTAGGTACCTATCACACCGACGTATCGCCGCCGCCATGCAAGACTGTGTATTTTCTCTTGTTCAGCCTTTCAGCTGCCAAGATTTCTTTCTCAATACATCATCCTGCTTCATGAAGATATCTCACACGTGTATGCCAATTTGCACTGTTGAAGCAGATGCGAACTATCTCATAGCTATGAAATCCGCAAAGAGGCGCCAAAAATAACATGCAGCGCTCATTTGCGCCAAGGGTCCAATGGGAAAGCGTGTTAAGCGCCGCAGAAGCGCGATCTCAGAGGGCCATGCAGGTCATACTGCAGCCTAGCAGGCAGCTAATTGCGCAAATGAGGCATGGGCAGCAATTCCCCATTCCACTCTTTTCTCTGGGGTTCTTTTGTGGCCGAAGCAGGCATGTCTATCAACTTTTGGTTAATCTTCTGTCTCCTCGCCCAACGTGGATTCGCCGCTTGGTGCTTTGGTTACCAGGGACTTACTTACCCTAACAACAAAATCTGCCCGAGCTCTTCGGCATGTTGCGGCGCAGATTCCGAGTACCTTCCAAACCGTCTCTACCGCAACTTGGGAGATAAGAACGGTACTTTCGTCCGAGGGCCATGTACCGTGGGCCCTTGGGAGTCAAAGCGTGCACGGATTTGTCTACGTAGTCAGTATTGGGCTCCGTAATGTTTTCCATATGGGTCAGTAGGCACAGCTAACAGCAGCTGGCGAGTCTCTATCCGCTGTGCCTGGAGCATCTGCAACCAGCAACACTGACCGACCATCTCCCAGGAACAGCTACACCTGCATCTACCGGTGGTTCTACATCGTCTTCCGGTACTAGCCTTTCACAAGGCACCAAGATAGTCACCGGAAAAGTGGTCCCAGTTGCGGCGGTCATCATCGCGGCGCTTGAGTTCACCGTCTACTTCCTCAGATCACGGAGGTCGCCACCAGCGTATCTCAACATGAATGATACACATCAACAATCATTTGATCCGGCCACGTACCAGTTCGACTCGCAGCCACCGGTCGAAACGCACACAGACCGCGCTTCGAGGATGTTTCCATCCGATCAAGCTCGCTATTAATAGCAGCAATCTCAACCCCCAGAGAGCTTCAGGCAAAGGCCAAGTGCGATCACTGTGTCATTTTCTGCAAGAAGTTGAAGAATAGACAGTCTCATAAATGACAAAAAGTACCAAAGAAAAACGGCTATGCATTGATATTCCACAAATATAATACTAATAGATTCACAGAATATATCTCAAGAAGCACATTGGTTGGAACCACTGGAGCCCATGAGGACAAAAAATGAAATCAAGAGAATAGAGAGTGGACATCAACAAAGAGAAATGAGAGAGAGGTAAGAAATAAAGGCCTAATAGCCTACAGCACCAATGAACCCCTCCTTAACGTTTTACTTGGGCTCCCGACCTCTGCGACCTCGTACTCATCCTCTTCCCTCTGCTTCCTCTTCCTCTCCTTCTTCTTCTCTCTCTTATCCTTCTTGCTTTTCTTCTTTTTCTCCTTATCCTCTCCTTTACCCACCACCACCGCTGACTTCTCTTTCGTTTCTTTCTCCTTTTTCTCAACCTTAAAGTCGACATACGGCCCCCTCGTAAACGCCACATTCATCAAGACTCCCGTATTCTCCTCCCTCGCCACGCTGGGATTCCACGGGCACTGACAATAGTTCAGATGGCTCGTTTTCTTACACCTATAACACGGCGTCCTCATGCTGCTAGATCTGCTGTATTCACGATCAAACGCTTCATTTGCCTCCGCCACCGTCTTCCTCCTCCGCACCTTACTGGTCGCAGCCGTGTCATCGGCGATGGTACCGGCGGCACTCTCATGTTGCTGAGCGGCATCGAGAAGCTTCGTCTCGCGTCTCTTCGGCTTGTCCTTTTTCGCCTTCGCCTCTTCGCGCCTTTGCTTCCTGATGAGTTTTGCAGCGGCCTTGGCGCCGCGGGCGCGCTGGACCGCTGCAGCGGTAGATTCACGGTCGGAGTAGGGCTCGTCTGGGTCCCTGGGCAATGGGAAGGTTGAAACTGGGAGCTTCTGGATAGACGCAGTAGCAGGAGCTGAGGAGAAAGGACCTGCTTTAAGAAGTTTGGTTAAGGAACCGAGATTTGCGGTTGAGGATTCAGAGACGCTCGATTCGTGTCGGACCGAGTCCCCAAGGACCTCTCCTACGCGTGACGGAGACTTGGCGAGAACGGTTGCTTGTGAAGATGAGGTCTTGCTGGATGCGTGGGGTTGAACGGCCGGCCGCACCACAGGAGTTTCCGATACTCTCAATCGCTCGTTTGGATTTTGGGCCTGCTCTGGGGTTGTAGAACCTTTCCTTCCAGCGCTGGATGCCAGTCCTTGGTGGGTTTCTTCTAGAGGGCTCTCGGACTCTTCGTCATCAGTATCCTTTACTTGTAAAATTCCATTTGCTTGCTGCTTTTGCACCTGCTCCTCACCGTCTCGGCTAGTTTTCTTGGCCTGCAAGATCGGCCTTTTCGAAATATCTTCCTCCTCTTTGCTGGTGTCAGCCTCGTCAGACTCCACAGACTCTTGAATCTCTTTCTGTAATCTTTCCAGCTCCGCATCCGCTACAGACGCGGATGATTCCGAATCTTCGTCTTCAGAACCCATTCGTTCTCCTGCCACATTTCCTCTCCACTCTTCCCTGACCTCGACGAAATCTTCTCCAGACCACCACGGCTTCTGCTCAATCGCTTTCCTCTCTTTCCGTGCCTTTTCACGCCTTTCTTCCTCGTCTATCCTCTCAAGCTGTAGCCTCGTAGCCTCGTCTTTCTCCATATTCTCCTTCTCCTCCCTTAACCTTCTCTCCTCCTCCACAATTGCCCCTCTCACCACGGCAAACGGCAAGCCGCCACCCTGCCCATCACCCATGTCACCATCTTCGCCCTTCCACAACGCATCTCCATACTTCTGACTAAGCTCTTTCACCTTCTTGCTAAACTCACACTCCACGCCGTCTAAAAACTTAAAGACGAGCACGTAGGACGGGAGGGGGAAATTGAGCGACTCCAACCGGTGCACGATTGCCTCAAGATGGTTGGCAAAGTGTCCAACATCGCCGCCAAGCTCATCCAGCTTGGCAGACTGGAATTTCCCCATGAGATATCGCGCCTTACTAGACGCCGAATCGAAGTGGTCAGAAGGCTGGGCAGGCGGGAGAGACGGGAGCGAAGATGTGGCGAGGGAACACGAGAAAAGGGGCGGGGTGGAGGTAATGGCGGCGGTGCTGTTGTCTGGCGGGATGGCAGTGTGTGCGGCGCGAATGCGATCCCAGAGACCGGCGGCGGTTAGTTCCAGACTCTTGTGCAGGGCGGGCGGGTCGGGACAGCCTGCAGCGTCGATATAGGCGAGACGGATGAGGTCTGCAGTTTTGGTGTCGCCACTGCGGTGGAAGCGCGTGCCGCTGTGTTCGGGATGCGAGCCGTCGACGAACTTGAACATTTTGCCCGCCATCAGGGCGTCGCGGACAATTGTGGCCCACTGCTCGTAGGCACGCTCGTCGGTTGTGTTCGAGAGCCGAGGTAGGCCTGGGTTGGATTTGTTGATGAAGTCTCGCGCAACCGCGATGCTGATTTGGCAACATGGTGGCGGTCGGACGGTATTGGGTGTTGCTTTCCTGATCTTCGGTGCGGGGGTTGGGGTGATGTCGCACGCAGCCGGAAACTGCGAGGACGGAGGGGGCGTGGACTCGAACCTGAGGTCCTGCGCCCCAAGACTGACCCCCCATGGGGCGTCCAATGACTTCACTGGTGTCCGGTGACGAGACGATCCGGGTGTATTATGGCTCGAACCAGCGAAGTCTGAAGTCGGCGGCGTCGAGTCATTCCGGGGAGACGAAGAGAGCAACGCGTTGCCGAAGAACGACGAGCCTGGGGTCGAGAAAACATCGTCGTCGGGCGTCATTGACCTCGTTGAAAGGCGGGCGCGCATCTGCGAGGCCTGCATCACTGTAACCTTCGGCCAACGATGTCAGTAAAAGTCGGAGGATACGACAAGTGAACGTCACGCACGAGTCTCAGCACAGCCGTGAAACCTTCACTATACGGGGCGAAGAAGATTGACAAGGTACGTTTGATTGACGAGTTTGAAGATTACAATGTATTGGGTTCCAAGATTGCAGCGATGGACGGCTGGCTTAGGTTGGACGCGGAGAAGACCCTTCGCTCCTCCTCTTGTGCCGGAGGCGGCTGCGCGATATACCGCTCGCCCCAGCCATCTTCAATTACCTCGCACTACATCTCGCCATGCCGCAGACATCACGTCTCGGCTATGGATCTGTATATTACCGCTATCTCTGCGAAACGTCTGCTCTGGGATGCCCCTGGAAATCCGGTTATTACTCTGCCGCTGGGCGGTTGGACAATGCGACAGGTTGAAAAGCGTTGAGCTCGAAAAGTGACATGGCAGAAGGGCACTGCGGTGGTTAGGGTGCCACGGCCTCAACTGCGGCGAGCCGGAAGGCTTCCTATTGGCCGAGAGGCGGGATCGACCGTTGCCGTGCAACGTGCCAGCAAGGGGCGGGCGAGGATCCCGGCCGCAAAACGTCCGGCTTGCCAGGAAGGCCCGTCACAAATGCTCCGGGATCGAAGGAAATGCATCACATCCGACGCTTCCGGGGAGGCTCTGCAGCTGCGAGGCGACGGTGCCGATATGAGCTGCTGTGTCTGTGCAACGCGACCGCAGGTCGATCATCCGCCGTGTCTCATGGCGATCAACGGTTCCTGCAGCCGCCGCTAGGCCATCACACCGCATTCGAGCGGAGGGGCTGGGAGGGGGTGTTGGTGTTGGGGGTGGGTCAATCGGACTCAGGTTTCGGTCTTGACTCTCTTCGAGGGCCGGCACTGCTGGTCCAGCCTCCTCTTTTCGTGCCATCCCGAAGCGGGAAGCGGCGGTGCTGGGGCGCAGCGCAAGCCAAAAGCAGCCACGGGCTCGTCGGGCATAAGGTCCACGTAACGGCCGCAGCCGCCCAGCTTTGCTTTTGCGGCTTCGGCGTCGCGCTCAATCTGGGCGGTGCGGACGGCAGCGGCAGCCACGGCGCGCTTCAGCGTCTCTTCGCAGGCAGCAACCTTGCGCTGCAGCACGCCGAAATCCATGCACTGGCCGGGCTTGGTGTCGAAATCCTCGCTGAGCGTGTACAGGAACCAGGCGTTCATCTCCAGGGTGGCCTTGGCGTAGGCCTCGTGGAGCTCGCGGAGGTCCTTGTTGATCTGCATCAGCTCGCGCGCGAAGGGGCGGGCCCCGCTGACGCAGGCGGCCATGGTGACGCTGTTCCAGCGGCGCAGCAGGCCCGAGTATGTCACCTCGCCCAGCCAGCCGTGGGCGGCCTTCAGGAAGCGCCACAACTTCGCGGCCGTGTTGATCTTGGCCTCGCCGTCCTCGGACAGGACCGACTGGAGGATGGCGTCGGCGCAGGAGCTCTCGATGATCTCCTGCGCCTGGGCGTCGCCGTGGCGCCACCACTCGGTGCGGTCGAGGTGGTCCCAGGTGCCGTCGATGAAGCCCCAGTAGCCGCCCTCGGCCAGGGCGTTTTCAGCATTGCAGGCCCAGGAGTCGTAGGCCTCGGGGCCGTCCAGCTTGGGGGCGCGCTCGAGCAGGTGGTAGGAAAGGTCGGGGCGCAGGCTCACGGCGAGGGCGTCGGCGGGGTCCAGGCCGGTGTAGCGCAGCGTCAGCGGGGCGATGGTGGTTGTCTCAATCATGGCGAGGAGACGGCCGCACGCAGGGCGGCGGCGGCGAAGGTCGTCGGGGGAGTTCTCGGGATCGCTGGGATCGACGGCGACGTGGTGTGGAGAGCGGGCCGGCGGGCAAGAATGGATGCGGCTCAGCAGAGTCGGAGGCAGGCAGGCAGGTGGTCGAGAGGGTGCCAAGGTCTGTGTAACTCGAGGGCGATCGCGAGGACAGCGAGAGGTGTTCAAGAGCAGAGCAGACGCGACGGCCGACGGTCTGGACTCTCGATCGCGGCAGCTTTCCCGACCCGCGCTGAGGCGTGTGCGCGTCCGCTAATAAATGCATTACAGGTGGCCGGGCGGACAGCCAACCGCGGGGCTGCGGCTGCCCGTGGCAGCGATCTAGACCGCGCGCGAGGCCTGGCGATCGCGCCTTTTCTGCCTCCTGGCCCGCCGTGCCGCCAATCGGCGCCCCAACCCCAGCGACCAGCCCTCTCCACCGTTGCCTTAGCACCATGTTCTATCCGGCCTACGTCGATCTGGCGGCCGCCTTCTTCTATCCGCCCGGAAACACGCCCGCCGCCTGTCTCACTCAGCAGCTGCTGCCCCCGCGTGCTCTGCCTGGGCTGCGCGCAATGTCCTCTGCTGCGAGGCAGCCCGTGCTGATGCCCGCCCGATCGATGTCGCTAGCTGCAGCGCTCCGTCATTGGTGCACTGCCCAGTCCGCTGACGCGCACAGCCCGCAACCTCCTCCTCTTCAGCCTGATCCTCGACGACGGCCCTCTGGAGCCTCTACTACCACTGCTTTCTGGACAGCAGCTGTTTGGCCAAGACGCTGACTGAAACCGCAACATGCCTGGCCAAATGGCACCGCAGCCCCTCCTGCGACTCCATGCCGTTCGCGGCGTCTGGCTCTCCTACGTCAACGCTGCTGCCCGCGCTGACTTCAACCGCGCCAAGCAGCCCCAGGAAGCAACCGGAAGGGTCGCCAATGTTATCACCGCCGCACGATCTGCCGCCCCCTCCGCCGTGGACGCTATGCTAGACTGTTCGGCCAGTACTGGCGTAGCGGCACCACGGATGGCCCTGGCGCTACGGCAAACACGGCCCTGCCTAACCCCATGTTCTCCGGCCAGATGGACAACCTGACCCTCCACTATGCTCTGCACATCTGCCGCTAGCGAACGCCTCTCCGCTGGTCCCAAATCAGGCGCACGCCCATGGCTTGGTCCCGGCCGTGAAGACGGCCCGTCTGCAGTTTGAAGCCTGGTGCGACGCGTTCCGGAGGCGTTCTCGGCAATTCACGCTGCCCTTCATCGTGGGAGAAGCTATGACCTTTTGCCATGTGCTGCAACAGAGACTGACCGCCGCTGACGACGCTGCCCAGTGGTGTCGTGGGCCTTACCTGCCGGACCCACTGATTCTTGATGCCGATGACTACAGGTCAGGCCAGACCCTCTGCTCTTCAGCGTTATTGACACATCCAATCTTATCGACCACTTCGGTTCCATTAACCTGTTGGTGGCTCCCGCACCCCTGCTAGATAGGAGCCTAGCTTCTAACCTTGTCACGGAATCTCTCGTGCGCCGACACGACGCCGACCAGCCGCCCATGGACGCACTCCTCTGCGGCAACGCTACCGCCCTATCGACTCTTCTAGCCCTCTTTCCCGTGCAGTATTGGACAAGTACGTCACCTGTGTCCTCGGTATCCGAGACCGTGCTCCATGCCCTCCAACGAACTCTGCTAAGGACACTGCTACCCTGCTTCACAGTAGATTGACCTGGAAGACTTGCATTCCAGCGGGAAGTGACAAGGTATCGGCCCTTCACTACGACGAGGCTGATTTGACTCAACTCCTCTACCAAACATACTTGACCATGTTTGAGGCTGAGGATCCAGTTGTGCTCACGACCAAACGAAGTGCACGACATCTTGCCAACCGTATTATACGCGCGCAAGCTGTGCGGCGTTCCTTCGGTTCGTCAAGAGCAGAGTCAAAGCAGACCAGAGCAAAGCTGCAACAATCCTTCTCCACCTCGTTGACAGGGATACCAATCTCATGCTTGGCCGCAACTTCCTGCAGGAATTGAGGGTCCAGATGCATATCTTCGACGTATGCTCTAGCCTGATACCCGAGTTTCATCTGGAGCAGATGGCTAGAACCTGCCGTGAGGCATCCCAGTTGGCCTAGACCTCTGTTCCCAACATCGTGAACGTGACGTTGACAGTTCCACGGTCGAGACTCCACGTGTTTCACGAAGTCGAGAAGGGACAGCTCGGCACTCCTCCGCTGATTTGTCACACTTACACGCAAAAAGAGCATTCATCCTTTGCGGTCATCCATCTAGCATTCGGAACCGAGTAATACTCTGGAGAAAGAAACACGGAGAGTTTCACCTTGAACATCAAACAAGAGCCGAGGGTGGAATGGCGAATCCCCGCTCTGGGTGTCGTTCCTGGTCCCTACGGCTATCTTACTAAGAAACCCGCAGTCTCTTTCGTTGCAACTCACGCTCCAGCCTATGCCGTACGCCGTCAAGTGTTTCGCTTCTAGGCGCAACGAAAACTTGAGTCTCTTCGACGTCACTCTCGACAACACTGCAAATGTATTCATTACGCGATGCCGCTCTAACATCTCTGAGGAACCGCATCTGCTGCCGTCAATACATAAGCCAGAAAACGATGGTTTCGCAATGCAAATCAATGTCCAAACACAGATCACGGCAAACTTTCACCCGGGCACAGCTCGCCTTTCTAACTTGACTAGCTGCGTTCAACTGATTTCGATGACATGAAAGCAAACTCGGAAATGGCGCTGCAGTGGATACCATCCAAATTTCACCGTGCACAATCGCAGTGAAGATTAGCACTGATTCTTCACTCTCGGTTGAATTTTCAGGTCCCAGTCCTTGAATCGCATTACTTCCCGAACTTTATACACCCCATACTCCCAGGCCGCAGTAGTCCCATTCTTTGGAATGTGCTCTATCCCCCGATTTCCCACCTCCCCGTAATCGACACAACGATGTCTCACACGACACCGTGGCTGAACACTCACCTCACGTCCATGTGGTCGCACCGCGAACGCCACATCCGCGACGCCTCCCCAGCCGTCAACTACCCGAAACCCGCATCGCCCTCAAAGATTCCATCTTCACCATCATCTCAAATTTACACAAACACCCTATCAACAACCGCTCCGCCGACGGCGTGCACGTCCTGCTTCTTACCTCGACGCTCCGCCTCGACCTTGGATCTCAGAGCGTTATCTTCGACGCCGCATGCATCCCGCTCACGCTCGATATTGTCCATAAAATCGCTCCCGTAATACAAAAGCTTCACGGGCACCCAAGCTACTCGCTCAGCCAAGTCAACGTCAACGACGCGGAGCTAAGCGCGTGAAAGGCGACGCTACCGGCGATGGCGGAGCGCGCGCGCACGTGGACGCACGAGGCTGGCGACGGGTGCGCGTACAATCTGGCGGGGCGCGTGCCGCTTTCGTTCAAGGACGGAGAGGGTGTGCTTTGCGGGTGCGGCGCGAGCGTCTTTCCGGACGGGCTCAGCGAGGGGTAGGGGTTGAAGGCGGCGGCGGCGGCAGCGGCGCTAAAGTAGTGTGCGGTGCGCGTGGCTGTCGCGCCGGTCTTCTCTAGCGGAGTTGTGGAGAGACAACAGGAGTTCCCTGCGCTAGGGGAGGATTCTTTTCGGTAGCGCTGAACCAGGTGTTACAGATGCGCCATATGCGGGAGAAAGGAGAAGGACGGGAGAGGGGAGCTGATGAGGTGTTCTCGCTGAAGAAGGTACGGTATTGTTCCCCTGAATGTCAGCGCAGAGATTGGAAGGCGCATAAGGTGGGTTGTTGCGCTGTTGTCACATGATGTCTGTCAAGGGATGCAGGGGACTCTGAGGGTGGAAGTCTGAGTGCGTGGGGGCTGTTCCTCTACAATGTCAAAGGGGAACTTAAGCTACTTGTTGCTGGAAACAACTTCTCTACTGGTTTACTCAATGTGACCAGAGGTACGAAAATTTGCTACAAAGCACCTTAATGTTCGAGCGTGTGAAGAGCTGCGTCTGTTGCTTCATGCTCATTTGTATTTGATCATACCCATCATGCATTCTGCATACAGATATGAGTACAGATAAAAGACATCCAGGAACTCCACAAGGGGAACAGATGTACAACTAGAAAAGAAAATACAGATGTTTCTCTATTCATACACTGAGTTCTGTCGAACTAAAAAAGCACGACGTTGTACTGATTTCAGTACGTGCTAATAGATTGATATAGTCTGACAAGTTCATATGTATGTAGCTTCCCTCATTTGCATAGCCATCTGTTGTATGAGTCCCACAATCTCAAATAATCTGGCCTAATTCCTCCGTTATCGCCGGCCTTGTTCCATGGTTTTCCCCCTTTCCGAATTTTTTTTCGGGCCTTTCTTCATGCTCCAAAGGGTGGGGACTATGTGGGTAGAGAAAGAGGAGTAAAGGATGGGAAGTTTCCACATCAAATGTATATTTCCACACTTCTGACCCACATGCGGTCCACCCCGCCTTTTGACTCATGCAGCTGCGCAAACAGGCAATCTCGATCGCGATCTACCAGGGCTATCTCGCAAGTCCTTCGGCTTCTATTTTCTTCCTCGACCTCCCGCAAACCAAGGCGGAAGCATCAACGAAAAAAAAAAATAATAGTGTGGGATTTGGCCCACCATCACGGAGGATGAAAACGATAGAAGGTTTATCCTTCTTCCCAGTCTCAACCACACTCTCATCATAGCGGCCCATCGAAACAGCTTGCATGAAATACTCATCTTTTCTCGCTCAGCTCGCAATGCTTAGGCACGTACGTAGTACATACGGCTCCCGTCCGTTCCCCGGCTCTCCTTTTTCAGGTAGGCCTTGGTCGTACTGTGGAAACTCTCAAAGCGACTTCAGCCTCATCGGCATGTCGCACAGTCGAATGGGCTCTTCGGACGGTCTGCTCTTGGAATAGCAGGGCAGATGCGGCAGGGAGTCGAGGACAAGTCAAGCCGGAATGAACCTCTAAGAGGAAAGAGGTAAAGAAAAGGAGAAGAGAGGAAAGGAAGGAAGCCCGAAAGCCACCAGCTCCCACAAGTGATCAAGGTGACCGGCTGATCCTGCATCTCCTCCCGCAAACAACCCGCCACAAACATCAACTTCTTCATCGTCGAATGCAATGTCGGATAGGTATTTTGGCTCTCGGGATACCGAGTGCTGCCGCATACAAGACATTAAACATACCCGTTGGGTCGCAGATGTCAAGAGGGCTCGCCAGCCGCGCGCAGAAGCGCACCAGTCCTCTGCAGAGACAATGTCGTCCGTTGAGGGGTGAGGCATGGGGAAGGAAAAAGGAAAAATTCACGCCCCTTGAACCTTACAGCAAGGCGCGGAGCAAAGCTCTATTTGTTTGAGTGAACGGGAAGCTTGAGGCGAAAGAGCACTCAACCCGATGTCTTTGGTAAAGTGCTCTCTGTCCCGTGCGAGGGGAGTTGGACAGCTTTACCATCGTGGTGGTCTTGAATGATCCCTGGGTCGAACACTTTCGCGTGGACCGCCGGGAAAGTAAAGTAACTTGTGGTACCAAGCCTTCGGACACAGTATCCCGGGGTCAAGCACTCACTTAGAGACTGGGCCTTCCCAAGTCATCTTCTCCTGAGTGGACCAATGCCGGGAGAGAACAAAGCCCTCATGTGTGATTTGACGTTCAGCCCAACCTGGGTCTGAAAAGCGTCGGGAATGGGCAAGGTGAACCAACGAGAAGTTGGTGACCTTTTTGCCAAAAATCCGGAGCCTCCAAATTATGACATTTGGGCATCATCGGTTGCAGCCGTGGGATCTCATGCAAATAGCATCTTCTTTGTCCTGATCTGACTGTTCTTTACCCTTACGGGCTATCTCTCGCGCTTGCTCCTCAAAGACCGGTGCGTGTTCGCTTGTACAGGATTGTTTTGTCGTGCTGCGATGACTTCAAGCAGCCGATCCACTGACAGCTCCACTATGCTTCACCTTTGAGCTTTGAGCAGCTCTTGGTTCTTCGCTCCCCACCGCCTCGTTGGGCCGCTTGAAACTTTCACCATGAGGTGTTGAATTACACCATGTAAGGTGACTGCCACCATGAGGTGTCTGACTTGCACCGTATAAGGCGTCTGACTTGCACCATGTAAGGCGTCTGACTTGCACCATGTAAGGCGTCTGAATTGCACCACGAGGTGTCTGACTTGCACCATGTGAGGTGTTGAAATGCACCTTGAGGTGTTGATTTTCGAATGTGGGTGTTGCCCAACATCTCGATTGTAGCGTCTCACACGTCCTCAGCGACTGCCTTTACCAAGGCTTGTTGTCATAGGATCGCGTGTCCATAGCAGTATGAAAGCGTCCTGCCCATTCTTGGTGATTCGCCTTTGTGTCCAGGCTTGTCACGGGTCGACGTTTCTTCATTGAGTAAAGGACTGAGTCCAGTGCTCTGTCATGGCTTGTGCCATATAAGCTCTCCGGCTCTTGAGCCTTCAAAGGCAAGGCCATAGGCTTTGTAGCTCCCCAACGACATTGACGTGAGTGATGACCCGCGATGAAGTGGTCGCGATCGGCTGAGCCGAGCGGGACTTGAGTTCTGACTTGTCTTGCACCATCTGAGATCTAGGCGCCCCACGAAAAGGAATGATGGTAGAGTTGTAGCTAAGAGCAGCACCGGGCCGGAACACTCGACGGCCACGTTGCCACTCCCGCTCAAATGTTGTGCCGTTTAGGTCGTGACCAAGGCTGAGGCTGAAGCCGACTGCCCGAAGGCATTTGCAGGACGAACGTGATGAGCGAGACCGAATGCGGCGGAAATCTGCGGCGGGGGAGGACACGGGATCGAAAGCGTGGCGGTCGCTCGCTGATGCGGCGAAGCTGGAGGCCGGTCAGAGTCCCTCGTGTAGCCGCGCAGTCATGGAAAGAGGAAGAGTTCCTCAGATCAAGCTCTCAGGTTGCCGAGGGTGGCATTGCTGCCGTGGTGAACACCGAAGTGCTGGAGAAGAAAAGGAGGAGAAGGGGGAGCGGAGGCGGTGCGAATAAAAGGGCGGCCCAAGAGGTCCGTGCGGGCGCCAGCGGAGCTCGCCTCTGTAGCCAATGAGAGTGCTGAGACGCGCCAGCCACATTCCCGTGCGCGTGGTGCTCCGTGGCCGGCTGACCTGCCGCTGCTGCCTGAAACATTCTGCCGTGTCATCCCCTGCGTGACCATCCATCGCGTCTGTGTTCCCGATATCCATCACCGTTGTATTTCCCGTCAAATACGCATGATGCTTTGAACAGAAACACACCAGCATGAGCTACTGGTAACCGAAGCCAATGTCAAACGCTCAGCACCGCAAGCTCGTCCTTGCGCCCGACGCCTCCTCCACAGTAGCTGAACTCTCACGGCCGTATGCTGCAGCCCTTCCCCATGCAAGGCGTCTGCGCTTCTATCGCGTAGATGCAGCAAGCTCGCCACTGTCTCTGCGATCGCGACCTGCAGATGTGCTCACGGAGGACACCATGTCAGTTGAAAAGATCGCATAGTGATTGTAGTCAGTCTATCTACCGGTCATTTATAGACCAATTGGCTGATTGCTAGCTTGTTTGCCTGGAATATGCTGGAAGTTGCCTGTGCCCGGCTTGATTTTCCACTATGTCAGGCACATTCCCCGCCATTGCCTCCGCCCTAGTGCACATCTGCCGGCGGCGAACGCAATCTCGCACCGACAACCGACCAACTGCCGATGGTCGTGGCTGATAGCCCAGCTCCGCATCTGGGTACCACTACCTGCGAGCTGTTGTGGAAAAAACCGGTAATGCCGACCTGCCCGACTTTGATGTTTGAAGCGCGAAGAGGGGTCCCCCGGCCAATCGGTCTTCACCAATTCCCAGCTTCCCCTTCCGTTCAGCCTCTACTCCTTCTCCACTCATCAAAATGGTATTTGTTCCGTCTATCGTCTGCACGGCTGGAACGATTGCGAATTGTAGATCTGCCGTGCCGGCAACCAACGCCGCGCCCTGCACAAATTGCCTCCCCAGTAGTAGTCCCACACTACTGATATGACAGACGCTTCTTGGGTCGGCCGAATCTCCACAAAAGGAAGAGTCTTTGAGATAGCTTGTCGCAGACCTCTCGCTCAGTTTCTCGAATGGCGGCTTAATGCGTGCTTCTTATATCCAGCCTCGTAGGACCTGCTTGTCATACCACTTACCTCCGCACGAGCCATGGATGAGTCGGTATCCTGAGCATCTGAGCATCATGCCTACAATGTCTGGCCAGGTCCCCCATGAGGTTTTCGGCCTGGCAGTCTTTGTCCACGTCCTCGGCTTCGTCGCCGTTTTCCTCGGGCTTGTTCTCTGTTTTATGTTGTGGCGACACGGCGAGGGACTCAGCTGTAAGCTTCCCTTTTCCAGCTTCATAAAATGCTCCATTGACGATCCTCAAGATATCCTGTTGCTCGGTGTATCGACTACACTAGGCGCGGTACAGGGAGTGATCACCCACCTCGACTACACAATCAACTGGCGACAAATACAAATCGGGAGATATGAAGCGTCTCAGAGACCACAATATGATCAAACCGCCATGTTTGGCAAAGCCGATTCTGGGTGGCGCTCAGTCTTGGCTGGGATTGGTAAACCACCTGGTGTTAAATCTTTCGAACTCCGTTCCGATTGCTGACCCCTTCAACAGCTATTTATCTCTACAACGTGGACTCCCTTCTTGTGTTGTTCTGGTACGTAGCCATCGTTGGCCAGCACACATCTGCTGGGAGCCCAAAAGGCTAACCAGATCTGCCAGGGCCATCACTCTGTTCATCGGAACTTGGAACATCCGCATCAAGTCAGAAAGGAAGAGAATCATGGCCATAGTCTTCAAGTCGATCGCTTTGGTTCTTCCCGCAGTCATGGTATCTGTGTGTCAAATACAGGGTTTGAGAAAGCACCCGATGCTTTTCTTAGTTACTGTGAACATCATCAGTATGTCAGTATCTCGATTCCTGGCGTCGTCTTACTGACTCGGCGTAGTGACTTTTTCAATGGTCGTTGGGTTTGTCCTCGTGCTGGCGATCCTCTACAAATACTTGCTCGCTCGGAGCCTTTTCAAACGCTTGTTCAAACGTGCCGGTTCCACGAACGGCGGCCCATCCAGTTTAGGGACAGTATCGAGTGCAACCACTACCACGAGAAGTGGCCACCGCGGAAGGACTACTGACAAATGGTTGATCATTCGTTTTAGCCTGATCATGGCTGTCTTGATGTGAGTGTATCTGGCCTCCACGCTGAATTTACTTGACTTTTGATGGTAGTGCTTTCGAGGCCGCTCTCATCGTCTACGAGCTCGTCAATTTCCAGCGCAGTCACGACGCTCAACGACTTTCGACGGCACCGAGCAACCCCGAATTTAGTATCGAACAAGCCAGGGTGGATCTCCTCCAATACATTCCAGGCGTTGTTCCCAGCATTGTAGCGTGGTGTATCTTCGGTACAACAGCAGCATTCCGAAAGGAGTACATGGCATTCATGCGGGCATGGTGCTGTTGCTTGTGCCTTCCTCCCCGCCATCCAGACAGTCTCTGGCGCAGACGTTCGTACGGCCGCCAGAGCACACTGGATGTGGAAGCTCCCTATCGCCAGGTATCCCTTACCAAGGGCGGCAAGCGAAGCATCTCGATCGAGGTCAATACCGAGATATCATTGTCTTCAATAACAAATCATAAAATACAGCCGGTGAACAACATTAACCGTGTCTCATTCGGCGGCACGTCTCTTTTTTCAGACTCCAACAGTCGTAGGAACTTGGCTTCCGCAGACTCCCTCCCATCCAGCTCGCCGCGCTTCCCTCTGCGCACGCTCGCTTACGGTACATCACCAAGAGCATCGGGTCTGCGACTACCAAAGGGAAGCACAAGGTACCAGTCGTTCACACGGAGTACATGTTCTGCCTCGTCAGCCAAGGCACTGCCCGAACTGCCTCTTCAGGTGCCCCGTGTTTCATGTCCCGCCAGCAGCCATCCAAACCTTGGTGTCGAGGCATCCAGATCAGACCCTAATAATATCTCGCCTCCGCTATCGAGCTGGCTGTCTACAAACATGGACTCTAAAACCAGCTCTATTTATTCGGGTTCCGAGTATACTCCAACAAGGATGTCTGCGACTGAGCTGTTTCCGCTGCCGCTGGCTGTGCGCTCATCGGAGCGGAGCACGGCTTTGTGAATATGTTCTTTTATGTTTCTACTGTTCGGTTTTTCTTTTTGGAGATGACGATTTTATACATTTTACCCCCTTCTGATTTGAAGCCCAGAGGCGTGTTTGGCACTTTTGGGAGGGCGTTATGATGGCATACCCAGTCTTATTGGATGCGATATGACTTTCCCTTCCTAGCAAAATGAGTCTGCGGAAACGCGATCTTCATGAATTATCTAAGATATCCTCAATTGGCCTAAGACGAAGTGTCAGGGATGTGAAGGTACTGTGCCTTGGCGCGTAGAAAAAAATGTTGCTATCTTTCGAGGGCGCACTTTAGCAGCAAAAACGGGCGTCCAAGGAAGTCAACGATGGAGGTACCATTTATCAGCCTTAAGACCGCCGAAGCTCTTGAGATGCTTTCGCTGGAGGACAGCGGTCCGCTCGCTGTGGAGCCTCACCCTTTCCAAATGAAGTTGAGAATGGTGGGTTCCACCAAGATGGAGAAAGGTGGAGAGTAGGAGCCTAGAGAGGGGCGCGGCTGTGTATATTTGCTTTATGTGCCGGTGGGTAGGGCAGAAGACTGATCTAATTGGTGGCCCCAGCCCAAGGCCGGTCTCAGCCTTGTCAGGTATTCTTAGCCGATAGGCTTCACTGTGCGGGGCAGGCGCTAACAGGCTGTCATCACGAACCAGAGTTTCCACCTACTAAGAACGCAAGATATCTGAGCGCCGCTGAATATGAGTTTGTGGGTGGTTTCAGGCTATGCATTATTGTCAGCCTCATATCCATGGAGCCAGCAGCGTCGACCAGTAGTTTTTAGGTGCCTGGCGGAGTACATTTTACGTGCGACAAGTATGCATGTCAGACGACGAACCCCGCAGATAGCCGCAAACCAAGAGAAAATACGCCAATTCTAGATCAAGCTGCTGTGTAGCAATTGGGAGCCTGATGGGGCCACCACGGTAGGCCTATCAATTCGGACGTGGCATGATAGTGGCGGCGACACCCACGATACCAAAAGAAATAGGCCAATGGCAATGAGTTGACTTAGCTTTTCAAAACTTGAGATAACCTTCCGTTGATGACAGCACCATGCGAGCAACACTGCCAAGCACTGGGGCCGCCAATTGCCTCTACTCAGGCGTGGAAGTAAGGCCCGTGTTCTACCATTGTAGTATGCGGTGAGGCCACGAAGCACAACCAATCATCCATGAGGCTCTTGGGGTAGCATTGAAGGTCATATTTCGTCTTTCGAAAAGATTAAAGCAGCTCTGAGCCAGCATCCGCTCTTGCACTTTATCCTCCTCCCTACTTCCCAAATTTCCAGCTTCCTGAGTCATTTCAACATGAGCCCGAAAGAGGGATCCAGAGAAGCCAATCACACGAACAGACCTGCTCGCCAACAGTCAATCGTTGCAGACTCGGACACCAACGAAAGCACGAGCGTCGCCGGCGGGAATAACAACAACGCCACTGCAAAGACTTTTCATTCTTTTCACCGCACATGGACTACGTCGTATCAGCAGCCTGCTGTAAGCATGACGGGCCTCAGCCCCATGGATCGGTGGCAGCGTGAGAGTATGCAGGAGCAGATGTGGCATCCTGTCGATGGGGTGTATGCTTCAGAGAAAGGCCATGCAGCGGGGAACGACCAACATGGGTATCAACAAATGCATGGGGAACAAGGCCAGTGGACAGCCCACGGAGATGCGGGGGCTGAAGGTGACCGGGGTCAGTGAAATATGACTGTGTTGAGAAAGATGATAGATATCTGAGCGGCTCTTTCTCGTTTTTCTTTTCTGTTCATGTTTGCAGGACAATGCAAGTTGAAAACTCAGAATTGGATCAGGCCTTCCTTGTGAAACCTCACTCATGTGGGGCCGACCCAGGAAACAGATCCGCTGCGGGGTCAATACAGGTTTCGTCCCACCAACGTCACCGCATGCATTTGAATGCCGTTACACGCGCTGAAAATTCTGTCCTGTAGTGGTTTAAGGCTGACGGGCCCAACCTATCTGAATTATCCTCCGAGATGGAACTGTGAAGTATCGTCTGGACTGCATCCACTGCCGTTCCGATGAGGCAGATAGAAGCCATGAATCTCCGGGCCATTTGTCTAAAGGCGGCAAGGAATCTGCTTCCAAATTCTTGAGGAGGATTCAGGTACTCGGAGGCTTTTACGCGTCACTCAGGCGGCATTGCTACTGTCGCACCAACACTGACACTTCCAATGTAGATTGTTCAAGTTGTTTGGTTTCCCCAAACTGGCTTGCTTTTTCTTTCACTGTAGTTGGGCGTTTGTGAAGCACAGACCAAAGAAAAGGCCAAATTCAGCCCACGATTCAAACAGCTGAACAATGCCCACTCTTCAATGGGTACCTGTACGCCTTTGCCGCGTGGCTCAGCCGTTGGAAGGGCAGGGCGGGAAGGAAGCAGAAAGGTTCCCAAGCGTTGAAGCTAGAGGTAGCTGCAAATCATCTTCGGCCAGTGCATACCGAGTCCGGAGTCGGGCTCCGGCCACGCCGAAGATTTATTTCGCTTGGGGAAGCTTGACCAGTTAAGAACAGGTTCGATTGGCGCCATACCCCTGCCAAGCTACCGCTTGCGGCGCCACAGAATCCTTATCAAGCATCTGGCCAACAACCGCCGCACGAAGCGGTGGTCAGTGCTGCGGTTGTTGCCTTGTGGCGCCCACTAGTTGCTCCACGAAGGATTCATTGTGCATCATGCGGCTGCCGGCTGTCATGGCAATAAGATGTCCCAGTCTTCCCCGTTCCCCGAGACTTGCATCCATACTCTCTTTCAATCAGTCGCTCTTTCGAACTGCAAAATGCACAAGACGCTCCCTATCATGTTCGCAGCTGGCGCCGTGGCGCAGAGCACCATCACCACCAGCTGGCTCGCCGGGGGCTTCGACAACACGCCCGTCGCCTCGGTCATCGCCGCTGACTCCAAGGCCGTGACATACTCGATCGCGTGCAACTATTCGGACATCCAGGAGGGCGAGTGCGGCATCCCCGCCGGCTTCACTGTTACCGCGGGCCCGTCCATCTTCGAGTACCACTACACCGACTACACGGTTGCCACCGACTACACTGCCGACTTCACCATGGATGCCAGCTGCGCCATCGAGGGCACCACCAAGGCCGTCTGCGTCGAGTCCGCCGATGGCGCCGACGCAAACTTCCCGGGATTGAGCACCGAGACTCTGACCGGCACCGACGTCGAATGGGGTCCGCTCGTCATCACCGCCGGCGCCGAGAAGCTGAGTGCCACTGCCGGCGCCACTGCCACCGGCTCTTCTTCTGCTTCCGAGACGAGCACCGCGGCTCAGTCCGGCTCGAGGACGAGCGCCGGTGTCTCGGCCACTGGTGAATATCCCCTGTGCATGTCTCTCATGCAGCGCTGACATGACTTCTCTTCAGCTGCCTCTACCTCTGCTTCCCAGAGCAGTAGCGCTTCTGGTTCTGCCGCTCAGGCTTCGTCCACCGGCGGTGCTGCACAGTTCGCCGTGCCCGTTGCCGGCGTTGCTGGTGTCCTGGTTGCCGCTCTGGTTCTCTAGACAGCCTCGTTCTGGCGAAGTGAACAGTGACGTCATACATTATTTCATGAAGTACACAAGAATTCCTGTACAGATTAGGCACCCTAGCCAAGGGACATTCCATACGTATGCAGTAATTAATTAATACCGGAGGTGCAATTTTGAACTCTTGCTTCTTTCTTTTCTACAGCCCAGTGCTTGTTGTTGTATTTGACGGCTGAGAGGGTTGTCTATGCCAATCATGGTAAGATCGGCAGACCTACGCCGAAACGCAAATGCAGGCTTTTACCATGTCTTCAGGGAGCAGTGTCCCGTGGCGGATGAAACTTGCAGAGAACCATATCGAGCGTCGTTCTTCTCCTACACGCTGCCATCAGAGCGGTCTCGTCTCTCCGATTCAGCAAGCATACGGCGCAGCCTGTAATGTGTTGCTTTCGGGGGCTCGGCACCATGTCACACTACTCCACACAACCGAGCTTCCAGTCAGGGCCGAATCTCGCCCGGAAAACTGGCTCTCCTTTCCACGACTGGATTGTAACTTCATAATGCCTGCCAGTCCACTGCCTTTCAACAACAAGTCCTATGGTCTAGTGGTATGACGTTCGCTTCACAGCGCAGCAAATTCTCATCCCCCGAGGTGACGAACAAGCAAAACTGTAGAAGCGCGAAAGGTCCTGGGTTCGATCCCCAGTGGGACTATATCTTTTGCTTTTTGTAGGTTCATCATGCTAGCAGTGTTGGGGTTGGCAAGGGCGAAGGCTGAGGAGCCAGGGCCCACGAAGTTTTGACTGCCGCACACTTCTTCTTTTCGCAACTGCAAAACAGGGTAGAATCTTGCTCTTTTGCTTTGAATAACAAGGAATTCAGGGAGCTATCCCTGCTCATGTAAGAGACAAGACACGGCTTGATGGCGTTTCTCCTACCAAGCTTCTCGTCGACTGGGAGTTCTTTTCCTATCTTCATTATACAGAAAGATATTGTTCTTACTATTTTTGCAAGTTTACAGCCGCTCTGTTGCTCGTCTAGGCTTTCCACCAATATGGGAGAATTGACTGGTTATGCGAAAACAACCCGGCGATCTTGGGATCCAAAATGATGGAGCTCGAGGCTCATCAAACGATATTACAGTTACTTCTCTTCTGGGAAAAGAAAAGAAAAACGACATGGGCTTTGACACGGCGCAGGAATGCACTCCTCAGGGAGAAATCCTTCAAAGGCCAATTGAAGTTGTTTGCTATATTATTGGAGCATTTCACAGCCGCATCAGACTGTACCATCATCCGAGTACCGGGCATCGAAACAGACAACACTCGTGGAGATCGCGGCAGTTGTATGAACAAGCTTCGTCCCGGAAACCCCCGCCAAGGATTCGTCCCGTCCCGCCCACCTTCCTGTTATGGAAAGCCCATCAGGCATCAACTTCCAAGATCATGTTCTATATCAAGAGAGCCAGCCACAGAAGAAATGCGTCCAGCATCCACCAAAAAAAAAAAAATGAGCACCAGCAACGACCTGACCGTCCTCCCGATGACCGAAGAGGACATGGCGCCGATGACGCAGCTCCTGCACAAGGCCTACTACTCGCCCGACGGCGTCAGCGGGCTGCTCTACCACACGGCGCCGTCGCAGGCGTCGCTGGACCGGACGACGGCGCAGCGCGTGCGCGACTTCCGCGACGGCGCCGCCGCGCGCTTCGTCAAGGCCGTCGACGCCGCCACGGGCGCCCTCGTCGCCTGCGCCCGCTGGGACTTTTACCGCCACGCCCGCTCCGACGCCGCCGTCGCTGCTGCTACGGCCGTCTCCGACGACGAGCTGATCCCCGAGTTCAACGCCGACGTCTACAGGGCCCTGTTCGGCCCGCTGCGCGCCGCCCACCGCGACATCATGGGCACGCGCCCCCACGCCTACCTGGTCACCCTGGTGACGGACCCCGACGAGGCCAGGAGGGGTGCCGGCGGCTTGTTGGTGCGTTGGGGGTTGGATCGCGCCGATGAGCTGGGGCTGGATGCCTATCTGGGTGCGTCGCCCATGGGGAAGGGTCTGTACGAGAAGCACGGTTTTGAGACTGTGAGGACTGTGCCGTTTGATATGAAGGAGTGGGGCGGGGAAGGTGTCGTATCACATGTGGTAAGTCCTCTTTATTCCCAACGTCTATATGTGAATTTTTCTTTTCTTTCTTCTTCTGTTTCGTGCTGACGTAAGTGATGCAGTGCATGTGGAGGAGGCCTGGGCCACCGCCGAGAAAGATTGTTGCCGTCTAGGCCTCGATCATCTGCCTTAGTCTTGAATCGTCAACACATCTAGCAGTCCTGTCGGAGCTCTTGATCATTTCTCACGGCCGATAACGAATGCCAGGTGGTCTCCATTTTGATTGTAACAAATCAGAGGTTGATGATCTTTGCACACCCAAATCTTGCGTGATTTAGTCATATCCCTCAAAGCCCTTCACGTCCTCTTTGTAGTGCTGCTTGGTACGCTCAAATGCCGAAGCCAGGCAATCTTCTGTCATGCCGTTATCTCTTGGTATCAACCTCACCTTGAAGTCCCTTGGGATAGCGACAAGTGCTGTTTTAAATTGGTTGTAGTCGACGTAGTCGGTGTTTGGCGGCTCCGATTCGCTCGCGACGATGCGATAAGACGAAATAATGCGGATCAAGGCGGCGTAAAGCAGACGGACGGCGATATACTGGCCGGAGCAGGCACGAGCGCCAGCGCCGAATGATAGGTGAGCAGCGCCGTGCAGGGGCTTCTCAACAAATGGACCCATATGGTTCTCGGCGGTGATGGGCTCCAGCCAACGCTCGGGATCGAACTTGTTGCCAGTGGGACCGAAGTGGTTCGTGTCTGGCTTATCAGTACAGAACTGGCAGACGGCATGGTTCTACGTTCACTTACCATGGTTTCCGGCTTGAGCATTGATGAGAATCATGGTCTTTGGTGGAATGACGGCACCGTTCCAGTTGACTTCGGTAACCGTCTTACGCGGAAGACTCATGGCGCTGACAGTGTAGTATCGGCCGGCCTCCTGGATCAGAGCGCGGAGGTAAGGAACCTTCTCCTCCTGGTAGCTGTTTTCCCAGGCGTCACTGATGTTTGGATAGTATCTCTTGATGTCCGCATAGGCACGCTCCTGAAAGATCTGACCCTCTGGTGTGGAGAGAGATCCAATGCAGGAAGTCAAAGTCCCAGGAATGGTTTCGAAGCCGCCGGAGACGAGAGAGAGGCAGATGGAGCTGACCTCGACGCCAGTCAACTTTGTCTCCTCGTCCCTCAGGATGGCGGCAGAAATGCAGGGCTTGTCTGTGCCATTCTTGATCATCTCGCGGACCTTATCCAGAAGATGGTTTAGATATGCATCTCTTCTCGCGCGCAGCTCCTTGGATCTCCTGTTCTTCTCGTTGTTCGGCAGGTATCTCAAGGCTGGAATATAGTCTTGATAGTTCTCCGAGGCACTGCGAAGAAGCGAAATGGCGGAACCAACGTGCAGGATCTCACGGAGCAGGGTGTCGTAGACTTGGTCCATGCGGATGCCATAGCAGAGCGTCAGGGTTGTGTTCAGGGCGTATCGTTGGATGTAAGGCCTGACGCTGATTTCAAGCTCGCCGGCCTTGCTGTCCTTTTGCATGTCCCGAACGATGCAGAAACTCTCCAGATCGAACATGGGATAGTAGTTCCGCAATGCAGGCCGGCTGAGGGCTGTGCCGGCAGCCTTCCGCTTGTTCTTGCAGCTGGCATCCCAAGGCGATGAGCCAATGGTAAAGCCTTGAGTCGAGGAGATGACACCATGGAAGGTGTAGAGTTTGGGGCGGTCAATAACGGCCGACTGGTGTTTGATGAGAACGTCGCGGCAGTCTTCAAACGAATTGAAGACAACGGCGCGGGTGTTGCCGAGGCGAATTTGGAAGACAGACCAGCCGTAGCTGTAGCATGGTGAGCAGACGGATCTTTCGGGGCCAATTGGGAGACGTACTCTTTCCACCACTTCTCGCAAGTTGTGGCATGGTCTTCGCCGAGCTTGAAGAGATGGCCGGCTACTGGGATTGCACCTGGGATTTCCGGGATTCCCCTGATGTAGGGGATGTCTGTGTAGGTTGCAAACTCGAGGGTGAATCAGCACTAGTCGACAATTCTGGGCGGGCGTGGTGAAAGTACCTTGTACAGTGCATAGGCCAGGACAAAGACACCGGCAAGATAGAGGTATTGGTGGGGAAGCACGGCCCCATAAGCACTGACGTCAACAGCTGATAGGGCCATGGTCGAAAAGAGTATGCGATTCCGGTCGAAGCCTGCCAAGTACGAAACCAAATGGCGGCACTGAGCTTCTATAAGGAGCGGCTTGGACGGCGCAACCGACAGGCAGCTGGACGCCGCCGCCGCCGCCGCAGGGCATAAGCCGAAGGGCAAGCCGACATGGTGCGTCGGCAGGACCGACAGCAACCGCCTTTCACGTGACCCTGAGATAAGCCAATGCAGTGTGGGTGATGCAGAGCGGGGGAGCGCCGATGGCAGAAGGCGAAAGCGGGGAAGCAAGCTAGAGCACGCGTTCACGCCCTCGAGAATTCGAGGTGTTGAGGCCGATGTAGGAGGCGCCCAGGGACGCACTTGCCTTATCAAGCACCCCGCCTCTGCCAATTGCGATAACGGATTTGCAATCACCCCAACTTCTTCCACCACCTATGTCACTGCACGGCCTGAAGCTCGCCATGCTTGCGACACGCCCGCCATGATCACCACCGCGCCGGCCCGCGCCAATCAAGCCTGCAGGCGCTGTTACAATCGGAAGAAGAAGTGCTCCCGCACCCTGCCGCGCTGCCAGGCATGCGAGCACTCAGGCGTCCAGTGCAGCTTCGAGGAGCAACAGGAAGAGACCGGCTTGTTCTACATCTCGTGCGTCTCTGTCCTTCCCCCCACGCCGTCGTTGCTGACTGCCCAGCTATGTGCGTGGGCTTGAGCAACGCGTAGCCCAGCTGGAGGCACAGCTCCGCGATCCCTCCTCCACCAGCCCCAACCTCTCCGTAGCAACCCCCATTGACGCCAGCCCGCCGCTGCTGGCCGACCAAGGCCGACGGTGGTCCGCCCTCGTCCATTCCGACCTGGCGACGGATACTTCAAGCGCTGCAGGCCGAGTATCTAGAGCTAGCACCAAGGATGACCGCGGAGATCACCTGGCCTCCGAGCTAAAGCAGCTGTCACTCGAGGCTACCGCGGACCGGTACTTGGGCTCGTCTTCGGGCGTCTCGTTTGCGCGCTTGACTCAGGCTGTCTTGCGTCGCTTGAAACCCGACCAGCATCCCTTCAGCTTCGAAGTCACCCAACACGACGCGCCCCCGCCCAATGAATCTCAGCCCGCTACTTCGACCATTGAGAGTGAGCCTTCAGCGCTGCAGTATCCTGTCTGTCTACCGCCTCAAGAGCAAGCGTTCCGCCTGGCAGAGTACTACTGGTCGCACACCCATACCCTGTACCCTTTTGTTCGGAAGGTGTGGTTCATGGAGCGTCTGAAAACAATGTATGCCGAGACAGACCCTCAGGGGCTGGAAACTTCGGCGCCATGGCTGTATACCATGTGGATGGTCTTTGCAATTGGATCCACCACCTGGTCAGCCATTGTCCCTGATGGCACCGAATCCGAGTCTGCACGATTTTTCAACAACGCCATGACTTATTTCTACGGTGCCTTATCAAGCGGAAACATGGCTGCCCTGGATGCCCTGCTGCTTCAGGTCTCGTACTCGTTCTTCAACCGCGTTGGTTCCAACACATGGTACTTGGTGGGCTCCGCCATCCGACTTGCCGTTGGCATGGGCCTTCATACTGCACCCAACGACACCACGCGGCAATTGCCGCTTGACGTACAGGAATACAGAAAGCGTCTCTTCTGGAGTTTGTATATGATGGACAGAGTCGTTTCCATTTCTCTCGGCCGCCCTTTTGGCATCCGCGACGACGACGTCGAGGTCGGCCTCTTCACCGAGGTCGATGACGAGAATATCCTGCCCGATAGCATTTTGCCACAGCCCCCGCTTAAGGCGTCTGAAATGGCGGTACCGCTGCACCTACTCGCCTTGAGGAGGATTGCTGGTGAAATTTTCGAACAGGTGTATTCCAACAAAAACCGCTACCTACCTCCTGCTGATCGTGACGAGATTCTCAGAGGGCTTCACGCTAAGCTGGTTGAGTGGCGCCGCACAATGCCCTTTCCACTGCCTCAGGCGCGAATACTGCAAGTTCCCCACACAAGCACGGCGTGGTACGATCTCAACTACTACACGCACCTCATCATGCTCTACAGGCCGTCTCCATTGTGCCCCGTGCTCACCCTGGAGAAAGTCCATTTGATCGCAGAAGCATCTGCAATGGCAATCCGGCAGATTGAAATCATGCATCATGACCAACGATACGCCTTCAACTGGCTCAACCTGTTCAATGTCTTCACCGTTACTCTGACCCTCATCTACTCTATCACCGCCCAACCAGAGGCACTGTCGGCGTATCTGCAAAGATCCGATGCCCTGAAAGATCTCGAGAGAGCAAGCAGCGTTCTTGGGAATTTTGCTACCAAATTCCCGACTGCCTTGAAATGTCGCGCCATTGTTCACGATGTTTCGCAGAGACTAAGAACCCATATGGGCCCTGACAACGTGGCTGACTCGAGTGGCGATACGCTTTTGCTGAATGCTTCTGCAAGAGGACCGCCCGATGGTCTGCACATGGATGAGATATCATTCCCATCTTTCACCACGGGGAACTTGTCATTTGATGAGCTGCAGAACCAAGTAGCCGCCGGTACGGGATATTCACCGGGAGCCAGCAGCGCTGTGGGTGACTCCCATAATACCACGTCTGCTATGTCGGACAGTGGCTTACCCCCGGATTTTCGTCTCGCTGCAACGACAACGCCATTTGGAGATGCTGCTGCGCAATTCATGGCGGCCGGCATAGGTACAGGTGAAACAGCTGATATGGATCTAGATGAAGAATTTATGAACCTTCTCGGAGGGAACTTCGAGACATGAAGATGCAAGACCAAGAAGTCAGATAGGGATGATATTTTTTTTCAGACTGCATTCAGCCATGATACCAATCAAAAGTCCTTTTTTTCCTATTTCACTGCAGCAACCATTTCCATCTCGACGCTTGCACCGGCGGGCAGCCCCTTGACGAACACACATGCTCTCGGCGGCTTTGGGTCTGGCATCATCTGATTTATCATCAGTATTCTTTCATCGGAAAGCACAAGCAAGACTACTACCAACCGCTCTGTACACTTCATTCATGCCGGCGTATGCGGACTGATCCACCATGTAGATGTTCACTTTGATGACGCGCTCCAAGGAACTACCGGAAGCCTCGAGGATTGCAGATAGGTTCTTCAGGACTTGCTCTGTCTGCAACTTGATATCTTCGCTAACAAGGTTGCCTGCAACGTCGGCGCCGATCTGGCCGGTCGTATAGACCACGCCGTTGAAGACTTTGGCGTGGTCTTACTACCAATCAGTATCTGTAGGTTCCTCTCAACTAATTTCGACGGTATGTACTTACGGAAGAGTCCGGCTGGATAGGCGCAGGCCTTGTCGGAGAGGATTGAGATGATGTCGGACATGGTGGTTTGGAATTTTGGAATAGCTGCAGAACAAATGGGAAGTGGACCTTATTGCAATGTTTGTTTGATGTGGCCTTTTCTAATAATTGTGTAGGTGAGATGCACTGTAAACTTGTGCGACGGCTGCTCCGCTGCAGCGAGCGTCGTCGGTTCGGCCGCCAGTCCGACATGGCGGGGCGGATCGACACCAACGCCACCCCCACTGCTGTGCTAACAGCTTCAAGTCTGCCTCTTGTTCTGACGCAGCGCGTGATGTGAAGGAGACATGAGGAGAGAGTACTAATAGACGTGCCGATCTTTGTTTTCCCCTAGATGTTCCAAATCGTTAATTCACCCCAGACCGCGAAACAATTGAGAGCTACCAGAAACAACAACATGGGCACAGCAACGAAAAAGCTCCCCGCGCCAAATACCTTCCTCATACCTGTTTACTGACCAACACCACTACAATCATCAAGAAAACGCCAATGAACAGAATATGTTCCACCTTACTGGACTCTGAATATAGAGCCCGTGCATCGATGATCGAGGCTTCATGTGCCTCTTCTCATATCGGCTAAGCGAGTAGCTTTTTTGGCTCCGCATTCTCCCACGGCCTGATCGGAAATACAGGAATACAGGTCTCCCAGCAAAGGCAGGATTTTGGAAAGGTAATTCGCGGGCAGTCTACTCTAAACACTTTACTGACGGCAACTCAAGACAGCACAACCAAGCATCCAACCAGTAATGAATGGCAATCACCAACTTCGCTCGCAAACCCCCCCCCCCCACCATTTCAGCGTCCTTCCAAGTATCTGGAG